TTGGCATTCAGTGGCCTCAGCCCCTTCTACTCCCTGTGACCAAAGGTCAGCGAGGTGGGGAACAGCTGCTGAGATGGCCCAGAGGAGGGAACCAGGGCAGCCACCCCCACCTGTTCCCTCAGCTCCACCTGAGGCCCTGGCACTGCTGGAGCCTCCCAGGCACTCGTCTGACGCAACCGGGTGCCCAGAGTGAGCTCAAGCTGTTGCCACGGCAGGGAGCTGGCTCTGCACGCTACAGCCCAGGGCGCCAGGCCTCTGGGAACCCCTCAGCCCCTCCGTGCGCCTGGACCACCTGAGCCCCGGGCAGAGTGAAGGGGTGACGGGTCCCCAAGGCAGGAGAGGAAACATCCACCACCTACTGGCTCCCGCTGGCTTCTCCCACTCCCAGCTCCTGGCTTGGGGGGTGGGGATGGGGCAGATGGACTTGGAAAAGAGTTTGTATTGGACAGAAATTCACAAATCCAAAAGCTAGCTGCTTTAAGGTGAGCATTTGAGCGGATTCACTGCGTTGATCACACTGGCTCAGTCGTAACACCATCATTGTCAAAAACCCTCCTTAAACACTGGTCCCCGCCTCTGATTTGTGACCTTACCCATCCTGGGGTCCAGCCAAGCTGAGTTTATTAGGGCAGTGTGGGGATCGAGTGAGGAGTTACTGTGAGGGGCTGGGGAGCAGGTGGAGGAATCAGCTGACCTCTGCTGACCCCAGCTGACCTGTACCCTGACTCTGACCCCAGCCCCATGCTGTGCCCACCTCCCATACCCCAGGGTCAGGTGTAGCTAAGGGGGCTCAGCACCAGAAAACCTTGAGAGTCCAGGGCTGCAGAGTGAGAAGACAGAGGTGGGATGGGAGGAGGACCGACCTGTCCCCGCTGCATCCCACACCTTCTGCCTAGCAGAAGTTTAGAGGCCACTTTATAGGCTGGCCTGGGAGAGCCATTCCTCCCTGCCCACCTCTGACCTCTGAACCCGGGAACTCAAATCAGATGCTAATGCTGCTTTGGGAGGCAAATCCTAGGCTTTTTATCCTGCCAAGGTTGGGTGGTGGGTGGGGGGGAGCTGGCATTATTCCTTCCTTCACTCCTCATTCATTTGTTTGGCAGAGGCTTGGGTGCCCTGTGTGTCCCTGGACAACACAGGTGCAGAGTACACACACTCCCTGGTGAGGAGGGGAGTCCACAGGCGATTCGGAGCTTAGCTTGGTGTTAGGGGGAGGCAAGGCAACAGAGATAGGTGGGGTCTGGGCCACTGGGCTCTGAGGAGCAGCTGCTTTAGGAACCTCCAAATGCCAGGGTCCAAGTGGGGTATGGCAGGCGGGGTCAGCTGCTTCCTCTTGGGGCAGGTGTATGACCACAGGCCCTAGGCCCTATGCCCCCGAGGCTGTCCCTGCACCTGCAGGATGCCCACCCCACCCCATTGCTTTGGGTCTCTTCTGCCCTGAGGGTCCTAGATCCAGGTAGGTATGGAATCTTCCCCTCCCAGCCAATCCCCAGGGCCAACCTAGCTGCCCAGGCCATGGCTTCCCACCCTGGGTCCCTGTGTAGCTGGAGCTGGTGGGCAGGGTGCCAAAAGGGTCAGGGTTGGAGGCACTTGGCAGCTAGGAGACGGACTGGGGCCTCGCTGCTGTGGGATTTCCTTCAGCTCAAAGACCTGTGGGCCTCAAGCTCCACCCAGCAGGACCAGGAGCAGGTTGGGGGGCTGGGGGCTCAGCCAGCACCCGGCCTGAAGACCCAGCCCACTTTTATTCACAGATTTGATTTGTTTGGAGGGCAGAAGTTAGAGACAGAGACTCAGAGAGAGAGCGCTCATCTCTGCGCACTCTCCAGAGAGCTGCACTGGCTGGGGCTGGGCCGGGTCTAAACGGAGCAGGGACCTGCTGGCCACTGTCCTGCCCTGGTATTGCCATGTCCTCGGCAAGGGCCTGGGCTGCTTGCCCCGACTCCTAAGTTCTCCGGACACTGCACTCTACTGCCCGGACAAGGGTCAGGGATTGCCAATCCTGGGGACACCCTGGGCTTCTGTCTGAGCTGACACCGAGCCGTCCTGGACGCCCAGTGGCTGCCCTCCTGCTGGCACTGCTTGTTCAGACTGAGGTTCCCAAGTCTTGGGCCCTGGTGTGTCCTTTCACCATTCTGCATGTCCCCAACACTCTCTCCAACCCCTTCTTGTTGGCCGGGCCATCCACCAAGGTCAGCTGTGGCTCTGGTCATACGTTCCTCCCAAGCCCATTGGCTTTCCTGATCTGCTGGTCATTCCTTACCACGACCCTCCTCCTGGCCGCTCCCCCCCTGCTGCCCTCCTCCCGGTCACTCTTCTGTTGTCCTCCTCTGGGCTCTGACCTGGTCTCTTGCATGTCTGCCTTCCCCGGCAATGGTGAACAATGCCCACATCCTGGTGAGTCCGAGTCTGCACATGTTCTGTCAGGGTCCTGGATAGGCATCCGCAGGAGAGTTGCTAACTTTCCCAGGATGATGTCTGCCTGCCAGACACCTAGGTCCAGGCCCCCACATGAGGCGCCTGAAGGAGCCAGGTGGCCTGCACTATGACACAGGACCCCTGGGCAGAGCCCCTTATGTGTCATCCTCAGTTATAGGTGGAGCCTCTAGTGCTTGCAGGCTTTGTGGGGAGGGTCCCTGCACATGCATGTGAACACAGACACGTGTGCACACACAAACATGTACATACATGCATAAATACACGCGTATACACATACTAATACATGTATGGGCACATGCAGTTACACATACTTGGACACATGTGTGCTCACACAGAGACACAAAGCATAATCACACATACATGTGTGGGCACACATATGCACGTAGGACACACATGAGCATATACATGTGTCGACACACGTGTATGAACGATACATATATGGACACATATGTGCAGCACCACATACATGTGTGGACAGACTCATAAAGCCACAGAGGACACGTATATGTATGGGTACACATGACATGTATGTATATGAACACATGTGTGAATACACAGACACGTGGGACACACATGCACAGTATCACATATATGTGTGGGCATCGAGAGACACACAGGGCACACATGCATAGGAACACATACATGTATGCACAGGCAGGCTGGAGCCCTGAGCTGAGGCCGCTTTGCTCAGCCTAACAAGGCCACCAAGCAGGAATCCTGGGCTGCTGAAAACGCCCTGGGGATGGAGCTGAGGTTCCCCCCTTGTGCATCAGCCCAGAGCCCTTGGCTGCCCTCTGGAACGCTCTCAACCCCATCATGGCCCCTCACCTGCTTTCCAGCTATGCCTCCAGCAGACCCTAACCCATCAAGAGGAGGGGCTGAGCCGAGGGGGCCTCAGGCTAGAACCTGCATCACTCCTCCCTGGGCTCCAGGTCCTGGAACCCCTCTCTCCCAACCCTCCCTGGGGCCCTCTCTGGGGACACTTGGGAACATGCATCAACCCATGGACCAAGACCCAGGACATTGTGGGCTGGCAGTGCATGCTGGCCACTGGGGCCTAGTGCGGTGGCCACATGTCTCCATGGTGGACAGGCTGGTGTCCAGCCTCCTCCCCATGATGGAAGACTCAGAGGGGCAAGCAGGGGGTGTAGTCTGGGCCCAGAGTGGGAGGCTCTGCTTAGTTCAGCACCAAGTTCCTTGGCTTGGGGCCCTGGGCCTCATGGCGCCAGGACCCCACACAAGGACGGCTGAGGCTGGTGGCCATACAGGAAGTGGGCTGGATGCTGGGCGGACAAAGGCCTTCTGTCCTTCCTGCCACGCCCCCAGAGGCCTGGGACCCGGCTGGGGCTGGGTGTTCAGTCCCCTGCATGCAGAAGGCTTTCACATGGCCCTCAGCCCACGCTTCCCTCTTCCTGCTCCCACACCCAGCAAGTGGGCGGCCGCAGCCTTTGTCTGTACTCACCTGCCTGGTATGATGCCTGCCCAGGGCTTGAGGCTGCCCTGAGGGAGAGAGAGAAAAAAAAGAGGAGAGAGAAAAAGAGAGCGAGTGAAAGAGGTGCTGATTAGGGTCCAACCCTGCTCCTGATGGAGCCATCTCCCTCAGTAAGAGCCTCAGGGCTGGCCTGGGCAGAAACCGGGAGCCCTGGCAGGGCAGCCAGGACTCCTAAGCCCTACAAACCAGTGTAGGACTCCCAGTGTCCCTCCCTGCCGGCCCTACAGACAGGCTAGATCTGCTGGATGACTCCATCCTGGGCTCCATAACCCAGACAGGTCCCTGGTCCAGAGCAGGTGGCTCCAGTGCCCAGGTCTGGGAGAGCCCAGAATGGGTGACCAGATGCCCAAGTTTGGGACAAATGCCTGGGTGATGAGGTAGGGCATGGCCACCACAGCCCATGGGCCAAGAGGCCAGATGGAGGTCAGAGGTCACTGCCACCCCAGGCCGGGTTTCCCAGGAAGACCTGGAGAAATGGGGTCAGCACAGCTTCTCTGGGGTCAGGGATGGAGCCTTCACCAGTTCAGTGCCTTAGATGGGGCAGTGGCTGGGGTGATGGCCCAACAACCTGAGCGTTGGTGCCTGGTGGCCTGTGACCTCAGGCCTCAGCCAGCTGCGCTCAGGCTGTGTGCAGTGGGAGCCCAGGGGACAGCTCCCCCACCAGGAGTTCGTTATGGAAAACTGCATGCAGGCCCCTGGGGCTCGTTAGGCCCCATCCATGGGGCCAGAGGCAAACAGCTCCCTGCCTGAGCCTCAAGAAACTCTTAAAGTGTCTGGGGGGCGGGGCACTGCCATCTGCCCCCAGCTCAGGGGTCTCTCAGGGCAGTCCAGCACCCAGCTGTGGGTCACCTGCCCTGGGGGTGTTGCTGGGCACACCTGCTGGGGTGGGCTCAGACCTGACAGAGCCACTGAGGACACTCTCTCTTTCTCTCTCTCTCTCACACACAGCCACTCGCGGGCAGGGGCCAGGGTCTGGGTGGGTGGGGACCTGGGGTGGGGGAGCCCCAGCTCGCGCCTCCTGCCTGGGGTCTGCTCAGCTGGCGCAGGGCTACGGTTGAGGCGGAGCAGGAACATGGGGCTGCGTCACCAAGCTGCCTCCCTCCCGGCCTATGGGAGCCCGGGGGACACACCTGTCGGTGGCCTGCAGCCGAGATTGGCCGCCCGGGAGCAGGCACCTGCGGGCGGGCGGGGCGGCTCATGTAAGCCCGCGAGGGCCCTGCTCTTCCCCCGGTCGCGCCAGCCCGGCTCGCGCCATTGTTCCCCGGCACAGCTCCTGGCTGCCGTCTGCCCGGCCTGCGGGCCGCCTGGCCGCTCCCTCCTGTACCTGCCCACACGGCCTCCGGCGCCCGCAGGCCGGGCCCGGCTGCAAGGTCTGCGGCCAGGGAAGCTCGGTTCACACCCTGCCCGGTGGGGCCCGGTGCAGGGACGGTGCCGGCAGCGGCCGGGGAGGGAGCGGTCTCCAGCTTGGCGGCTGCCGGAACCTGCCTGGGCAGGTAAGGGCGGGCAGGAGGGAGGCCCGGCCGCGCCCGCCGCGGAGGATGGGGTGACGGTGACACAGGGCGCCTTGGCAGCAAGGCGGCTTTCGGGGAGGCTCCGGGCGAAGAGGTGGGCGCGCAGGCTGGGCCGCGGCCGGTTCCGGGTGTGGAGCCATCTTGGCCAGGCCTGGGAGCTGCTCAGGGGCCTGTAGGCCAGGCTGCGAACCCGAGTTGTGCAGAAGCCCCAAGAGTGGACGTCCTCCTCTCCACCTGGTCACAGCACCTTCTAGAAGGTTCTTCCCTCCAGAGGTGGCCTCCGTGGCCTTGGAGGTGGGTATGGGATGGATTCTGGGACATGGCTGTCTCTGGCCCCAAGGTTCGGGGTTCTGGGCTTCTGATTTGCAGAGCTTGGTCCCGCCAGTCCCCAGGCCGTGCACGCAGTGAGGCGGCTGCAGCTGGCCAGGCCTGGGAGATGCCGCCCCATCCTGACCCTACCCAGCTTCATGGCCTGCAGTGCCCTGGGGCCTGAGGGCTTGGTCACCCTGCTGGTGTTGGGTGGAGGACCGACCGCAGCGTCTGTGTACACTTTCAGAGTTTTGCCTTTGTGACAGTCAAGCCACATCGAATTGGGTTTTGTCCCAGTGTCTACAGCGGCCAGGGGCAGCTGAGGCCAGGAGGGGTGGAGGATGCCTGCCACGTGTGGCGGGGATGAAATGGCGGCTTTGCCACTGACACGCAGTGCAGCAGCCTCTGGCACAGGCCTGGCCGCTCCGGGGAGGGTGGGCGGCTGGGTTCCAGGACTTCTGGCAGGTTAACCGCCAGGGAGCTTCAAGCCCAGAGACCGGAGACTGCATTCCTGCCCAGGCTGGCGCTCCCTTCTCCTCTTCCTGGTCAGCGCTGCAGGGGGGGCCTGGCCTCTCCACTCAGCCTGGTCTTTGATGATTAACCAGCATGGCGGAACCGGGAGCTTGGGTGCTCATGGTCTGTCTGCTGGGCTGTGGTCACGGTAACCCTGGGCTGCAGCCACACCCACACACCCACACATCCACACGCTCCCTGCAAGCTCTAGCACAGGAAAAGCCTGGGGGTCTGTTTTGGGCCTCAGCCTCATCCCCCTCCCCCATCTGCCCCTGTACCCCCAGGCCCCCAGGGGAGCTGGCTGGGCAGGTTGAGGGGAGGTTGGACTCAGTCCCTCTGGGCTGGGTCAGGCCAGGCCGGCTCAGGCTGTCTGTGCTCCTGAATGGCAAGGACGGCGCCCGAGCCCTGGGGGCTTTGTCTCAACCATGAAGGGTGGCAGTCCCTTCCTGCTGCGCTGCGTTATGGTGCTTGGGTCTCCTGCATGGACCAGAGAGGGAATGCTGGGCAGGGGCTGAACTGTGGCCAGCAGGAGCCTGAGGGTGAGCTGTGGGCAAGGCGCCAGGGCTTTTGCTGTGGCATCTAGGTCTGGAGAGCTTGGGGAGCCACCAAGAGACTGCCTGTGAGCGATGGCCGGCCCCCGGGGCCTGGGAGGGAGGGCTGCTAACCACCCACACGGTTAGGGGAGGGGCAGGGTTGCCCTGCTCTAGCCACAGGCCCGTGGCCTGGCCAGGGTCAGTGAGAGGACGAAAGCAGGCTCTCAGGGGTGGGGGCCCTCTCTGGGCAGCGCAAGTGGCAGGCATGGACACATACTGGGGCTCTCCAGGGGAGCTGGACCCACTGTCTCCCAGGCTTCCCCCGCCACCGGTGTCCATGCAGTCCCAGGTACAGGGCTACCCCCTTCCACGGAGCCCCCTTCTCCCCCTCCCTGCCTCCAGGCCTCTCTCCCCAGGACTCCCCATCCCTGCCCCCTGTTGGATGGCCCCGGACCCCTCGGGTGGCCGTGGTCATCTTACTGGGCAGCATTGGATGTATCTGATCTCTAATACTGCCTGGTAATGATGACGGCGGGGCCCAGCGCTGCACCGGGGCCGCCCTCTGTCCCCCTGCTACCACTCATGACGGCCTGAGCAGATGCCACTGCTGCCCCTGGCAGGTCTGGGCTGGGCAGAACCGCAGCAAAGGACTCTGCAGAGAAAGGTCACCTCACCCAGAGCCAGGAGCTGAGGCTGCTGGCAACTGCCCCGGTCCTGGCCACCACCTCCTACTGCTGCCCCAGAGAAAGGGCACCCTCGGAGTCCATGGTGGCTCCCCCACCAAGGACCTTTTCTGGGTCTTGTGCTGCCCTGTCTGCCCTCGGGCCTCTGTGGGCATCTTACTGGACAGTGCTGGATTTCTTGGCTCGACTCTAACACTGTCTGGTAACGATGTTCAAGGTGACCCACAGTCATCGGATTTAACTGGGAGGGAGCTGCCGTCCAGAGCACTCCGGTGGGCCTCTGCCGGGGCCTGGACCCCTCCCAGACTGGCCGTGGAGTGGCTGGTCTCAGCAGGTGGGGGTTGGGAGGGGTGGCCAGGCCTGGCTCACAGGCTATGATGGATGCTCCAGCTGCCCTGACCGAGGAACAGGAGGCTAGGCTGCAGGGCCTGGGAACCCCAGGTGGCCTCGCCTAGGGAGGGGAGTGGGTTTGGGGTCTGCCCTGGCCTGGCTGCTACACATTACCCTAAGGCGATGGACACAAGTCAGCCTTTGCCCCAGACGGCCCATTGTACCTGCAGTCAATGGGCTGGGAGCAGCCTGAGGCACAGTGGGACCCCAGGAGCTGCAGCCCAAGCCGGCGTGAGGGCCAGAGGCCCCCCCGGCCACAGTACCAGGCCTGCTGCCTGGAAGCAGGAGGCTGCCTGCCGACAGGCGTCTTACCAGGCATGGTTAGATGTGCGTGCTGTGTCTAATACTGTCTGGTAACCCATCTGTCCGCTGGACCCTCACCACCTGCTGGGCTTCCAGTACTGCCGTGCTCCAGCCCTGGCCCAGAGGGCACCTCCAGAAGCCACACTCCGCATCCCAGTCCTCCTCCCGCTGTGATCTCGGTGAGGGTTAACCTGGCTAAGATGAACACTGCACAAGGAACATGTCACCCACAGACTCCTGAGTTCCCTGAGTCCTCCTGGATCTGCTATCACCCTCAGACCCCTGGATGTACCCCACCTCTGCCTCAGTTGAGGACTCGCCATAAGAGCTGGGCCGGCCGAGGCAGGCCCTTGGCGCTCAACACGCCCATCCTACAGATCCCCCCACATGCCTCACAGGATCTGCTGACTCCGGGAACTGGGCACAGTGAGCCTGGCAGGAACAGAGCAGCATGCAATAAATGGCACCACAAAATCACCATGGCTGGCATCCTTGCTTTAGGTCACCCAGGGCCACAGCCAGGCCTTGGCAGGGGCAGGGGCCAGACTCAGGCCCCTCGTGGTGATGGGGAAGGGGAGACGGGGTCTGTGGGGTCGGTTTCGGGCCCTCAAGCTCTCTGCCCCCCCCAAGCCAAAGTGCACTCTGAAGAGATGGGGTTCCCCAGGACAGGTGGGGGTTACGGGGTGGAAGAGAGGCATGGGGGAGGATGAGGCCAGAACCCGAGGGGGAGTGGCCACCCCAGGGAGGGGCCCTGATCCTTTGTGCTCTGCAAGTCAAGAGTCTAAGCTGTGGGGTGAGGATGTGCATGAGGGAGTACCACCCATGTTTGGAGCTCAGGGTTCATTTCCCGGGGCTGCCATCAGAAGAGCACCTGCTGTGCCACCATTCCAGGTGGGCACTGGCCCAGCTCATCTGCTCCGCTTCCCGTACAACTCCCTGCTGCTGGAGTCATGCTTGGGCCCTGCACCCAGAGACCTGCATCAGGCTGCTGGCTTCAGCCAGCGGAGAAAGGGGATGGAAGAAATCTTGGCGGTCTCCTTGGTGGGTCATGAGGGCAATGGAATAACAGGCCACGGTTGAGCCCAGCAGGTGGGGGTACACATGGCTGCCAGCTGCCCATACCCAGGTCCTCCAGCCTGACCTCTCCCCCCACCCCCCGTCCACCGCCAAATCCACCTGAAACCCATTGGGGCCTTCTGGATCTTGTTGCCAGGTAACAGTTGCCAGGGAGGAATTGCCTGGTCACCACTGTTGTTTCTGGGCAGAGGGCGCTCGTGACCTTGCCAGGCAGGTGAGAGGAACAAGCCTTCTGCCAGCCGCACCTGCGGGTCCTGGTGGGTCCAGAGCAGAAAGAAGGCAGGAGGCAGGTCCTAGATACAGCCTGGGAGGGCAGACTGGCCAGTTGGGGGCCCTGGGCACAGCCTGGGGGGACAGACCGACCAGCTGGGGGGCCTGGACACAGCCTGGGAGGGCAGACTGGCCAGTTGGGGACCCTGGACACAGCCTGGGGGGACAGACTGACCAGTTGGGGGCCTGGACACAGCCTGGGAGGGCAGACCAGCCAGCTGGGGGCCTGGACACAGCCTGGGAGGGCAAACTGGCCAGTTGGGGGGCCTGGACACAGCCTGGGGGGGGGGAGCAGACTGACCAGCTGAGGGCTATGCGTCCAGGGAGGGCTGGGTACTCCCCAGGACCATCCATCCCCCCACACTGACAGCTCCCCTCCCACCCTACCCCATCCCCAGTGTCCATACAAGTCCCTGGCCAGGAGGTACCCAACTCCCAACCCACGTCAGCACCTCAGCTGTGTGGTCTACTGCCAGGCTTTGTCTCTCCAGGTAAAGATCTCTCCAGGACCCTGTCTGGGCGGCTCCTGCCTGGGACAGCTAGCTCAGTTGCCTGTGCCCCGTGTCTGGACCCAGCGCTGTAGCCTGCAGCACACACAGCTCAGAAATGGAGTGCGGCGGGGGGTGGGGGTGGGGGGATGGCACCCCCTAGCTCCCAGGACACCTCCACCCTCCTCCCCCACAGCAGGGCGGACGCGGCCCCACACCCACCTCTACTCTCCTGAGTTGCCCCAGCCCTTGAGCCCTGTAGGTGGTGGGGGGCTGCACAGCAGCCTTCTTAGGCTGTGCCCCCTTCCTGGAGTTGCCCAGGAGCCCCCCCGCAGGCTGCGCCCTATCCCTGGTTCCTGGTGGGGCTGGAAGGGCCTTCCTTGCAGCTCTATAGGGCTCCGAGCCCTGGTGTCCACGTGTTCACTCTCCAACCGCCAACAGCCCAGCCCCCAGGGCGCCAACAGTCCTATCTCCCTTGTGTGTGGGTGTTTATGTGTGTGTGTCCACGCCCTTGTCCACGTGTGTCCACGCCTGTGTGTAGGTGTCCATGTGTGTCCACACTGTGTGTGCAGGTGTCCATGTGTGTCCATGCCCTTGTCCATGTTGTCCACGCCTCTGTGTGTGCTTGACTGTGTGTGCAACCACGTCTTTGCTCATACTTGGAACTCTTCCCTAAGAAACCAGCTCGGGGTGGCTCTTGGGCTCCCAAGTCCCCCGCAGGATTTCCTGGCCAAGGCGCTGGGAGCCTGGGGGGTGGGAATGGGCCGAGCTCCATGCTGGCCTGCATGCCCATCCTTCCCGCTCTGTCCTCCCTACCCCAGCCCTGGACCCTGCTGAGGGCATCAGGCAGCCTGGCAGGTGGCCACAGGTTCCAGAAAATGCTGCCCAGGTGGCGATCCCAGGGAGGAGTCTGGGGCACAGCCACGGGGGCTGAACTGAGGACCCAGGCCCAGGAAAACGCCCTTCCCCCCCAGTCCTGCTACCTGGGCAGCACCCAGCCCGTCTTGATGGCTCCCTCCTTGCAGCCGACACCCAGGCAGCACCCAGCGAGGCCAGATGGATGGGCACAGCAAGGGGGGGCTTGCACCGCAGAGACCCACCTCCGAACACACCTCCGCCCCCACCAGTCAGCTGGGCGTTGGGGGCGGGCCTTCAGGGGAGGCCTCCACCCAGCCCCAGGGGTGCCGTCCTTCCTCGGGCAGGGGGGGGTCCACCCTGCACCCAGCCCAGGGGCCCCGCAGGAGGGGGGTGGCACCTTGCCAGCGGGACGCCTGCTCCGGCGCCCCCAAACCCCCTGTTTGCAGCCGCACCCGTTTCGTTCACCACCGGAGACCGTGCACTCGGGCCCAAGTCAACGGTCAGAGAAGCAAGCGGCCTCGGTTGTCTCGATGCCGCCCCAGGGTTCCGGGTGAGCAGACAGCGAGGTGGGAAGGGAGCATGGCGCCCGCCCTCGCTCGGAAGCCCAGCAGTGACCTCTGGGCACGCTGATGTCACCATGGACATTGTGACCCCCCAGCCCTCCCGGGGGTCCCTGCCTGCATCTGCGCCCACCTCCACCCCAGGCTGCAGCCAGCTGCTGCGGGGCTGGGCCAGGACAGGCGGCGCCTCCACCCACTCGCCCTGCCCCTCCGCAGGCTGGGCCCCGCCGAGACGCATGGGGAGCCGAGAGGACCTCCCCGCACGGGGCCAGCTGGGCCGGAGCGCAGGTGGGGGGCCCTGGCGGGGCTGGAAGGGCCCGGGCAGCTCCAAGGGCTCCGAGCCCGGCGAGGCGCGCACCCCTGACAGCCGCCCGCCCGCAGACCACCCGGACGCGGCTGTGCTCCCGGAGGAGCTGCCCGAGCCCAAGGACGAGAAGCAGCCGGTCGGCGCCGGGCAGGGTCCCCTCTTCTACATCGGGGGCTCCAACGGGGCCTCCATGTGAGTGGGCCAGGGTCAGGGGAGGGCCTGAGCGCCCCCCGCCGCCCCGTCACCGCGTCCGCTTCCCGCAGAATCAGCTCCTACTGCAAGGGCAAGGGCTGGCAGCGCACGCTGGACGGCCACTGCCCGGACTACAAGCTCAAGTGGTGCGAGGTCAAGAGCCGGGACAGCTACTGCAGCTTCCGGGAAGGTGGGCGGGGCCTCCGGGCTGTGGGCGGGGCCTCCGGGAGCGGGTGGTTGGAGCGTGGCTCCCGGTGGGCGCGAGTTGTGGGCGGGGCCTCCCAGGGCGGGCGCAGTTTATGGGCGGGGCCTCTGGGGGCGGGGCCGGGGGTTGTGGGCGGAGACCTCACGGGGAGCGGGCGGGCTGTGAGCGTGGCCTTAGAGATTGAGGGCGGGGTCTCCCTAGAGCTGTGGCTGTGGCCTTGTGGGTTGTGGGCGAGGAGCGGGCGGGTTGGGGGCGGGAGCACGGATTGTGGGCGGGGCATCCTGGAGTTGTGGGCGGGGTTTACCTAGAGCTGTAGGCGTGGCCTCCGCTGGGGCGGAGCGCGGGTTGTGGGCGGGGCACCCTGCGATTCTGGGCGGGGCCTCCGGGCGTGGGCGGGGCTCGCCGGGAGCGCCGTGAAGGTAGGCCGGGCTGTGCCAGAGGAGGCCGTGCAGGGCCGTCCAGGGCGCTGGCCCAGGCCTCTCCCATGGTGCAGGGCCATCCAGGGCGGTGCAGGGCGCTGGCCTAGGCCTCTCCCATGGTGCAGGGCGGTCCAGGGTGGTCCAGGGCGCTGGTCCAGACCTCTCCCGCGGTGCAGGCCAGCAGCTGCTGTTCCAGTTCCCCAACAACAAGCTGCTCACCACCAAGATCGGGCTGCTCAGTGCCCTGCGGGAGTACGCGCGGGTCTCCGGCAAGATCCACCAACCGGCACCCTGCCTGCAGGCCAAGTGAGCCCCGTAGCACAGCCTGCCCCCTTCCCTGTGGAGTGATCCTCTATCCACCCCCCTCGGCAGATGCCCACCAGGCCCCATCCATCCCAGAAGCGCCATCCCCCCACTCACTCCATGCACTGTCCCAGGGAGGGTCCGCTCAGGCCACATCCTGTGTCCCTGGCTCAGGTTTGCAAAAGAAGCGGCACCTGTCCTGGAGGAGCTGGCATGGAGCAGCCCCGGACACTGCCGGCCCTGCTGGGAGGCCCTGGCCGAGGGGGCGGTTGTGTCAGATGAGGGGTCAGGAGGTAGAGTGGGGAAGCACAGGGCCGGCCCAGGTGGCCAAGAGCTTCCTGACTGCCCACAGCCGGCGGCCCTGTCCTGGCACTGGGCTGGGGGCACAGTAGGCCCCCTTGTCTGGTTGGCCTCCAGGACACCGGAGGGGCTCGCCGAGTCCGGGGACCCAGGCCGTCCTGCCCACCAGGCTCTCCCCAGGGCCCTCAGGATGGAGGAGTTTTTCCCAGAGACCTACCGCCTGGACATGCGGGAGGAACGGGAGGCCTTCTCCACGCTGTTCCATGGTGAGGAGCCACTGGGCAGCTGGGACCAATGGAGGCTGGGGCCAGGACGCTGGGGCCGAGACAGGGCTAGGGGCCAGGACGCTGGGGCCGAGACAGGGCCGGGGCAGGATGCTGGGCCCCTGCAGTGGTGGTAGCAGGGCCATGGGTGGCAGAGGCTGAGAGCTGCTCTCCACAGAGTCACAATTGTGGATCTGCAAGCCGACAGCCTCGAACCAGGGCCGAGGCATCTTCCTGCTCCGGAGCCAGGACGATGTGACCGCCCTGCAAGCCAAGGCCCAGAGCATCGAGGATGACCCCATGTTCCGCAGGATGCCTTTCCGGGCGCCCCAGGCCCGGGTCGTTCAGAGGTGGGGGTCACAGGTGAAGGGTCAGAGGCCATGGGAAGCTTGCCCCTCAGTCCCTAACTCCCTGACCCCTGCTCAGAGCTGACGGCTCTTCTCCATGTACTTTGTGGGCTCAGGAAAGTCTGCTGGCACGTGCCCTGGTCAACCACGGGCCCTGGGCATGCTGTGTCCTCCCCCCATCAGGCCCTGCTGCCTGGGAATCCCTTCCCCTACAGGGAGCCCCCAAGCTGCATGCTGAGGAGACACCTTCTTGCCCACCCTGACCCTTGGTCTCCCAGTGCGGGGGACATGGGGAGGAGGCAAGGAAGCTGCCTTCCGGTCAGATAGGGGTGAGGGTCTTGGGCCGGTGTGGCTCCTGCAGCCCCCACTGCCCCCAGGTACATCCAGAACCCCCTGCTGCTGGACGGGAAGAAGTTTGACGTGCGGGCCTACCTGCTCATCGCCTGTGCTGTGCCCTACATGGTGTTCTTTGGCCACGGCTACGCCCGCCTCACCCTCAACCTCTATGACCCGGACTCCAGCGACCTCAGTGGTCACCTGACCAATCAGGTGAGCCTCCTCGGGCAAGATGTGGGGACTCTGAGAAGCAACTCCAGACAGCCAGGGAGCTTAGATGGAGAGAGGGTCACAGATCAGGGCAGCTGGCCTGTGTGTGGGAGTGTCCGGGTGGGCGGCTGGCCTGTGTGTGGGAGTGTCAGGGTGGGCCACGGGCCTGTGTGTGGAGGGCTGTCCGGGTGGGCGGCTGGCCTGTGTGTGGAGGGCTGTCCGGGTGGAGGGCTGTCCGGGTGGAGGGCTGTCCGGGTGGAGGGCTGTCTGGGTGGGCGGCTGGCCTGTGTGTGGGAGTGTCAGGGCGGCTGGCCTGTGTGTGGGAGTGTCAGGGCGGCTGGCCTGTGTGTGGGAGTGTCCGGGTGGGCAGCTGGCCTGTGTGTGAAGGGCTGTCTGGGTGGATGGCTGGTCTGTGTGTTGGGGAGGAGATCACGGGTGGGCGGCTGGCCTGTGTGTGAAGGGCTGTCTGGGTGGATGGCTGGTCTGTGTGTTGGGGAGGAGATCACGGGTGGGCGGCTGGCCTGTGTGGGGGGGGTTCCTGGGTGGGCAGCTGGCCTGTAAGGGGTAAGGGGTCCCAGGCAAGCTGGTAGCAGGCTTGTGCTGGGCTATGGGCTTCCTAGGCATGCAGCAGGCCAGTGGGCCAGGTAGGTGGGGGTCTGCAGGTCCTGCCCGCCCCTTCCAGTTCATGCAGAAGAAGAGCCCCCTGTACATGCTGCTCAAGGAAGACACAGTCTGGAGCATGGACCACCTCAACCACTACATCAACAGCAAGTTCAGCAAGACACCGGGCCTGCCGCGAGACTGGGTCCTTACCACCTTCACGGTGCGTCTGCACACGCAGGGGCCCGTGTGTGTGTGTGCGTATGGCCCAGCCTGGAGTATGTGTGTCACCGGGAGAGCAGTGTCCACTTTCGGTACCTCGCTGGTATGACCCCTCCCATGGGAAGGGCAGAATCGGAGAGGGAGAGAACCTGCCAGTGAGTACCCCATGTGACCACTAGGGAAGGGGTGGGCCAGAAGCAGGGAACCTCAGCTGGACCATCCTCTGCTCTCGCACTGGCCCTCAGCAAGAACTGGGCAGGAAGGGCTCCACTTGGTGCGTCTGCTGAAGCTGCCAGTGACAACAGGGCCCAGCCACTCCTGGAATAGCTTGATGTTGTGGGTGAAGCTGCCACATGCCAGGGCAGCACCCGACGGAGGACAGCTGAGGTGCCCTTATGGGAGACTGGAGGAGACTCCTTATTTCTGCCCAGCGAGCGGCAAATGGATGGAGGGTCTGTCTCCCGTTTTTTCCTCTCCATCTTTCTCTTTTCGTCTCTCCCTCCCTCTTCCTCCCCCAGCTCTGCCTTTCAAATACACAAATCTTTGAGAGGAGGAGTTTTTAGCGAACCAGGGGCGAGGGTCTTGCCTCTCTGAAGGATGAAATGTGTGGGAGACGGGGTAACAGAGCTGGTGTCCGCCTTCCTGCCTCAGCACGTGTCTGTCTGCCCCTCCAGGAGCCCGTATCTGGGAGCTGTCCTATGAGGACACGGCCGTTTGTTCTCCTTGAGGGGTAACAGTCCGCAAGTCTGCTGGAGGCTCTGGGACCTCAGAGTCATCGTCTCAGATCCCCAACCCCAATGATTCCCAAACCCAGGCTGCCCTGCTCCCCCTAAGCACCATGGTGATGGGAATTAGCTGACAGGAAGCTCCCTGAAGGCACACCAGGCCTCTGTCCTCAGTTGGGTGTACCGGGCTTTCGGGGCATCCCAGGATCCTAGGCTGCCTACAAGTGCAGGATCATAACACCGCTTTCATCGCTGTGCTCTCATTCTCTAGCACTCAGTCCCCCGCCATTCTCTCCTCCATCACTCCTCTCACACTGGCTCTTCCACCATGGCCCAGCCAGAGGTGGCCTGTCCCATCATGTCGTCCACTAGTGGGTGCTACAACCTAGCTTCACCCTGCCTGCCCACAGTCCCAGCTCTCACCGGTCCAGCCTGGTCCACCCCCAGCCATCATACTAACTGGCAGATGCTACACTACAACCCAGAGTGGCTTGTGCCCTGTCCTGACAGCTGCAGCCCAGCTTTGCCCATCCCATTCTGCCCACAGCCCTGGCTTTCACATTCACCAGTGGGAGCTGCAGCCTAGCAGGGAAGTCCCAGGAGTTCCCCTATCAGTCCCACATCCAGCTCTGCATCTTCTGCATGCTGCTGAGTGCTCCACTCCAGCCTGGCATGACCCACCAGCAATTTCAGCTCTTGCTGGCTGGTGTTGCCAAGCAGCCCAGCCTGGCATGGCCCACATCATGTCCTGCTCTTGTACATACCAGTGGGTGTTGCAGTCCTACAGAGGCAAGCCCACAAGTCCCCTACAGAATCTGCCCCTGGATTCAGTTCTCGTGTTTTTGGTGAGTGCTGTGGCCCACTCCCTGCTCTGACACAAGTAGGTGCTGTGGCCTAGATCATCCAGGCACCCCCGCCAGCCCCAGCTTTTGCACATACCAGCGGGCAGCAGGCGATGCTACTTAGCCCAGCTCAGGTCTTCCACATTGACGGGCACCTTGGTCTGATCCAGGCATGCCCTCCAGTTTTCTTCCTCTAAGCCACTCCATCTCAGCCACCTTGCCTACCTGTGAGTCCAGTGGCCCAGGCCATGAAAGCCCCAGAAGTCATGTCCAACTCGTGTTGGACAGTCATGTTGGACAGTCATGTTCCTCCCCTGTCCAACATGTCCTCAGCTGCTCCCACTCCAATACGTCCCCAGAACATCTGTTCCCCCACCCCCAACTGGGGCCAGGGTGGCATGTCCTAGCCAGGTGTTCGTGAGTTCCCCACATAGCTTTAAGAAAGAAAGAGAAGAAACTAGAATAGGTAAGTGGCACACTGGTGCAGTTAGCACAGACTTGGCATTAACCAGGCCCAGGATGCCCGCCGGCTGCTCTTCTCCCGGCGGTGTGATACTCGCCTAGTACAAGGCAACCTAGGCGATTGCCACAGCTGGGGTTATTTTATTTTTAAAATTTTAGTATTACAAAGGTGAGGGGGTTGCAGACCCACATGAGCTTCCAACTACAATGGAGAAGATTTTCTCTCCTCTGTGGGTGTGGGGTCAGGAAAGGTATACACCTCCTTGCCGGGGGACCAAGACAGTCATTTGATGTCACCTTGGAGACCCCGATGTGGGGAAGAATTCTCCAAGGGTTTTACCTGAGTGGGCTTGATGATTCTGACAGGTCGTGAGCTTCGTTGTGATAGAAGTGAGAAATTCTTTTTAAGATTTGTTTTTGTTAGAAAGTCAGATATACAGAGAGGAGAGACAGAGAGGAAGATCTCTGTCCATTGATTCACACCCCAAGCGGTCACAACAGCTGCAGCTGAGCCGATCCAAAGCCAGGAGCCCAGAGACTCTTCTGGGTCTCCCATGCAGGCGCAGGGTCCCAAGGCTTTGGACCATCCCCAACTGCTCTCCCAGGCCACAAGCAGGGAGCTGGATGGGAAGCAGGGTTGCTGGGATTAGAACCCACACCCATATGTGATCTTGGCGTGTGCAAGACAAGGACTTTAGCTGCTAGGCTACCACACTGGACCCAGAAGTAAGAAATTCTAAGGCCTGCTGTGTGTTCTTGTGTATCTCACTGCGCCTCAGGTCAGTTGCTTGTTGTATAGCCTGTCCTTTCCATCCTTGGAAGAGGCACTCGAAGTCTTCTGTTGGCTCAGATGAGCTGGCTGTCTTGTCTTTGATGTGCATGGATAGCCCAGTCCTGCAACACATGCTCCAGGATCAGACCACGTGTCTGTGGTTTCCCTGAGGTCAGGGATCAAGTGCAGCAGTCCAGTTAGGGAGCCTTTAAGAAAAGTCATCTGGTTGGTCCTCCGACCTGGCTCTCATGCCCAGACTGCCTCCTGCACCAGTCACCACACATACCAAAGGGAGCAGCTCCTGATCAGTATCACCCTTAGCCCTGACTTTCATGAGAACCAGTGGCTCTGCTCTCGCCTGCAGGAGAGTCCCCAAAGTTCCCCTACTAGGCCCACCCCCAGGCCCAGTTCCTGTGTGGCTGGAGGGGCTGAGGAGGACCAGTCTGGAACGCCTTCCCAAGGCCTGCCTGCCTCATTGTTCCTGCTGCTGCTGATGCTGGCACTGGGTTAACCTGCCATTCCCCAGGGTCAACATCCCATACAGGTGCCAGCTGGAACCCTGGCTGCTCCACCACTGCTCCAGCTCCCTGCCAGTGTGCCCAGGAAGGTGGCAAAGGATGACCAGATTCTTGGGCCGTTGCACCTGTGTGTGGGACCTGGAGTGAGCTCCAGGCTGCTGGCTCTGGTGTGGCCCGTGTCTGGGATGTGAGCGCTTCCTCTCTGTCACTCTGCCTGTCCAACAAGACAGCCGCCAGTCATGCTTGTCCAGGCTGAGTTAACTATGGCAGATTTGGCTGCGGCCCACAAGGGCGTCAGATGTGGGCACCCTTCCTCTTCTCTGAGACCCCTCTCTGCCTGTGCTATCCCTGCTGGTGCCCCTCAGAACTCTGCCTCAAGCAGGCCACATCCACCATGGACCTTTCCATTCCAGAATGCTCCATCCCCCTACATTCTGTCTAGGGGACACCCTTCGCCTTGGTCTCTCCCAGAGTCCGTCCCAGCAGGTGCATCCTGGCACCACAGACAGGAAGACAGACCCAGCCACCAGTGCCGCACCTCAGATTCCCAGAGCCGAGGAGCCAGGGCCAGCATCCCCTACGCCAGCCTCTCGGGGGTGGTGCTCTGTGTGCCTGGAGGAGTGTCCCTGGCCTGGACGGGGTGGAGTGCGGTGCCTGTGACGGCAGGGTGTCCTCCCACTCCACCCACAGAAGCGAATGCAGCAGATCATGGTCCACTGCTTCCAGGCTGTCAAGTCCAAGCTGGAGTGCAAGCTGGGCTACTTCGACCTCATTGGCTGTGACTTCCTGGTGGATGAGAACTTCAAGGTGCTGTCCTCTGCGCCAGGCTCGAGGGGGCAAGTGTGTGCCCAGGTAGGCCTCTGGGAGCTGGGGTCCATAGGGATGACCGCTGTGTCCTGCCCAGGTGTGGCTGCTGGAAATGAACGCCAACCCCGCGCTACACACCAACTGCCAGGTCCTCAAGGAAGTCATCCCGGGCGTGGTGGCAGAGACCTTGGGTGAGCTGTGGTAGCTTCCCACCCACCCACCCACCCAGCCTGCACCCCTAGGCCCTGAGGTAGCCCTGTCCTCCTGCCCCCAGACCTGGCGCTTGAGACCTTCCACAAGAGCCTTCTTGGCCAGAAGATGCTGCCGCTGCGCTCCCAGCGCCGCTTCGTGTTACTGCATAACGGGGAGGCCGAGCCGCGCCCGCGCCCCAGGGGCGCTCGCCCCCCACCCCGCGCGCCGCTCGCCGCCCTCCGGGCTCTCGAAGGCACCCCGGGAGGGGAGTCTGGAAACCTGGGCGCAGCGGAGGCGGAGCGCGAGGGCCGCAAGCGCGCTAGCCCGCGCGGCTCCTAGGGCGGGCGCCCGGGAACCATAAAGGCTACTTTGCTACAAGTTGGGTCAGTCCGGGGCGTTTGACAGGGCCCGTCCAGCACCGCCCCCACCACCATCATGGTCTGTGCCCTCCGACCTTACCACACTCTACCTGCTTCCCGGGTCAGACTGCAGTCAGGTCACTGGGGAGCCACGCAGGTGGTGATCCTGCGGCGCAGGAAGAAGAGGGCCCACACACCTGTGGGTCTCCGCGCTGTCCCCACCCCAGCCGCTTGGACCTTACTCTGCAGAGCCTCAGGCCCACCTGTGCGTCGGTTCCCTGGTGAGCCCGCCACCTCTCAGTGCCCCACCACCTGTGCAAGGCGCTGCCTGCAGCGCGGGGGTCTGCTCCGGTCAGGGCCATACGGGACTTGACCCTGGGATCCCGCGGCCGCCCCCACCCTCCCTGAGGGGTCCTCTGTCCAGGCTCTCAAGGGACTGGACCATGGCTGCCCTGGGCTCTGGGCAGGCACAGTGAGCCGCGAGGGAGGGGCCTGCCCCTGTAGGGACAATGGTTGCCACCCGCTAAGGTTGGCCCCTGCTCATTCACCCGCTCGGGCAGGCACCCTCCCTGCCACCCCAACTCAACCACACCTGGGTGCTCTCCGACCACAATGCAGCATACATAGGCCCCGCTCTCAGCTGGCCTGTCTGGCACAGCGGTGGACGCCCAGGTGCTGGCCACTGCAGCTCCCACAGAGCTGAGTACCACTGACACTTGCTGGGCACGGTGGTGTGAGCTGTGGCTGTGTCACCATCCTTCCTGCTATTGCTCATTAGCTACAGTGAATAAACGTTCCTTTTTAAAACAAAGGGGTCAGCCATAGGAGGAAGACTGGGGCAGTAAAACCTCTGGGCATTTGGGCAATAGAGTTTGGCCTCCACTTGCATCAGCCACAGCCTGTCGTCCCAGGCCTGGCTGCCACCTGCTTTTCAAGATTTTTTTTTTTTTTATTGCAAAGTCAGATATACAGAGAGGAGGAGAGACAGGAAGATCTCCCATGTGATGATTCACTCCCCGAGTGACCATAGTGGCCGGTGCTGTGCCGATCTGAAGCCAGGAGTCCGGGCCTCTTCCAGGTCTCCCATGAGGGTGCAGGGTCCCAAGGCTTTGGGCTGACCTCCACTGCTCTCCCAGGCCACGAGCAAGGAGCTGGATGGGAAGTGGGCCGCCGGGATTAGAACCGGCGCCCACATGGGATCCCACATGGGATCCCACCGTGTCCAAGACGAGCACCTTAGCCACTAGGCCACAGTGCCGGGCCTGACTCTGGCTCTCTGTCTGCTCTCTGCCAGCCCTCCTTCACACACCAGTCAGGTCTGAGGTCACTGGGTCATGGTCCCCCTTCCAGATGGAGCCCAGGGGCCTGAGGCAGGTGGAGCACATAAGTTCCTCATCAGCATGCCCTCACCTCCACATGCAACCCCTCACCTCCACATGCACAGCGTCACTCCACACACAGCACCTCACCTCCACAGGCACACCCTCACCTCCACACGCACAGCCTCACTCCACACACAGCACCTCACCTCCACATGCACACCCTCACCTCCACACACAGCATCTCACCTCCAAATGCACACCCTCACCTCCACATGCACAGCCTCACTCCACATACAGCCCCTCACCTCCACACGCTCACCCTCACCTCCACACACAGCATCTCACCTCCAAATGCACACCCTCACCTCCACATGCACAGCCTCACTCCACACACATCTCACCTCCAGACACAGCACCTCACCTCCACATGCACACCCTCACCTCCACATGCACACCCTCACCTCCACACACAGCACCTCACCTCCACGCACACCTCACCTCCACATGCACAGCCTCACCTCCACACGCACAGCGTCACTCCACACACAATCCCTCACCTCCACACACAGCCTCAACTCCACACACAGCACCTCACCTCCACAAGCACACCCTCAACTCCACACACAGCACCTCACCTCCACATACAACCCCTCACCTCCACACACAATCCCTCACCTCCACACACAACCCCTCACCTCCACACAGGCACACCCTTACCTCCACACAGACACACCCTCACCTCCACACAGACACACCCTCACCTCCACACAGACACACCCTCAACCCTCACCTCCATACAGACACACCCTCACCTCCACACAGACACACCCTCACCTCCACACAAACACACCCTCACCTCCACACAAACACACCCTCAACCCTCACCTCCACACAGGCACACCCTTACCTCCACACAGACACACCCTCACCTCCACACAGACACACCCTCACCTCCACACAGACACACCCTCACCTCCACACAGACACACCCTCACCTCCACACAGACACACCCTCAACCCTCACCACCATACAGACACACCCTCACCTCCACACAGACACACCCTCAACCCTCACCACCATACAGACACACCCTCACCTCCACACAGACACACCCTCACCTCCACACAGGCACACCCTCAACCCTCACCTCCACACAGACACACCCTCACCTCCACACAGACACACCCTCACCTCCACACAGGCACACCCTCACCTCCACACAGGCACACCCTCACCTCCACACAGGCACACCCTCACCTCCATACAGACACACCCTCACCTCCACATGCACACCCTCACCTCCACACAGGCACACCCTCACCTCCACACAGACACACCCTCACCTCCATACAGACACACCCTCACCTCCACACAGGCACACCCTCACCTCCACACAGGCACACCCTCACCTCCACACAGACACACCCTCAACCCTCACCACCATACAGACACACCCTCACCTCCACACAGACACACCCTCACCTCCACACAGATACACCCTCACCTCCATACAGACACACCCTCACCTCCACACAGACACACCCTCACCTCCACACAGACACACCCTCACCTCCACACAGGCACACCCTCACCTCCACACAGACACACCCTCAACCCTCACCACCATACAGACACACCCTCATCTGTATACATCCTTCCAGCCGCATCTTGCTGCAACACTCAAGGAAGGAGCAAGGAGAGTTTCTGGCCTGAGTTCATTTGGGGGTAGGGCCCCAGTGCTTGCAGGTCTCAAGGGAGAACAAGAGGTGGGTGTCAGACCCGCACACACTGCTGCCTCCATGGAGGTGATGGCCTAGCTGAGTGGCCGGCCCTCCAGGAGAAACCCCTCCTCTCTTCAGGGAGCCCAGCCAGGTCCCAATACCTGCACTAGCATGTGACCTACCTGGCGATAACGGGGGCAGCCAGGGACCACCTGCCTCTCAGAACTCTCGGGGAGGGACAGAGGTGGTTGGGAGCCACTGCTGCCTGGGGACCTGCTTCTTTGAAGCCTGGGGCCCATGTTGGGGGTAGAACAAGTGAGGTAAACTCCAGCGGGTAGAGCACTTCCTGTGGTTTCCTGGGGGAGGGGATTTCCATGGGAGCCTGCAGGGCCAGGCCGGCCTGGTTGTCACGCTCTGCACTTGGGCCTGACCGTCCCCTGCCTCAGCGCAGGCAGTGGGCCCTGTTTCAGTCCCTCCTCCACCCCAGCTGAGTCAGCCCTGGATGCTGCCCTCGGCCTTCCTCCTTTCTGCAAACCCTTAAAGGGCTGGGCACAGACATAGTGAGGGCGGAGATGGGGGTGGGGGGACTCAGGCTGGCCCTGCCTCCAGTCACGCCTCCCCCATATCCACACCATGTGGCAGGCATTGCCTGAGGGACGCCCTCTGCCTAGAGCAGAGGCTGTGCCTGCTGGGTCCCTGAGTTGCTGCTGGGCGAGGCCAGAGCCTTCTGCCAGGCGTGGGAGCGAGGCAGTACTGGGTGATGCCTGTCTGCTGCCACACCCAGCACAGCTGTGCCCAGGTGTTCCCGGTAGCTCCCTCAGGCCCAAGGGGGAGGGACACCCAGCACAGCTGTGCCTAGGTATTCTTGGTAGCTCCCTCAGGCCCAAGGGGGAGGGGCCCACGGGGTGGGGACTGGCAGGAGACTGAGGCAGGGTCCAGAAGCCTGAATCTTGTGGTCCTGGAGGAGTGCTGTGCCCAGGACTTAGCAACTGCCAGCTGGGCCAGCTGGGGCCCCTGGGCCAGCCTGGGTTGTGGTCCCGATGGACAAGGGGGCGCAGTGCCCTGCTGGGTCACTCAGCACTGAGGAGTGTTTATTGAGAACCTGCAGCCAGGCCCTGAGCTGGACACTACAACTCCTTGGGCACAGCCTCTGCTCTAGGGGAAGGGCTAGCCACCACACCCCAGCCCTCTGCCCAGCAGAGCCCCTCCACAGCCACTTCACTGTCCGACACCCAGTTTCACAGGCGCAGGGAGCAGGGCCAGCCCTGAGGCGGGCAGCAGGACCCCCAGGGCCACTGGGGTTCTGCCCCTGTGTTCAGGCCAGCTCACGCCTGCAGGATCCCTCGGGCCTTCTCCTCTGCTAGCCGCTCTCCACGCTCCTCCTCTGGGAACTGCCAGCTGCAGGAGTCCTCGGCTGCCAGTGGTGGTGGCTCCAGGGACAGCAGGGCCTCTGTGGGGAGCTGTGGTCAGCAGGTGCCCAGAGCGCCCCACCGCTTGCTCCCCCCTGGGACCACTGACCTGGGGGCCACCTGCGCCACCTGTTCAGCTGCCAGATGTGCAGGCCAAGCTGAGCAGCAGTCAGGAACAGGATACAGGCTGCCACGGCCAGTAGGACTGGCAGCAGCCAGCCGGAAGGCTCTCTGGGCACCGGGCCCAGGACGCAGGCTGCATTGTGGGTCTTGTTCCCTGGGAAGGCAGTCAGAAAACCAAGCAGGGAACAACTGGGATGGACAGGGTGGTCAGCCCCCGCCCCGCCTGGAGAGCTCGCCCCCAGGGCTGCATGCCAGGACTTACTCTGCCCAGGGCCTGCAGAGGGCCCCGCTGCCCGCGGAGAAGGTGCCCTCAGCACACTCCACACACTGGAAGCCGAAGCTGAAGCTCCCTGGGACAGAGAGTCGGGCAGCTGGAGCAAGGAGGTAGGTGCAGGGCAGCCCCACCGAGGCTCCCCAGCGGGAGCGTCCAGGGGAGCTGGCAACCAGGTGCTGGTGGTAGCCCTGGCTGACCCTCTCAGAGCCCTGAGGCCCCCAGGTGCTGGGTCAGGAATGTCCCATCAGAAAACAGACCTTGGGCTGCACCCCACCCCTCTCCACCCGCCTTTCCCCAGACCAGGCAGGAGGCATGGGACTGGGCCAGGTCAGTCAGCTGTGCCCCCTCCCCTGCCAGTGTTGAGGGGTCCGTGCCCCCTCCCAGGCACGGGAAAGGGAATGACTGGTGCTGCAAGGTTAGGGGGTGCATGACCCAAGTCCTACAACCCCCTCACTGCCCACAATCTCGGCGCCACCCCAGCTCACCTCGAGGCTGAGCCTCCTGTCCCGGCGGGCACACATGGTGTTTGCAGGTGCTGCACTGGGGGTCTCCGCAGTGGAACTCGGCTTGAACACACGTGCAGTTCCGTCCGGGGCACGGCGCCTCCCCTGGGCAGCAAAGGACACCCCGCGAGTCCCACCTGCCCTCCCGCCTCGCCCAGGCTCCAGGGCATGGGTCCGGGCCCCGTCCTGCTCCTCCTCCTCCTCGCGGCCACAGAAACGCCCTGGGCGGGTCCCGCGGGCCCCCACCCACAGCTGCGCTCCCGGGACCCCACTGCGGGCCGTCCCGCACCCCTCCGGCCCGCGCCTTACCCGGGGCGCAGGGGCCGCAGCAGCGCGCGGCGGTGCCCTGCCCGTCCAGGAAGCGCCCGGGGCCACAGCTCGGCATCGCGGCGGGACGCTGACCCAGGCCCAGAGCGCAGAGCAGCGCGACCCCGCACAGGGCTGCCGTCGCGCCCATCGCGCCCCTGGTAGCGCCCGCGCAGGGGATTTCAGCAGGCCCGCGCCCCGCCCTGCCCCGCCCCGCGCGATGGGCCCGGAAGCAGGTACTCTGCGGGCGCTCTCAGCCGCGCCGCTGGAGCTCTGGGGGTTCGGAGCCCAGAGGAGGCGCTGGCGAGGAGAGACCATGGCATGCACGATTGGATTTATTAGAGAGGAGAGAGAGTTCTCCCGTGAAGACCCCTTCCCAGATGTCCGCACAGAGGGACTGCTGGCTGGGGTAGGAGTTGAGAGCAGAGCTGACTCCCTGGGCCACCTCGCGGGCGTGCAGTCCCAAGCCCTGGAGTCAGGATTTGAACTCTAGACCCACCCTGGACTCACGTCTGGAATCCCAACCAAACCCCCTTGGACTGAAGAGCGGATCTGATTGTGGCTGCTGGGGTTCTAGGACGGACACAGCCATGGTCTGGGGCAGGGGGCTCCCGGGGAGGGCGGGGTTTGGTGAAAGGGGGAAAACCCCCAAGGAGGTGAGGTGTTCTGGTAGGGGGAGGGGTTCCCCCAGGAAAGGCGTGCTGGTAGGGGGAGTGAGGCCCAGGGAGCTGATGTCATGGTGGGGTGCAGAGGGGCCCCAGGAGCCACGCCCATAGCGCCCCAGGACAGCAACTCCTGTAAGCCACCTCAGCTGAGGCGGCAGTCCACCTGTAAACAGAAACAAGGTTTTTTAAAGACCAGAAGATGGAAAATCCTGACTGGACTGGCTGAAGCCAGGAGGCAGGGACCAGGGACCAGGGGCCTGGAGCTCCAGGTCACCCACATGAGCCCAGGGACTCAGATCATCCTTCGTGGCTTCTCAGATACAGCAGGGAGATGGATGGGAAGCGGTGCTGCCAGGACTCGAGCCAGCGCCCATATGGGATGCTCCGGTCCTTCCGTCCCCGGGGGCTGCCAGGTGTCAGCAGTTTATGAGCCCTAGGTCTCTGCGGGAGCAAAGCGCATGTCCAGGGCAGGCTGTGGCTCCAGGGAGGGGCCGTGCTGGCCAGGGCATGGGGGTCTCTCCAGGGCCCCAAGATCAAGCTCCTGGACCCCAGAAGAAGGGACAGTCAACACCAGGACAGGAGCTGGGGGCCTTCTGTGGCTTAGCCAGAAACCAGGGATGCCAGTTGCGCTTCCATCCAGCTCCCTGCTCACAGCTCTGGGAAGCAGCAGGGGAAGGCCCCAGAGCCCACCAGGGGAGACCTGGGGGGGGGCCCTGGCTCCTGCTTGCTCCCGCCCCGACTGGCACAGCCACCTGGGAGTGAAGCTCATACTCTCTCCAACTCTGACTTCAAATAAACCAATTTTTAAAAAGGATTTATTTATCTTTATTGCAAACTCAGATATACAGAGAGAAGGAGAGACAGAGAGAAAGACCCTCTGCCTGATGATTCACTCCCCAAGTGATCGCAATGGTCGGTGCTGAGCCGATCTGAAGCCAGAACCAGGAACTTGCGCCAGGTCTCCCTTGGTGGTACAGGGTCCCAAGGCTTTGGGCCATTCTCAACCTCTCTCCCAGGCCACAAACAAGGAACGGGATCACCGGGACCAGAACCGGCGCCCACATGGGATCCTGGTGTGCTCAAGACAAGGACCTCAGCTGCTAGGCTACTGTGCCGGGCTCTGTTTCTTTGTTTCTTTAAGAAGAAAGAGAACCACTGCTGTAGGCCCCTGCCTGGGTTGCCTTGTTCCTAGGCACGCAGCCGTGGCTGGCGGGCACCCTGGCCCATACGACTCTGTGTTAACTATGCTGGTATGCCAGCATAGCTACCTACTTAATGTTAAATCTGTGGGGGGCGGCGGGGAACGGGTCAGGGGGCATATGTGCTGGAGGAGGCCACCCTGCTGCATTTGGGGGGAACACATGGCCTGGGACTGGGGGTCTGGAAAGAACTGTAATGGGGCCACTGAGGGCTTGTCTGACATGTAGAAAATGACAGAAGAGAGGGAAGCTGCTGACCTGCCTGCTGGGCAGGTGCAGGGGTGCTGGAGGCTGGACTTCTGGACCTGCCCCTGTTGCTGCTCAGACCGGGGGGCAGGAACAGGCAGCAGGGACAGAGGACAGAGCAAGGACAGAAGGCAAGGGACAGAGTAGGGGGCAAGGGCAGGGACAGCGACAAGGGACAGAGACAAGCACAGGGGCCAGTGGGCAGGAGCAGTGGAGACAACTCCAACCCCCGTCAGTGCCTGGGACAAGCTCCGCTCCTGCTCAGTTCTCAGTGTAAGGTGTTTGGGTCCTTGCCATTCACACGCCGCCCAGCTGCAGGGCAGGCTCACGTGGCCCTGGCTGCTGTGGGTGCTAGGAATGGACCTAGATCTGTGGCGCTCTCTCTCTCTCCCTCACGCTTTGCCTTCCTCTCCTGCATCTAATAAACAGATAGCGGGGAGGCAGCACTGGAGCCCAGCTGCTCTGCTTCCCAGCCAGCTCCTACTGCTGCACCTGGGAGGCAGTGGCAAAGACGTGCTGACACCCACATGGGAGACCCACGTGGAGCTCCCGGCTCCTGGCTCTGGGCTGCTTGGTAAATGAATCAGCCAGCGATGGATGGTCTTATGCACCTCCCTCTCTCTCTCGGGTCGGAGGCATGGCAATGCCTCTACCTGCAAACCAGCACCCCACATGGGCACCAGTTCAAGTCCTGGCTGCTCCACTTCTGATTCAGTTCCCCGTCAATGTGTTTGGGAAAGCAGCAGAGGCCAGCCTAAGTCCTCGGGAGCCTGCACCACCGAGGGAGACCCTGGCTCCTGGCGTCAGATTGCTTCAGCTCTGGCCATTGTGGTCACTGGGGAGTGAACCACTGGATGGAAGCTCTCTCTCTCCCTGTAAAACCTTTCAAATAAATATTAAAAATGAAGAGCATTTGGTAAGATTAACTTTTAGTATCAGCACTGCCAGTGGCCTTTATTTTTGTTTTATATTGCTGCACAGGAAATTTTCACATAAAGCTCAAGTATTTTCACCTTTTACTCCCAGTAACTTGTTGTAAATTTTGCTCATTAAAAAAAAAGTTGATTTATTTACTTGAGAGAGTTACAGAAAGAGGGAGACACAGGGAGAGAGAGCTTCCACCCACTGCTTCACTCCCCAAGCGGCTTCAATGGCTGGAGCTGAGCTGAGCTGACACTGGCAGGCAGGAGCTTCTTCCAGGTCCCCCATGCAGGTGCAGGGTGGCTTCGGGCCGTCCTCGACTGTTTTCCCAGCTTACAGGGAGCTGGATGGGAAGTGCGGCCACCAGGACATGCATCTGTGCCCTTCTGGGATGCCAGCATTGCAGCGGGAAGCTTTATGGCTGCACCAGGCCTCAGCCAATGCTCACGGCTTGCTTGTAGGTGTTGGTCTCTCGTGTTTGGTTGTTCCGCTGAGTCAGGTAGGTGTGGGGGCGGCCCACAGGATGGGCGTGATGGAAACCCCAGGCGCAGGCCGGACGCAGGGCAGACGTCAGCCACTGGCCGTGCCCACGTCCCCTTCCTGCCCCCGGAAGCTCCTCACTGGGTGCTCAGCGGTTTTCGTGACCAAGGAGGTCTCTCCATGGTTCTCAAAGCCTCTGCTCACACCACAGGTGCCTGGCCCTGGGCAACCCATGCAAGGGCATACACAGCTGGAGGGCAGAGGACAACAGTGGACAGGGAGGCCTGGCTGGGGCAGCAGGTCCAGAGGGAAAGGCCTAGTCCTGTGGCCTTCGACCTTGCAGCCCAGCTGCCCAGCTCAGCCTTTGGGGAACCCGGGAGGGGGTGAGGGGTCAGAGTCCCCAGGAGAGAGCAAGCTGGGCTGCTCCACGGTCAGGGGAGGACACCGTGCCATCACGGGGACAGAGGATCAGGGACCTGTGCCTGGCTCGGTCATCAGCCTTCCGCCCACCTCTCCCACGTGCTCCTGCCGTGGAGGAGCAGAGCCCAGGACCCTGAAAGGAAGCCAAGAGTGGCAGCCAGTGGGCTCCGGGGCCACCGCCCACTCCCCTCCCTCATGGAGCCGGGCTTCTTCGCCATGGGGCTGCACATTCAGAGCCACAGTGGCTGGTGTGTTTATTGAGGCAGCACCAGGCAGGGTCCGCAGGACACACATGCCTGGGGGGCAGGGGCTGAGGTCCACCTGTGGCTTCCCCTCCCTGAGGCGTTGTTCAGATCTTGGCCATTGCAGAATGTGCATGCGCCTGCTCCTCCTGGACAGGGGTCCGGAAGCTGCTTCCCCCTGGGGATGAGGCAGGAGCCAGAGGTTGGGCGGGGGCTCAGACTCCCCTGCCAGGGGCGGTCTGGGCTGGCTCCACCACGGGCACTCACCAGGGGGCTTGGGGTTCCTCCAGGTCCTTCCAGGCAGGTATACAGCCAGCAGGGCAGCCAGTGGGGCCAGCAGGCCCAGGCCCAGGCCTAGGCTCAAGACAATGGCCAGCTCCGAGCCTGTGGGGAAGGACTTGGTGGGCGGGCCATGGGGACCCCAGGAAGGCTCCAGGACAGCCCTACCTAAGGCCGCAAGTCCCTTACCCCTGGAGGGTTCCAAGGCGGTGGGCAGAGGGTCCTGTGTGGTCCTGGGCCAGGCCGTGGTGGGCTGGGCAGAGGAGCTGTGGGTCTCCTGGGGTAGAGTTGACGAGGCGCCCCAGTCCGCGCAGACAGCGTCCGAACTGCTGCTGGCTGGCCGCAGGGTCCGCTTGCCAGCCACAGAACAGCTGGTGGGGGGACAGTAGGATGAACCAGGCTGACACCCCAGGACCACCCTGGACTACAGCCCAAGGCAGCCGCTCGGAGGGAGGTCCCACCTGAGCGCCCGCCCAGTGTTCCGGGCACTCACTCAGTCCAGGGCCTGCATCTCTGGTTGTTGCCTTCAGAGAAGTGGCCCTTGGGGCAGGGCTCGCAATCTGCAGCACAGAACAGGAGGTGAGGGGACAGCGTGCTGGGCTGGTGGGGACAGGGAAGGGGTGGCCACAGCACTCCCCGACGGACTCCCCAGCCCCACGGCACTCACCCACACCGGGCTTGTAGCCAGCCTGGGGCTGTGTGCCAGGCCGGCAGCGGCAGATCGTGTCCCGCGTGGGTGAACACCGCTGCCATAGCTCGCTCCCACTCTCTGGGCGGGGAGACGGACAGTCAGGGTTCTCACCGCTCCCGCTCACCTCCCCTTTCCCACAGCCCTAACCCGGTGCCAGCCCCTCCTGCTTGTGGTCTCTAGCCTGCAGCAGTGGAGGTAGAAGCAAGCAACTCTGGACCCGACTGGGGCCCTTCAGAGGACCCCACGTGACCCCGAGCAGGTGCTGGGGACCCCCGCCACAGTCTGTGGTTTGGGGGGGAGGAGGAGGCACGCGGGTCTCCCTGCGGTCGCACGGGGTGGAGGAGGGGCAGAGATCTCACCGTGGTTGCACTGCGTGCAGGGCTTACAGGCCTCATAGTTCACCACGTCGTTGTAGAAGCCAGGCGCACATGGGCGGCACTCCGTGTCCCTGGCATGGTCGCAGCGGCTGACCATCTCGCTGCCTGCAGGAGACCCCAACGTCAGCCCGCGCCCCCCGCATGAGGCTCGCACCCACCGTGTACGGCCTGGCCCCCCCATCCACACGCAGCCCTGGCAACCCACCCCTGTCCTCCACCACGAACCCCCACCCCTACCCTGATGGACCTGGCTGACACTCTCGGCAGCACCTATGGTCGCCAGGGTAGGTGTCCCCGACGCAGGAAGGCCTGGCCTGGGTGCTGAGCCCCAGCCCCAGGAGCAGGAGTGCCAGGCAGGGCACACCAGACCCTGCCCCAGTACGCATCCCAGCTGCTGCTGCAGGGCAGGAGTTGGGGCTGTCTCGCAGGATGTGGCTATAAGAGCTGGGGGAGTGGCGGGGAGAGGGGATGAGCGGGAGGCAGGTGCACACGTGTGCGGCTGGTGCGTGGGAGAGTCCTGCCCCTCCCGTTAGAGCCCAGGGATAGGGTTAGGCAGCAGGGTCTAGCTATGGCCACCACCCTGGGTCTTGGGCAGGGACAGAGAAGATGAGGCAGCCTCTGGGTTGCCTTTGGGCCAGGGTCCATGCGGTGGGTGTCACACGTGTGCATACACCTACACACACAGGCCATCCAGCAGGCATCACACGTGTGCACACACATGCCTACAGCACAAGGCCATCCAGCAGGCATCACACGTGTGCACACACATGCCTACAGCACACAGGCCACCCAGCAGGCGTCACACGTGTGCACACACATGCCTACAGCACACAGGCCACCCAGCAGGCATCACACGTGTGCATACACCTACACACACAGGCCATCCAGCAGGCATCACACGTGTGCACACACATGCCTGCAGCACAAGGCCATCCAGCAGGCGTCACACATGTGCACACACATGCCTACAGCACACAGGGTCACACATGTGCACACACATGCCTGCAGCACACAGGCCATCCAGCAGGCGTCACACGCGTGCACACACATGCCTACAGCACACAGGCCATCCAGCAGGTGTCACACCTATGCACACAACCACTACAGATTCACATGTGTGCACACAGCATTTTGCTGAGGAGGGGCCTGGAGTTTGGCAGGGGCAGTGGCCACTGCAGGATTGTTCAGAGTTCAAGCACAGCACTGGAGGGGGGGCGGAAACCCTGTGTCCTAGCCAGCAAACCCACCAGTGACACCAGCATCCCGTGTGGGCACCAATATGAATCCCGGCTGCTCCACTTCCCGTCCAGCTCCCTGCTCATGGCCTGGGAAAGCAGCAGAGAATGGCAAAATTGCTTGGACCCCTGCACCTGCTTGGGAGACTTGAGGAAGCTCCCGGCTTCTGGCTTCAGTTTGGCCCACCCCCAGCATTGCGGCCATTTGGGGAGTGACCTAGCAGGTGGAAGACCTCTTTGCTCTATCACCGTTTCTGATCGATAGGTCACTAAACAGATGGACAAGCAGGCGACTGATACATATGCAGACTTTGGAAAGAGGCCCAGCAGTGCAGTGCCCTGCACCGACAGGATGGCAGGGGAGGGTGGAAAGCCCCTTGCTCCTCCCTGCTCAGGCGGGGGAATTCCCAGCAGCCGGGAAGGGCTCGGGTTTGGGTAGAGGCTGCCCATGGCCCGTCCCGAGCTCCTGAGGCGCAGAGGGCCCAGGGTGGGCGCGGCTGGTCCCCACATGCCCATGTGTGTGTGGTAGTACGGTGTGTGCTGGTGTGTGCTAGGGAGCCGCTTCCATCTGCCTCAGAGGGGACAGTTGCCCAGGTTGTGTCCCCCAAGATGTCTCCCTGGAGGCTAGTCCAGGGCTGGCACTCAGTGCTCCTGACACCCTGGCTGCCCACTACTTGTTTCTTTTTAAAGATTTAATTTTTATTGCAAAGTTATATACAGAGAGGAGAGGACGGAAGATCTTCTGTCTGATGATTCACTCCCCAAGTGACTGCAATGGCCGGTGCTGAGCTGACCTGAAGCCAGGAGCCAGGAACTTGCTCCAGGTCTCCCACATGGGTGCAGAGTCCCAAAGCTTTGGGCCATCCTCGACTGCTTTCCCAAGCCACAAGCAGGGAGCTGGATGGGAACTGGAGAACTGCTGGGATCCCAGCGCATTCAAGGTGAGGACTTTAGCTGCTAAGCCACCACACCGAGTCCCCCAGTATGTTTACTTACTTGTTTGAGAAGCAGAATCACAGAGGGAGAGGGTGACAGGACACAAGCTCTCCAATCCACCAGTTTACCTTGCCAATGGCCGTGAGCACCAGGGTGGGCCAGGCCAGCACCAGAGCCTCCCACACAGGGGTACTAGCAGGGAGATGGATCAGAAGCGGGGTGGCTGGCACTTGACTCTGCACCCACATGGCATGCTGGTCGCACAGGAAGCTTTACTCACAACACCATAGCTCTGGTCCCTCCCTGCTCTTCTGATTCAGCTCTGTGCTAAAGCACCTAAGAGGCAACAGGCACGAGCCAGCGCCTGAGGCATTGGGCCTTGTAGGCGACCAGGATGGAGCTTCCGGCTCCCAGCTTCAGCCCAGCCCAGCCATCTGTGGCCATTCAGCCCGGCCCCACCAGGTCCATCTCCATGATCATCACCCCTTCGCCTGGGCCCTCCTGGGCTGCGACCCCTTCGCCTGGGCCCTCCTGGGCTGCGACCCCTTCACCTGGGCCCTCCTGGGCTGTGAACCATTCGGTCCTGGTGAGAGGTCCCAGCTCAGCACTGTTTTGGCTCCAGGAGACACTGCGGATAGGGCACTGGTCTTGGGGCAGGAACAGCTCGTGCCCCCAGACCACAGGCTGAGGCCTGCAGCCCGGCATCCTGCCCACACACACCTCAGGAGGGCAGCAATGGCAAGTCACTTCCACTCCCACAGAGACCTGGACCAAGTTCCCAGCTCCTGACTTCAGCCTGGCCCAGCCGTATGGGCACCGAGCGAGCAATGCACTTCAGCCTGGCCCAGCTGTGTGGGCACCAAGCAAGCAACACACTTCAGCCTGGCCCAGCCGTATGGGCACCGAGCGAGCAATGCACTTCAGCCTGGCCCAGCCGTGTGGGCACCGAGCAAGCATTGCACTTCAGCCTGGCCCAGCCGTGTGGGCACTGAGCGAGCAACGCAGCAGACAGCTGTATGGGCTCATCTGTGCTCTCAAGCAGTACAGAAAGGCACTGACTCCAGCGTGCAGTGGAGAACTGAAGACCCTTGGCCAGCCAAAACCGAAGCAGTCTGTCTCCGAGCCTGGAGCCACACAAGGCCAGCACGCTGCACAGTGCATCCGTGAGCTGCTCAAGATCGCCCCTGCACCAGCAAGACCAGCAGGACCAGCACAACCCCTGGGATGTGGAGGGCAGCTCCTTAGGGCCCTTCCTGCTGGCCACCCCATGAGCCTGTTCCAGGACAAGGCACCCTGCCTGGTGACATTCTTGTGTGCAGCCACTGGGCCCCTGGGGCCAGCGACAGCACCTGCAGGCCAAGCAGTGAGGAAGACAAGGAGCCTGCCTCTCAAATGTGTACACGATGCTCCCTGGAGTGTTACACAGGACAGAGGGAGGCAGATCCCCACCAAGTCAGGCCTGGCCAGGTTCAAGGCTGCCACGGGGCTGCCACGCAGACACAACAGCCCAGGGACACCGGCAAAGGGGCCTTCCCAGGCTGTGCTGCACCACCTGCCCAGTGTCGTTTGGAAGGACAAACCCTGAGGCCAGGGCTGGCAAGCTATCTGGGAGCCCTGCCCTCGGCTGCCCCTGCCCGTTGGGATACGACTTTCTGTCCAGGTGGTGCTGAATGACCGGGGGCGCTGCACAGCCAGCCGACCCTGGGACAAGGACCTCGGCAGTAAACCTCTCTGGCTCCGAGCCACAGCCAGGCATGACAGATCTTAAAGCAGAGCTGAGTCCACTGGTCTGGCCACCCAGGGGACAACGGTCCATAGCAGCCGGTAGGTGGGGTCCCCGCCTTCTTGCAGGGCACAGACTTGGAGGGCCTCTCCTGCACAGGGCCCCCAGGCACCCAACCCCCATGGTCACAGAGGTCCCCAGCCGTCGTTTGTGGGTTTTTTTTTTTTTTGTCAACAAAGAACCAAAGTGGAGAGAAAAAGGCAACTGTATTTTAAATTAATGTGACTTCTGTCACAACCCCTGTCTGCACTGCACCCGGCGACACCTGCGGGACCGGGGCCACTCCCCGCCAGCGCGCCACCGAGGACACCGCAGGAACGGCGCTTTCCCACGCCCTCAGAACTCCTCGTGCACGTTGCGCGCGTAGTCCATGAGCTTGCTGCCCGTGAAGAACTCGCTGTAGCGGAGGATCTCCTCGAGCTCCAGGTGCTGGTTTTGGTTCTCGTCGGCGATGGCGATCATCTGCTTGGCCTCGTTGAGGGCGTTGTACTCGTTCAGGGGGTCCATGTAGCTCTAGGGGGGCGGGCTGGTCACACCGCCCGCCCCCGCGGAGGGGCCTGAGCCACCAGGGTGCCCAGTGCTCTGCCCCCGTCCTCCCCGAGGACAGAAGAGTCAGTGCCCATACGCAGGGCAGGACGCACAATGACCACACACGGGGCACACGCCTCAGTGCCCACACATGGATACATACACGCTTCAGCGCCCACACATGGATACATTCACGCCTCAGCGCCCACACACGGGGTACACGCCTCAGCGCCCACACACACGGGGCACACACACGGATACATACACGCCTCAGTGCCCACACATGGATACACACGGGGGACACACGCCTCAGCACCCAGGTGGTGCAGCTCACACGTGGGCACAGGCAGAGCCCCTCTCACCTCCAGCTCCTCCGAGGTCACAACCCCGTCGTGGTTGGAGTCGATGAGGTCCTCAAACTCCTTCCTCCTGTCCCTCACCCAACTGTCGTCCATGTCCTGACCCTGCTGGTTCTCCACGGTGCCCACGGGCAGGGAGATGAACTCGGGCAGCGAGAGCCGCTTGTCCCCATCCTGGTCTGAGCAGGGACTCACATGAGGTGCCAGCCTGGTCCCACTCAGTGCCCCAGTCTTCCCTGCCAGGGCCAGAGTCCCCACCCTGTGCCCCAGCCAGCCTCACCCAGGTCACGGATGATCTCCTTGACCATGAACCTGAGCATGCCACGGCTGTGCTCGGGGTGCAGGAAGGACAGGAACTCCTCCTCGGTCAGCAGCAGGTCAGCAGGGGGGTTGTCCGCCTGGTACCAGCGGTCCTTGAGGTTCTCAAGGGCTTCCTGTGCTGAGGGGGTGGCCCATGAGCACCGGGGCCCACACTTCCCAGGATGCTGTCTAAACTCGGTCCCGCCAGAGCCCCAACATGGCCCAGGACACCCCAAGGAGCCCGGATACTGTCCAGGACACAGCCCTAAGGAGACCCAAAACAACCCAAGGAGCCCCAACATGGGGCCAAGGACGCCCCAAGGACACGACCCTAAGGAGAACCAGGACTTGACCAGGACACCCCAAGGAGTCCAGGACACGGCCCAGGATGCTCCAGGGAGCCCAGGACACGACCCCAAAGGGCCCAGGACATGGCCCAGGACTCCCCAAGGAGCCCCGACATGGCCCAGGCTCCCCCTCCCCCCACGGCTGGGCCCTGGGAAGACGGAACCAGCTTGGCTGACTCAGCCGCCAAGAAGCGCAGCGTCTGCAGAAGGGTAGCGTCCCCGCCTTCACGTGCAGCCAGGCAGCCCGAGCGGGAAAACCCAAGTCTGGAAATGACTTGTAGCAACCTACACAGCCACCCGCGGGACAGGGCTGGAGGCGACCATGTGTCCACCAGATACTGTGGGGACACTGCAGACTGGCTACTAACCCAGCTGTCACCACGTCCACTACTGTCGCATCCACCACAGCCCTCACCACATCCATCACAGTCCTCACCATGTCCACCACAGCCGTCACCACGTCCACCACAGCCAGCACCATGTCCACCACAGCCGACACGTCCACCACAGCCATCACCACGTCCACCACAGCCATCACCACGTCCACCACAGCCGTCACCACGTCCACCACAGCCGTCACCACGTCCACCACAGCCGACATGTCCGCCACAGCGTCACCACGTCCGCCACAGCCATCACCACGTCCGCCACAGCCCTCACCACGTCCACCACAGCCCTCACCACGTCCACCACAGCCGTCACCACGTCCGCCACAGCCGTCACCACGTCCGCCACAGCCCTCACCACGTCCACCACAGCCCTCACCACGTCCACCACAGCCAGCACCACGTCCACCACAGCCAGCACCACGTCCACCACAGCCCTCACCACGTCCACCACAGCCCTCACCACGTCCACCACAGCCCTCACCACGTCCACCACAGCCCTCACCACGTCCGCCACAGCCAGCACCACGTCCGCCACAGCCCTCACCACGTCCACCACAGCCCTCACCACGTCCACCACAGCCAGCACCACGTCCACCACAGCCATCACCACGTCCACCACAGTTGTCACCATGTCCACCACAGCCGTCACCAAAGCTCTCACCACATCCACCACAGCCCTCACCACGTCCACCACAGCTTTCACTCATATGGTGACTCCAGAGCATGAGCGCTGCTTTCCCCACCCTCGACTCCAGCCCCCAATTCCATCCCTCTCCTCTTCTCAACCCAGACCCTGATTCCCCAAACTCAGCCCTATCTACCTTTGTCCTCCTCATGGCTGTACACACTTCACATGGAGGGCTCATCTGGTGTCCCATGCCCTCCCTCCTCATAAGATGTCCACACCTACCCTCTCCTAGATGTGAGAATGTGCCAGAGCCCATCAGGGTCGGAAGCCCCCCATGCTGCAGCCTCGGCACCCCCTCCGTCCCAGGTGCCTGGGGACAGCCCAAGTGGACTGCTCAGTGCTGCAGTCAGTACGGATGACAACACTGACACACGGTCTCACAGGACACAAAGGCACACCTGGCGTGACAGTGTGCACTGCAAGGGTGCCCGCTCCCATCGCTTCCCGCCCGGCCTGTGCACTCACTCTCCTCGTCCACCTGGAGCCCCTGTTTGCTCTGCAGGGCAGCGGCGACCTCCTTCTCACTGTGGCCTTTACTGACCAGGAACTTCACTTTGTACTCGTCCCATGACACACGGCCTGAGAGAGACATGGCCAGTAGGGGTCAGGGGCAAGGGCCTCTGGGGAGCAGACTCAGTCACCCCAGGAAGCCAGCTGCCCGTGCCTGAGCCACAGCATCGGCAGAGGCCCAAGTGGCAGGCGGCTGGCTCCGACCACACAGCCGTGCCCAGCACTAGGGGACAGAGCACTTGGGCCACATACAGGGCTCCCCCGCCCACCGTCGCCATCGGGGTCCACGGCCCGGAAGTGCATCCTGTTCTCCCGGACAGCCTCCTGGAAGTGCTCGGCCGTCTTCTCCATGATCCAGCGCTGCATCTCCTTGGCACTGACCTTCCCGTCTGCGTTCACGTCCACCCTGTGTGTGGGCAGGTGTGGTATCACACGGAGCCCTAACACAGACCCCACCCAGCAATGAGGAGGGGAGCCCTCAGGAGACACGGGCGGGCTGAGGACGGCCCTGACCCTGCCGTCGGCTTGCTACCCGGTCTCTACAGCTGCAAGGAAAGGGGCCTTTGGGGGTGTAGAGAAGACAGCCGGGAATCCAGGGTGCTGGAGAATGTGGCCTGTAGGTGTCAGTGCGAGTCCCGGGTGCTCCACTTCCCATCCAACTTCCTCCTTACGGTCTGGGAAAGCAGTGGAGGATGGCTCAAGTGCTCGAGCCCCAGCACCCACGGAGGAGACCGGAGGAAATCCCTGGCTCTGCCTAGGTCCAGCCCTGGCTGTTGCGACCATGCAGGGTGAACCAGCAGAGGGAAGATCTCTCTCTCTCTCTCTGTCGCTTGCTCTTGTTCTCACTCTGCCTTTCAAATAAATAAATCTTCAAAAGACAGAACCTTAGGCCTGGCATGTTAGCCTAGCAGCTAAAGTTCTGGCTTTGCATGCCCAGAATCCCATATGGGTGCTGGTTCTAATCCTGGCAGCCCCAATTCCCATCCATCTCCCTGCCTGTGGCCTGGGAAAGCAAAGACACCCAAAGCCTTGGGACCCTGCACCCGCAGGAGACCCAGAAGAGGCCCCAGGATCCTGGCTTCAGATTGGCACAACTCCGGTCATTGCAGCCACTTGGGAAGTGAATCAGGAGACGGAAGATCTGCCTCTCTATCTGACTTTCCAGTAAAAATAAATAAATCTTTAAAAAAAAAAAAAGCCAGGAACCTCCCATCACAAGGCAGAGGGGCCACGAGGAGCGTGGGCGTCATCTGCAGCTCTCACCCTCCCCTAGCCCGCTGCCCCAGTCCCCATCTGCCCCCATCTGTCCAGGATGAGCACGGCTGGCCCGGCCCTGGGGACCCACTTGGAGAAGATGAGCACGAGCTTGCTGCGGCTGCGGCGTGGTGCAGCGTCCTCCTCGAAGCCGTCCACATCCTTGCCCAGGAAGACTTCCTGGTGGAAGTCCTTGTTGAGGTGCCCGTCCATCTCCAGCTTCACCCCGTTCAGGTGGTCGGGCGGCACGAGCTCGTTCTCATCCCGGGCTGATGAGTGGTTGGTGGGCCGTGCAGCCGCGTCCAACAGGAGGACACCGCCCAGGAGCCAGAGGCAGAGGGGGGGCCGGGGACGCGCCATGGCCTGAGGGAGAGGAAGAGGAAGGACACGAGCGGCTGTCATGACCAAGGAGGCCGGCAAGTCCCCCCTTCCCAGGACCCAGGGCTCTGGGCGAGGCTGAACCGTCACCACTGCTCTGGGCATTGCTTCTGCTGCTCTTGCCAGGCCCAGGGAGGCGCCCCACCCTGCCCCAGGGGGCCCAGCTGCTCCCGCAACTCAGGGGTAGCCCTCCCTACCCTGCTGTGTCCTGAGGCATCTGGCGGGGAGACTGGGACCTTCCATGCCAGCACCCCATGGGGGCTCCACCTCCTGCCCAGCTCCCTACCACCTGCCATGCCAGCACCCCATGAGGACTCCTCTTCCCACCCAGCTCCCTGCCATCTGCCATGCCAGCACCCTGTGGGGACTCCGCTTCCCACCCAGCTTCCTGCATGCCAGCACCCCATGGGGGCTCCACCTCCTGCCCAGCTCCCTGCCACCTGCCATGCCAGCACCCCATGAGGACTCCTCTTCCCACCCAGCTCCCTGCCATCTGCCATGCCAGCACCCCGTGGGGACTCCGCTTCCCACCCAGCTTCCTGCATGCCAGCACCCCATGGGGGCTCCACCTCCTGCCCAGCTCCCTGCCACCTGCCATGCCAGCACCCCATGAGGACTCCTCTTCCCACCCAGTCCCCTGCCAAGCTAACCCACGCAGATCTAGAGCTCCAAGCTCAGCTATTCGCAAAGTGTACAGGGGTACAGCTGCTTGCCTCTCACACATATACAAGAAAGATGACCCCAAGAGATGTGAATGCCACACACTGCGGTGGGCAGGGGTGTCCCACAGGAAAAGAACTTCACCTCACTCCACCCCCCCTTGGGAAGTGGGAGCTGAGCCCCCAGACAACAGGCACGGGGCACCGCTGGTGCAGTGGGCTCTAGGACTCAGGAGCCCCGTGGACACACGGCGAGCCCACGGGAGCCTCCCTCGCCTCCGGCCGGCCCCCCCGACCTTGCAGTGGATAAGCGGCAGCGGCAGCACTCCGGTCATGTCCCACACCGGCTCAGGTGCCCGCAGCCCACCCTGCCGAGGGCGCACGTTAACACGCCGGCCCTGCCGCTGTCCCGAAGCCCGAGGCCGGCGTGGGCTCCCTCTGGAGGCTGCTGGCCCCTACCGGGCCCTCAGGGGAGCTGCGTGCTCGGGCATCGCTGGCGGACTCGGGACGACCACGAGACGACGGCCACTGCCGTCCGGGGTTTCGGCTCCCGCTGCTTCCGGGGCGGCCTGCGGGCCCTGCCTGGGCGGAAGCGGAGGCGGTCGGCCACGGCCCAAGGTGACCTCGCGGGCGGCCCGGCTCCCTACGCATCGGCCCCGCGGCCGCACCCCAAGGTGCGACGCAGAGAACGCGGGGCCGGACGCGGCCCGAGCCTCGGCCCGCAGCGCCGCGGGGACGGCCACGGCTCCCCAGCTCAGGCGCGCGACGCCCGGCGCGAGGCGAGGCTCGACCGCAGGCCCGCTCCGCGCAGGGCAGCCGGTACGAGGCCCTAACGTGTGCGGCGGCCGCCCGGGCCCCTCACTCACCGGCCGCCCTCCCGCGCCCGTGACCCGAGAGTGGACCCAGCGCCTGCGACGCCTCGGACCAGACTGGGGTCAGGCCGCGGCCATCTTTCTTCCGGGAGGAGGCGGGCCGGCGGACAGAGCGCACCACCTCGCCGCGCTGACGCCGGCGCCGCCATGGCACGTCCGGGAGGAAGCGGCCGCCCGGCGCTGGAAGGCCAACCAATGAAGAGGGGGCGCGCTGCCACGTGACGCCCGTCCCCGCCTCCGCCGGTGTGCCGCGGCCCCGGGCGGGACGGAGGCTGCCGTGGGGGCGCGCGCGCGGCCCGGAGCTCCACGCCGCCGGAGGCATGAGGCTGCCGCGGCGCGCGTGGCGGCGGCGCGCGGCGCTGCTGGGGCTGGGCGCGCTGGCGCTGTGCGGGGCGGCACTGCTGTTCCTGGCGCGCTGCGGCCCCGAGGGCGCGCGGGCGGCGGCCAGGCATGGCCCCGCGCCCGCCGAGCCCGCCGCGCCCGCCGGACCCCGAGCCGCCGCCTTCCTGGCCGTGCTGGTGGCCAGCGCGCCCGGCGCCTTCGAGCGCCGCAGCGCGGTGCGCAGCACGTGGCTGGCGGCGCGGCGCGGCGGCCCTGGAGACGTGTGGGCGCGCTTCGTGGTGGGCACGCGCGGCCTGGGCGCCGAGGAGCTGCGCGCACTGGAGCGCGAGCAGGCGCGGCACGGGGACCTGCTGCTGCTGCCCGCGCTGCGCGACGCCTACGACACCCTGGCCGCCAAGGTGCTGGCCATGCTGGTCTGGCTGGACGAGCACGTGGCCTTCGAGTTCGTGCTCAAGGCGGACGACGACTCGTTCGCGCGCCTGGACGCCCTGCTGGCCGAGCTGCGCGGACGCGACCCCGCGCGCCGCCGCCGCCTCTACTGGGGCTTCTTCTCGGGGCGCGGGCGCGTCAAGGCGGGGGGCCGCTGGCGCGAGGCCGCCTGGCAGCTGTGCGACTACTACCTGCCCTACGCGCTGGGCGGCGGCTACGTGCTCTCGGCCGACCTGGTGCACTACCTGCGCCTCAGCCGCGACTACCTGCGCACCTGGCACAGCGAGGACGTGTCTCTGGGCGCCTGGCTGGCGCCCGTGGACGTGCAGCGCGAGCACGACCCGCGCTTCGACACCGAGTACAAGTCGCGCGGCTGCAGCAACCAGTACCTGGTGACACACAAGCAGAGCGTGTCCGACATGTTGGAGAAGCACCAGACGCTGGCACAGCTCGGCCGCCTGTGCCAAGAGGAGGTGCAGCTGCGGCTCTCCTACGTCTACGATTGGTCTGCACCACCCTCGCAGTGCTGCCAGCGCCGGGAGGGCATCCCCTAGCGCCCCCCCCCCACGCGCTTGGCAGGCACTGGGGACCTGCTACCATCTCTTCCCAGCTGAATGTGGAAGCCTGGTGTCGTGCCAGCCCTGCTTTGCCCGGCCCACGCTCCCGCGGTCTGGACCTGCTCAGTGTTTGCCCAGCACTGGACTTGGCATGAGTGGTCAGCGTCCCTGGTGGACGCACATGTGCAGCATTCGCCCGCGCCAGACTGACCAGCGTGACCTGGAGCCCGGCCCGCATGTGGCTTTGAAGGGCTGCAGGCCCCGTGGGGGTGGAGGCCGTTGAGGCTCCTGAATCCGCATCAGGGCTCCGTTGGAGAAGAGAGCTTACAGGTGACTGCACTGTCCTCGCCTGCCTCGTGTCTGCTGGGCTAGACGGGAGGAGTAATTACTGCTTGAGCTTTCGCTGACCCCCCACTTGGGCACATGAAGAGTGGCTGCCTGCAGGAGCTCCTGCACCCTGGGGTCTGTAGGTGCCCTGTGCCTCTCCGTGAGGGGCCGGGCTTCCTGGGGCTTTGCATCTTGGACCTGTGCGGCAGCAGTGGGATGTTGGGGGAGGTTGAGTGCAGCCCACTGGCAGCCCTGAGGTGACGGGTGCTGGAGGGCAGTGTGGCAGTGCCCTCAGGACACCGGCCTGCGCAGCTGGGGTGCTGTGTGTCTGCGATGCCGAGTCAGCTCCCTGCTGACAGCCTGCGAAAGTGTCAGGGAGCCGGATGCAAGTCTTGGCTGAGACCAGGCAGGGGAGCGGACCATCTGTGCTCCTCTTGGGGACTCTGCCTTCCGAATAAATACCCTGTCTGTGGTCGGCGGCCAGGCAGCTCTCCCACCCACCTCTGTCCCCAGGAGGCTTGAGGTGCAGGCCCTGGGAGTCCAGCTCTGCTCAGAGTTGAACTGTGGGGTGCAGGGTCACCTCCAGGAGGGAGGGCACAGGCCCTCGGGGACTGGGCAGGAGACCCCTGAGGTCAGACCTGGCTCTGCTGGCCTGGGCTCCTACAGGTGGGGTTTGCTGTGATGGGGACCATCCCCCACTGGACAGATGACTTGACAGAAATGGCTGGCCTGTGGTCCAAACTGCCACTAGACACCCGAGATGCCAGAGTGGCCCCCGCGGTCAGGTGCCGAGTGGGCACAGCCCTGGTCATTGTTGGTGGCCCCTGCGGTCAGGTGCTGAGCAGACACAGTCCCGGTCATCCACATGTCCCCTATAGTCGGATGTCCACTAGACATGGCCCCACCATTGGGTGCCACGGTGATACAGCCCTGGTCTGCATGGCCCTGTGGTAGGTGCTGAGTGGACACAGCCCAGTGGCTCCCGCAGTCAGGTGCCACGTGGACACCGCAGACCTATCGGAGGCTCTGGCTGACCTCCTTCAGGAGTTCCCTCCTGCCAGGGTCTGGCGTCAGCTGTCCACCTACACCACCCCATCTGTCCCCACACTGCCGCCTCGCCCTGGCCCTGGGTCCTGAGCCTGAGGGACAGCCAGGGAGTTGGGGGGGAGGCTCGCTGCTCTCTCCCACCTCAGGCAGCAGATGCTCCACCTCCATGTCCTGAGAGCGCCCCCTACCGCCTGCTGGCTCCCCAAGGCCTGTCCAGTTCTGAGGAACCCAAATGGGGCCTACACCACTCCCCAACTCATTCCTGCAGGCCCCTACCCTCCCTCCTTCCCTCTTAGGTCAAGTCCCCACTGCTGACTTGAGCCCCTCGGAGCCCCCTGGGTGTCTCTAGAGCTTACCTCTCCCGTTAGCTCCATGGGTAGAACCACCCAAGGAGGGTGGCCGTCTGCAGCATGGATACCTGCTCTAATGGGCTGCATTCAGGGTAGACAGGCCACAGCAGGCCCTGGGTGCTGGAGAACAGTCAGCCCTCCCTGTCCCCTTGGCACAGGCCAGGCTGGAGCAACGGGGACCCAGCCCTGCCCTGCAGTGGCAACCCAGGGTCTCAGCCAGGGCCCCCACTGCCTACCTCTGAGCCCAGAGGGCATGACAGGTGGCTGGGGCCAGTTTGTCATCCTGCAGGCAGCCAACAGAGGGTGGCCTCACCAGGCACCCATCCCAAAAGAGCCCTCAGGAGCCTGACCCTGGCATCCTGCCAATTGGGGTATCTTCCCTGGGCTGGCCACCTTCTGAGGTCCCATAAGGGGGCAGATGAGGGCCGGGCTCCACCCTGCCTAGGTCTGTACATGAAGACCCTTTGTCACCAAGTGCTCCCAAGCCAGGGAGCAGACACACAGGGCCTGTGTCCCTCTCAGAGCCAGAGGCTGGGGGAGGGAGCTGACTGCCCCTGCCCTGGCACCCGGCTAGCCCTGGGAGGCGACAGCAGGGCCAGAGATTCTGGGAAGTCAGCCCTGGTGGAGGGTCAGCCTGATCGCCAGAGTAGCCCCTAGCCCCTCCATGGGGTCTGGGGGCAGCCAGAGCCATCCAGTACTATGCTGTCCTTAGGCCCAGGTCAACAGAGCCACAGCCCAGCTACAGAAGCACACGGCAGCAGGTGGATGGGGCAGTGCTGAGCCTACAGCAGCCCCTGCACTCCACTTTGGGACTGGACCTTCTTGGGCAGCCCCAGCCCCACCCTTCCTCTGCCCCTGAGCCCCAATGAGGGGCGGGCTTCACCCTAGCCTAGTGATTAGTGACCCCGATGAAGGGAAAACAGGGACTGGACAGAGGGGCAGTACCTGGATAAGGGTCCCACCCACTTGTCTACAATTCTAGGCTGTGCTTTCCTCCAAGTGGCCGCTTGTCCTGCAGCTGCTTACAGTTTCAGCATCCTAGGGGCCCCCACCTGTTGTCTGGGTGAGGCAGGTGGGGGCAAAATCCCAATGCAGGCCATGTTCCTATCTCATCAGCCTGCACTCAGAGAAGGGGCCAGGGCTCCAGAGGTACAGGCCCTGCACCCCGGCCCCTCAGTCAAGGCCTGCGCCACAGGCTCCCTTCACAGCACCAGGCTGGGACCCTTGGCAGGTGAGACTCCAGCCCAGCCCCAGACACACCCTGGGGAGGAGGCAGAAGTGGGGGATGGGACAGCAGTTAACCCCCTGCTGTCCAGCATCACTGTTGAGAGCAGCCTGCACCCACAGGTCCCCAGTAAACATCCCCTCCCCCCAAGTTGGCTTAGGGTGAGCTGCCTCCACGCCTCAGCTCAGACCAGTTCACACCAAGCACTGTCCCAGGAACACCAGAGAGGCCAGAGCATTAGATACCCACCTGTCCTCTGGTGGGGTTTGCAAAGACAGGACAGGGTTGGGTCCCCAGCCTGAGGTTGCCAGACCCAAGGTCCTGCCTTGGAGGCGAGGGGGAAGAGTGGTGCCTGGCTGCCTGTCAGGTACAGCTCGGGCACCTGGCTCAGGCAGGCCTACCTAGCCCACAACTGCTCCCCAGTGTCCATTCCTGTCCCCCAGCCTGGAGGGGAGGTCCCGGGTGTGGAGCAGGAACTGACATCTCTTCTGGGACTCATGGTGGACACAGTGTCCAGGCAGCTCCGGGACGGTCAGGAAATGGACAGCTGCACCCACCTCCTGGTCTCATGCCATTCTGGGCTTGTGCAGACGCTCATTGCTACCCCAGCCTCTCCTCCAAGTGTCCATAGGTGATTGGGACAGCAGGGGCAGGGGGGGGAAGAGTCAGGATTAATCCAACAGACAAGAACATGCCTGGCCTGTGAATAGCTCCCTTGTCCACTGATGCACCCAGCTCCTTCATGGAGGTCACCCTTTGTCCATATGTGCCCAGCAGCAGCACCAAGCAGCTTGAGCCAGCCTGAAAGGGCAGTTCTGCCCTGAGCTACTGTCCAGGACAAAGAAGTATACTATTCCGTGGGCACCTGCAGTGGACATCAGGCCCTGGGCTGGGTCTCTGGCATCCTGAGCCCAACTACCTGCTTGAGGCTGGCCCTGCCCAGCTGTGCTGGGCCAGGGGTCACTGGTCCCTGGGTGTGCTGGCTCATCCCGGCTGTGAGTGGCCATGCCCAGCCATGCTTGAGATGGGACCTTGTGCACCCTTGTGGGAACAGACCCAATGAGCACTGTCAGTGTCTCCTGCTAGGAGGGGGACAGTCGGTATAAAAGGGCCTGGGGACTGCCTGCTCAGACAGGGGACTTGGAGAGGCCCCTTGGCACAGTGTCCTGGCTTGAGCAGGTGCGGCTCCTTCCAGGGGTGCTGGGAGAGGCAAGCAAGGTAGGAGCTCCTACCCCTACCTTTGAAAAATCTCTTTGCTGCACCCTGTGGGAGCACATCCCAAGGGGCCTGGGCACCCTGTGTGGGTGGGAGCTGTGCTCCTTGGAAGCCCCGCGGCGCTCCAGTCAGAGCCAGCCGCAGCCCACGTCCCCCATCCAACCCCCCACAGAAGTGTGGGGGGCCAGCTGCCTGATGCCCTGGGGAGAAGACTGGATGGCCCTGACAGGCAGGCAGGCATGGGTGCCTTACCACCTCCCAAAGCACTCCAAAGGCAAAGGGGTGCTGGCACCCCAGGACAGGACTAGCCACAGCGTCCACAGCCTCAGAGCTGCAAGGCACCAGAGTTCTCAAGAGGGGCCTACCCTGCCCCCACCCCTACCATGCGCACTGAACTCAACTCAAGAAACTGTATCTGGGGCCCAGAGCAGTGGCCTAGTAGCTAAATCCTCCCCTTGCATGTGCCAGGATCCCATATGGACATTCGTGTCCCAGCTCTCACTTCCCATCCAGCTCCCTGCTTGTGGCCTGGAAAAACAGTCAAATATGGCCCCAAACCTTGGGACCCTGCACCCGCATGGGAGACCTGGAAGAGGCTCCTGGCTTCGGATCGGCACAGCACTGGCTGTTGCAGCCACCTGGAGACTGAACCGGCAGATGGAAGATTTCACTATCTCCTTTCTGTATATCTGACTTTTCAATAAAAATATATATTTTTAAAGATTTATTTTTTACTGCAAAGTCAGATATACAGAAAGGAGGCGAGACAGAGGAACATTTTCCATCTGATGATTCATTCCCTAAGTGGCTGCAATGACCAAACTGAGCTGATCCGAAGCCAGGAGATTCTTCCAGGTCTCCCACGCGAATGCAGGGTCCCAAAGCTTTGGGCTGTCCTCGACTGCTTTTCCGGGCCACAGGCAGGGAGCTGGATGGGAAGCGGGGCTGCTGGGATTAGAACCAGCGCCCGTATGGGATCCTGGGCGAGCAAGGCGAGGACTTTAATCACTGCGCCATCACGCCGGGCCCCATGTCTGCCTTTCTAACGAACCCTACACGAGGGGAAGGGAAAAGGAAGACGGCCAGGTGCTTGGTCCAAGAGGCCACCACAACCCTTTATTGATGGGTGTCGCGGGGTCACGCAGCGTCTGGGGGCAGTGACATGGGAGAACCCCAGGGGCATGGTGCCACAAGACACTGGGATGGGGCAGGTGCACCCTGCAGGCTCCAGTCCCAACCTGAAATAGCTGCTCTGCCAGCAGCAGATCCTGTCCAGGGTCCTCACACAGGCCAGCCCTGGCGAGACTTGACCTGGGTCTGCCTACAGGCAGCCTAGGCCTGAAGGCTGTGCCGCCCATTGGGCCTGGCAGGCTTCCTCCCAGCCACGAAGGGAGTCGTTCCCCAGCAGCCCCCACTGTAACCGTAACCCCTGACCTGGCCCCCTGAGACCTGTGAGGTCCTGAGAGATCAGGATGCCCCCTGTGCACAGTCGGCCCTACAGGGACCCCAGGGGCTGGCTCCAGCTACTGGGCCCTGTGGACAGGCCGGGAGCGGGCTCCCCAGCGGCTGGGCACAGCAGACGGTGACACCTGCAGTTGCGACCAGCTCCTTCCAGTGCCAGACACGGCTCCGTCAAGAATGCACGCAGAGGACGTGATGGGCACCAAGCTTTATATTTATAAGTGACCGCTCTCAGGCAATGGACGCAGGCCCAAGACAAGCCAAGGGACTGTGGCCTGGTGGCCCTGACTGGCACCGCTCCCAGCCTGGGAGTGCACAGGGAGCCAAGAGCCTTATACCAACTCCAAATCAAATTACACATTTTGGTTTTTGCTTTTTCTTTTAAAGTTTTTAAAAAGCTAAACCCAGGATCCCAGCAAGTCTGCCAGTGCCAGCTGCATGCCCGGCCCTGCTTTCACACTCCAACACCTGGCGTCCCTTGGGGGAACTGCCCCTGGTGGCCACGGCTCGGGGAACCCTCATTCCTGCGCGATGCTCCTCAACACGTACTTGACCGTGTAGGCAAAGGCAGCGAACCCAACGATGACAAACAAGTTCGCCAGGGCACCGCCCAGGAGTCCATGGTGTCGGTGGGCCTGCTGCAGCCCTGCCAGGTGGGGGCCAGCCCCCGGCGCATGCCCGTTGAGAAGTGGCATCCCATTCTGACCGTGGTGTAAGTCCCCATCTGGAACCACGTCCGGCAGGGGCAGGCTCTGGGTCCTGCTCAGGCGGTCCTGTGCTTTCTGCTTCATTTCCTAGGAGACAGCGAGAAGCCGGGGCTGGTCAGGGGTACCTGGTGGCCATGGTCACCAATGTCACTAGCCCACCCGGACTAGGCCCTCAGCCGTGGGACAGGCATCCACCTCAGCCCTGGCCCTCTGCAGGCCACAGGACTCTATGCATGCAGGCTCAGGGCCTGGCGTTGTGGTCTTACCTCTACAACATCGGGGAACAACTCACAGAAGACTTTGTCTTTCAAGTTAAACGCTAGGCTCTGCACGGCCAGCTGTCTCTTCTGGGGAAAAAAAGGCTGAGGGTCAGCGTGGCTCCCTCCCTCCCTCCCTCCAAGCCCTCATATCCACTGGACACTGGGAGCCCAGGCCACGGTTGGCCCCCCACTGCCACAAGGCCTCCTGTAAACAGGCCACCACCCCTCACAGCCCCTCGGTGCCTGCCGTGCACCCAGCCCCTGGCCTGTGGCCGACACGTGAGATCTGTTGGGCAGAAAGGCAAAAGGCAGAGTGCGATGGTGTGGCCATGCTGGGCACCACTCCCAGGACACACAGGGCAAGAAGGGCGGTAGGAGGCCACTCCCAGGAACGCAGCCGCCCACCCCTCACCGTAAAGTCTGAGGTCTCCACACTGCCCAAAGTGGGGCCCTTCTCCACCATGAAGCTCAGGAGCCCGGTCAGGATGGTGGACACGGACCAGGCTGGGTTCCACGTGTCCGGGTGGAAGTCCGTGATGGAAAGACATAGCCTGCATGGAGGGGCTGCATCAGCCGAGGCTCACATCCCCACGACCACAGCCCAGCCCCAGCCCGCAGTACCTTACCTCGTGTTGCACTTGAACCTTCCATTGGGAGTTATCATGTAAATACTAGGAGGTTTGAAAGGAAATTCTCTGGGGAAAATCAGTTTCCCATGATAATAGCCACCTGGAGGAAGAGAGCAGAGAGCCTGGCCACCGTGCACCCCGAGCCACAGTGCACCACCCCACCCGGTGAGGGGGCCCAGATCTCCTCCTACAAGTCCCTGGGGCCCACGTTCTCCTGTGGGCCTGGTTACAAAACTGAAGCCCACTCCTTACCTGGAGAAGACTCCTTACTTACACACCAACGGGCAAAGATACGCAGAGTCCCACTCACAACACACTCCACCCCCGCCAACTGCCCACACGTCTACCCCGTCCTGCACCAAGCTCAGAGAGCTCCCTGGCCTGGAGACAGCTCACAACGTGCTCACGGCCATCCACCTGGCCTCCCTCACCTCCTCGCACCAAAGGCACTGTTGGCCCGAAGCCTGCCAGGCAGCTCGGCCACTGGTGGCCTGTCACTGATCAAAGGTGCCTCAAGAGCCAGAGTTCTGCCCAATGGGCAGTGGCCCTGCCTGAGCCACTTGTAGGACACTGTGCATGGACTGTGCCTCTGGACCTGGCCCACCCTTCATGCCTCTGCAGGCCCAGGGACCTGCTGCAATGGCAGAGGGGGCCTCCCCAGGAAGCACCAGGAAGAGGGGCCTCAGCAGAGCTCTTCAATGGCAGCCCCAGGGTCAGAAAAACACAGCGGACACTCATGCCTCCCCAGTTCCGAGCCGGGGCTAGGCAGCACTCCAGCCCTCCTCTCATGCCCGCAGACACATGCTGGCACAGCCACCCTCCGACCCCACAGAGGCCCACTCAACACAGGTCTGTCCCGCTCCTTACCTTCATAAGGGGTCATCTCAGGACCTCGGACGACATAGTGCCTAGGGGAGACAGGAAATGCCCACTGGAGAACAGACCCGTGTCCTCCCAGCCCCGTAGGTTCCCGCAACTCCTGCACTCACCCTCAGGCTGTCCAGGCCTCCTATCCACCTGCAGCCTCTCCACTCACCAACATCGAGGACCCTGACACCTCTACGCAGCAGTCACGCCCCAGGCTGGGACACCCAGGTGTCTTGTCTCTGTCTCCCACCCAGTGCTTAGATACCACCCAGCCTAACACCCCCTTCAACTGGCAGTCCATGTCATGCCTACATGGTCTAAAACACCGCAGGCCACACAGGGCACTGCGACCAAGCAGGCTGTGTCCCCAACCCCCACCCCAGAAACCAAGGACTGACTCAAAGCTGTTGCGCCAGGAAGGAGGCAGCCAGCTGAGGGCCGTCACACAGAGCCGCAAAGTCCCTGGGCCACAGCCTTGGGCCAGAGCTCCAGGTGGACACACGTGGGCTCTGTAGGGCTGTGCTGGCCACCCTGCGCACTCGGGCGCCTGGTCTAAACGCACAGCTCCACTTCCAGGCCAGCTTCCTGCTAACGCGCACACACAGCCCATGTGACCTGCTAGCTTCCAACTCTGAGCACTTGCTTTTGCTTCCTACTTATTCAAATCTCAAACAGGTTGTCCCCCACCCCCCACGGCTCACGCCAGGGCTGGACCAGACCAGGAGTTCCCACACACTGGCAGGGACCCCAGGGATGGGGCTGCCCACCTGCTGCCTCGCAGGATCAGGAGCAGAGAAGTGAGGACCCAACCAGGAACCCCAAGCAGCTCGACGGCTGCACGAGAGTCTACGACAACACCTTCCCCAGCCTGCAGATACCAAAACATGTGTCCAAGAGCCCAGCGCGACGGCTCAATTGGCTAATCCTCCCCCTTCACGCATGAGGATCCCACATGGGCACTGGTTCATACCCCAGCTGTTCCACTTCCCATCATACCACACCACACAGCAGCTCTGCAAGCAGCTCCCTCCCTGCAAGCTGCCCTGTCACCCACCGCTCCTCAGCTCCCTTACTCTTTCCTCAGGATCAAAGTGTCAACTCTCTTCTAACAAAGTGAGCATGGGCACTCAGCACTCACACCATGAGTGCCATGTCCAGGGCTGCTTCCCTGGCACAAGGGGGGTGACAGTGGCAGGTAGCAGCCCGCAGCCCATGTCCGCTCCCTCACCATGAGCCCCAGTCAGTGGGGGTCCTGGGACCTCACCATTCCAGGATGTTGGAGGGGAGGGGCTCGGCACAGACGTAAGGCACTGGGTCTTTTTTGATCCGCAGGTAGTCCTGTTTCAGCCGCTGTGTGGCAGTCGTCGGGGCTCTCTTGCTGCTGTTGCCGCTCATCTGCCAACACAGGAGCACAGAGCATGTCACTACACTATGCCCACCACGATCGTGGCCGACGGCCAGCCCAGAGCCAGGCCCCCAGGGGCCCAGCACTCTGTCCTGCCATGACCCCTGCTCACAGGAAGCACGGTCAGGTCCCTAAGCCAGTGGCAGCCCACTGATGTCAGGACAGAACCAGCCCGAGGGCAGCACCACGTGTCCAGAAGTCTGCAAGGGGCCGGTGTGCAGAGGCCAGCTAGGACAGCACCGCCAGCAGCACCCGGAGCCCACGCTGGCCACACCCACACAGGTGTCAATGTGATCCTGACTGCCGGCCGTCCAAACCTGCTCCTGCCTCAGTCCCTCGGAAGGCCGTGCAGGGCCACTGCGGACGCCCACACAGAAGACCCGGGAGAGTTCCTGGCATTTGAAGGCTAAACCAGCAGCTGGAAGACCCTTCTCTCTGACCCCCACCCCATCACTCCGCAAGGAAGCAAGCAAAGGTCCAGGCTGGGGACCACGCAGAGATCAGCAGCTCAGCTGACGGGGCCCGCGAGCAGAGTGCGGCCAGGACACAGGTCCCACTGCCACAGACCTCACTATGGCTCCTTGCTACCAGGTCAGGGCTGGCACCAGACACTGGGAGCCCCACTCCCAGGGTGTGTGGGCATCTTAACTCGCCCCTCAACTCCTGTCAGAGAGCACATGTGGGAACAGCCAGCAGAACCACAACAGGCTATGACTGGTGCCGCCCCACCATCTCCTGGGGAGTTCCTGAGCCAAATGCCTCACCGACGGCCCTGGGCACCAGGGGCCAGCCCAGCAGTCAGTGTAAACCTGAGCCCAGCCCAACACTGGGTGGCAGCTCTGGCCAGGATGGGGGCTCACTGGGAGCACCCAGTGCCCTCATCACACATGTTCCCACTGAGGCCAACCAACCAGAGAAAGGTCCACATTCAGGTACCCACTGTCCAGCGACCACCAAGGCCCCTCTGCCTGCCCATCCCACCAGTGCTCCCAACTCCCACATGACCTGCTGTCCGTGGCCACTGGAACCCTCAGACCCCACAGCAACCAGCTGGACACACTCTCCCACCTCAAGAGCAGGGAGGGACAGGGTGGCTAAGGGCCCGGTGGGACGGCTAAACCCTCGCCTTGCACGCGCCGGGATCGCATATGGGCGCTGGTTCGCGTCCCGGCTGCTCCACTTCCCACCCAGCTCCCTGCTTGTGGCCTGGGAGGGCAGTGGAGGACCCTGCAGCCACGCGGAGACCCAGCGGAAGCTCCTGGCCTCGGAAGGCTCAGCCCCGGCCACTGCAGCGACCAGGGAAGTGAAAACGGGGGCAGAACTTTCTGTGCATCTGCCTTTCCAATACGAATGAACAAACAGGAGGCGGGAGCGCGCACAGCAGGGCCGGGGGCCTGTCCGCCAGGGCGGAGCTCACCGACGAGGGCTGCAGGCGGACACTCGGCCCGCCTCGCCCGGCCCCCCCGTCGGCCCGAAGCGCGGCCGCTCCGCCGTAACCGACCGCAGGCGGCCCGAGCCCACCTCTTCCTGTCGCCGCGCGGGGCCGCCGCCGCGGTCCAGGCCGGAGCAGGGTGCGGACGAGTGGGGCCTGCGACGGAGCGAGCCCGGCCGTGCCGCTGGACCGACCCCGCCGCACCCGCCGCCGCCGCCGCTCCCAAGATGGCCGCCGGGGCGGACCCTGCCCCGCTTCCGCTTCCGGTCCCGCGCCTGCCAGCCGCTCTAGGCGCCCCGGAGGACGACGCGCCCGTCTCTGTCGCCGCCGGCGGGGAGGACGCATGCGTACTAGTAGGCCGCCCGACCCACGGCGGGCATGACCGCCGAGTGCCTCCAGGGCCGGGATTGGAGGCGGTGTGCAACTGTCTGTATGTCAGTCCGTGGGCGCCCAGCTGCCCCGCCCGGGCTACATGCGTGCGCCCACGCCGGGGCAGGCAGCGTGGAGACTCACACTCCAGTGAGGGGCCAACCAGAGGCAGAGGGGGGACGGGAGTGGCTGCAGGTTCTCCACCGCCCCAGGTGAAGAGGCTGAGAGAACACCCCAGCCCTGCTGACCCCGCCCCTGGGAAGGAACAGAAGTGGGACACCCAGCTGACCAGCAGCGGTGGGCCAAGAGATCTCTCAGGCACCAAGCAGGGGGTGCACACGCCCAGCCCCTCCCTGCAGGGCCCCTCACCCCAGGACCCTAGGTCTGGCTCTGCAGGGCACATGCAGTCCCTGGGGAACTGACCCAGGGTCAACGCTGGGCCTCAGCTGGGGCAGCCAGCCCCCTTGGCTGACATCCTGGCCCTGGATAACCTTTCTACAGAGCTGAGCCACAGGGACAGAGCTGAGCTGAATGGGCCTGGGAGTGGGAGTGGTCCCGGCAGGGGCTAAGCTGGAAAACCCTGTCCACCCCCTAGCAGTGATGGTGCGTGCATCCTCCTCAGCCTTGTCAACACCCTGGAGCATCCCTGTTCCTGCTGTTACCTCCCACCCCGGGATGGCCCCGGAGCCAGTGTCCACCTCACCTTCACTCTGTAGCAGCAGTGACCGTGACCCCAGCCCAGAGGCCCAGGCAACACCCTGCAGTCAGCCCCAGCCAGCAGGTGCAACCGCCTCACTCTGGGTCCCCCAGGGGCTCAGCCTGGTATCCAGGATCAAGCAGCAGGCGTGCCTCTCCATGCTGTCCACAGAGGCTGGCATTGCAGTCCAGCTGCAGAACTGAAGGCCTAGAACTCAGCATTGGCTCAAGGCCAGCCCCTATTCTTGGGCCAGATAGCAAAGCACAGTGGAAGCCCCACCCTCACAGGACCATTTGTGGCCCAAACAGCATGGCAGTGGCTGAACCCTTGTCAGTGAGCTTGAGCCAGCTGGAGAAGTGCTGTGTACTGAGGGCCTTGGAGTGGGCTCAGGGGGTCCTGGAGTAGGCTCAGAGCTTCCCGTCTGTCCAGGCAACCCCAGGCGCTGCTGGGCCACTCACTGGGCACTCAAAGATGTCCATCTTGGCCTTGCCACTTGGGGTGGGGGTGGGGGAATGAGGCTTGGGGGGGCCTTGGAGAGGGCTCAGGGGGTCCTGTAGTGGGCTTGGAGCTTCGCGCCTGGCCAACTGGTATTCTGCTAACAGCCCTGAGGGAGACCCTCTTCTCCCGCTGCTGTCTGCCCCCTGCCGGCAGGTGCCCAGCACTGCAGTGGCCCCACTCTAGCCTGTGGGAGTCCCCTAGGGCACCCCTCTCCAGCTCACTGCTTCTACCAGGGTTTGTCTGGGCACACAAGACATGTCTCTACCATGGGGTCTTTTTATTTTTTAGGTTTTAAAATTTTTAGTTGAAAGAGGTACAGAGAAGAGGGACAGACCCTCCACCTGCTGGTTCACTCTCCAAATGACTGCAACTTTCAGGACTGGGCCAGGATGAAGCCAGAAGCCAAAAGCCACACCTGGGTCTCCCCTATGGATGCAGGTCCCAAAGCTTTGGGTCATTCTCCACTGCTTTCTCAGGCCCAAAGCAGGGAGCTGGATGGGAAGTGGAGCAGCCGGACAGAAACTTGTGCCCATATGGGACACTGGAACTGTAGGTAGTCTTAGCCAGCCACCAGGAAACCTTCATCCGGCCATCAGCAGAGACCTGCTTCCAGGGTCCCTGCCCTCACTCCTTTCTGGTGCCTGGGGGATGGAGGTGGCCCAGTAAGACCTGGATCCTGGAGGTGCTGGCCCAGCAGGTCCCTCAAGCCAGTGCCAGAGGAAGGTCCTCCCTACAGAGGTGTCCTGGGTCCCCAATGAGACCCTCCTACCCTGAAGATACTGGGTACCCTCACTCTTCCATCCTCACCCCAAGTGGCAGGGTCAGGGTGGACATCTTTGAGTGCCCAATTGGCCCAGCAGGGCCTGGGTTGCAGCAGGCAAGCCTGCAGTTCACCATTCCCTTGGAGGCCATGGCAGCATAGCCCTGGGCACCAGATCTGTCTACCTCACTGCCCATGGGTAGCCCCTGGCTCGACAGGGGGAGCTCCTGCTACTGGGTCCAGCCCTGCCTGCAGACCAGCACACATCACAGTGAGGGACAAGCCAAGTCCAGGCCCTGGCAGGCAGACCTCCCACAGATGGTCCTGGCAGTCTTGGTGGAATTATACTACCGAACTCCAACCCCCTGCCCCAGCATCTGAGGGACAGAAGCAGGGACACTCCGTGGACACAGGTTGGCCCTGGGGGGCTGCATTGCCAGTAGCCCCAACAGGATCGTGCATGTGCGTGCAGTGTGTCCACAGGTGTGGCCAGGTGTGTGTGCAGGCAGACCCTGGCCAGGGCTTTAGGGCCCCTGGCTGCTGCACCTGGTGGGGGGCCCAGGCCAGCTGACCCAAGCGCATCCCAGCATCCCTTGGAGAGGCCACACTGGGAGGTTAGGGGGACGCCACTGTATCCCAGAGTTGCATCCCGGGGTCAAAGGGCAGCACCTGGAGCACCCCCAGCAGAGGCGGAGCAGCAAGCAGGCAGGCTGCGAGTGGCACAGGTTTATTAAGGAGGGGTGACAGGCGAGGGGAGGTCTGCCTGCCAGCCCAGGGCCAAGGCGGGCAGAGGGAGGAGGCATGGCCAACAGGCAGGGGTAGGGCCCCAGTGCCCCTCTGGGCAGCATTTGCATAGTGACCAGCTGGTTGGCCTTGGCCTGAGCAAGGCCCACAGTTGGGGAGGGGGACGTGAAGGCATCGGTGGTCCCGCAAGACGAGGGAGGGACCCCTGGGCCCGGGGTGAGGCCAGCAAGGGAGCAGAGTAGACAGAACCAGCATCCGGGGCTTGGCAGGGAGCCCCCACAGGGAAGCCATGGGGTGCAGTAGAGGAGCATTCTGCAGGAAACCCACTCCATGGCCTCGGGCAGAAGCACCCAGGATGGGGGCTGTGGGCACAGGCCTCTGAGAGGCAGGCACGGGGCCTGTGTGGCTGACCCAGTGGCCTGTAGGGCTGAGGGCCCAGGCCGGAAGCTGGGGTCGCCAAGTGAGGTACTGGGGTCCCCCGACGGGCCAGCCCTGTGGGGTGCTGGCGGCCAGCCACCAGCCCAGGCTGGAGGGGACAGGTGGGGGGTCAAGGCTTGAGTGGTTTGTGACAAGAGCGACCCGGGTCCCAGGAGTGTCACCTGAAGACAAGGCCCCCGGGGTGGGGGAGGGGCACCAGATAATGCAGCACCTGCTTGAGGGGGACTGTGGGGGTTACCAGAGACTGAGTGTCAGGGTCCCTCTGTGTCCCCTGGGCCTGCGTAGTGTAAGGTGGGAACAGCAGGCAGGTGGGAGCCCCCAGGTACCCACCCCATGGCAGGAAAGGGACCCTAGCCCTCTCCTAGGTGCAGGCTGATAAACTCTTGCAAGCACCTGCGGTACTGCAGCTCGGTGGGGCTGCCGCCTGCCAAGGGGCCCGGCTGGCCCGGAGGTGCCTCAGCCTCTCGCATCTCCTCGGCCATGCGCGCCAGACGGAGCCTGTAGCAGTGTGCAGAATGAGACACCGGGCCCACCCAGCCCACCTGGCCACAACCCACCCTTCCCTGGGCCTCTGGCGCCCTCCAGCGCTCACAATGTGACAATGTCCGCATTGGCCGCCTGCACAGCGATGCTCAGAGGGTCCTGCTGATCGTGGTCCAGTGCGCGCTGGTCCGCACCCCGCTTCAGAAACAGGCACACGTGGCTGCGGACCGGGCAGGGGATGTCAGGGGTTGGACCCAGAGGGGGAGAGGTGTGGGGTCCGTAGCGGTGCACTCACCCGGTGCGGCCTAGGAGCGTGGCGTGGTGCAGGGGTGCGCGGCCGCGGCTGTCCCTTTGGTTCACGTCGGCCCCATTTTGCAGGAGGAACTCACACACGATCAAGGAGCCCTGTTGGGGCCACGTGGTCAGGTGGGGCTCCCCATGCACCCTACCCCAGCCCTGGGAGCCACGCACAGCTCACCCCCAGCACGGCCTGCACCAGCGGTGTTCTGCCCTCGTCCTCCGCGTCCGCCCAGTTGACCTCTGCCCCGTGGGCCAGTGCTGCAGCCAGCGCAGGGAGGTCACGTGTGCGGGCCGCACGGTTCGCCAGCAGCCCAGGGTGCAGCTCCCGCACATCGGCCAGGCCCCAGGCCTCAGCCTCGGCGTCCCCGTCTGCTTCGCCACTGGACTCCTCCGACCCTGCACCCTCTGTGGGGAGGGGGCCCATCAGAGGCTGCAGCCCTGGGGCTGGGTAGGAGCTGGCGGGATGAACAGGGGCACGTACCCTCCTCCGTGACGCTGTCCACCACCACAGAACCCGTGCCAAAGGCCAGGACATCACAGCTGCCGCCCAGGCCACTGTCACTGCTTAGACCTGTAGCAACAAAGAGAGGCTACTGCATATAGGGGTTCCAGCTCCTCCTGGGAGTCCTCGGGGAACCCCCATGGATGCCAGAGGGCCCCACTTGGGCCCCCAGCCCATTCCTGCCCACAGTGGACAGCATGCAGGCTGCAGGGTCCTGCATAAAGGTTGCACTGAGACCCCTCTCCACAAAGCAAGAGGCACCTGCATCCTCACTCCGCCATTCAGGCCCAGTTCCAGGGGCAGCAGAGGACAGCGGACAGCCTGCCCACACTTACTTCGCGGACCAGCCCCGCTGGCCCCCGTGTCGAAGTAGGAGAAGAGAGAGTCCAGCTCATCTGGGCAGAAGAGGGAATCCCGGCGGAACCTGCGCTCCAGCGTGCCAGCTGCGGGGATGGAGCACGGGCTCAGGCCGGGCACAGGCCTCCCTGCCCCAGCAGTATCCCCACAACCTCCCGGGTCCCTGGTCCCGCCCTCCCACCTGAGGACAGAGCAGCCATGGAGGGCAGGGCAGGCTCCTGCCGGACCCTGTGGCGAGTGGTCGGGGCGCGGGGCGAGCTGTGGGGGCGCAGCTGCTTCTGTGCCCGCCAGCGACGGGGGGCCTCCCGCACGGGGGCACTGGGTGGCTTCTGCAGAAACTTCTTCTCCACGTACTTGTCCTTGATCCAGGCTTCCTTGTCTTGCCTGGACCATGGGCAGGCGTGAGGTGGCGCTTGGCCCAGGCTCCCCCCGGCCAGGCTGGGCTGCGGGGGCTTACCTGGGGCTGCTGGCGGTAGGCTTCCTGCTGCCCAGGCATTCGCACCGGGCCTCGTAGATCCGATTCACAAGCCCATTCCCAAGCTCACACATTAGCTGGTGAAACACAGCCCATGGGGTCAGCCCTGGGCACTGCCCAGCCCCAACCCTGACCTCGCCAGGCCCCCACCTGCCCCCCAAACCTTAAGCAGCTCAGGCTCCCAGGAGTCCAGGGTCAGGGACCGCACTTTGGAGCAGTGGACACCCAGGCTCCTGGACAGCAAGGGCGAGGGATCAGCCGGGTGTGGGCCCGCCCAGGCCCGCCCCTCCCCAGAACGCCGCCCCACCTGTGGATGCCTGAGCACTCGATGCAGAGAAGCACACCCAGGTTAATGCTGGCCCAGCGCGGGTCTGGCTGCCCGCAGTCCCCACACTGGCCGTTGCCGGCCACCCCCTGCACGCGCTGCAGCACGCTCTCGCCCTTGGCACTGCGGTCCCGCGTGTCCGTGGCTGAGTCGATGCTGCTTGTGGATGGAGATGCAGTGCGGTCCAGCCTCTGGGAGACCAAGAGAGGTCACTCAGTGCTGCCCGGGGCTGCAGTCTCAACCTCCTCCTGGGCATCACTTCCCCTCAGCCAGGAGGGCCAGCATGAGCCTGCTGGAGCTGTGCACCGCACCGGCCCCTCATTCTACATGCACAAATGCAAGGCCCAGCAGGTGTCGTCACAGGGCCACACCTCACTGTAGCAACTGTCCGGGCTCTCACGGTAGGCCGAGGCGATGCTGGCTTGCACGGCTTGGACCCAGGCCTGGCGCAGCTTCTCTGAGTCGGCCTGCAGCATGCAGCTCCTGGGGGGAGGGGCTATCAGGCTGGGCGTGCAGGGGCTCCCCCCACCCCAGCCCAGGCCAGGCTTCCTCACTTGGCGGGTGACACCACCTCGAAGCAGAACCTCCGCTCGATGTCTTCACAGGGTTTCACGGAACACAGGCGGAGGTCATCCACCACCACGGTCAGTGCGTCCTGTGGGTGGCACCACAGTGCCCACACTCAGCGTGGCCCAGCCCCGGGAGGCCTGCATGGTACCCATGCAAGTATGTCCAGCTCACAGTGCCTGGCTAGAGCCACGCCTGACACACCCACCCCGCAGCCCAGAGCCACGCCCCAACACGTCCTCCCCACAGCCCAGGCAGGGAGGGTCTTGCCCACCTTGAGTTTTTTCTGGTAGACCAGCTGGCTGTTTTGGATGGAGAACCAGCGCCTGGATTGGGGGTAGGAGAGGGCAGTGAAGCCAGACTGGCTCATGACCAGGCACCTGCCCCGGCCTGCCCGGGAAGACTCCTCACCGGTTCCACGTCTTAAAAGCATTGCTTGCCCTCTTGAAGAGGTAGCCTTCCATGACCACACCACTGGGCGCATCCACGTCGAACTCCACCTTGGACTCCTCATAAGAGAAGTCCTGGGGACACAGCCAGCCCCAAGAGCCCCATCATGCCATTCTTGTCCCTGGCAGCCCTGACTCCTGCCCCGTCCTGTGCTCACAACTGGGCCTGCCTGCCCAAAACCCCATTCCTGCCCCTGTCCCACGTTCATAGCTGGGCCTGCCTGCCCCAGACCCCATTCCTGTCCCTGCCCCACGTTCACAGCTGGGCCTGCCTGCACCAGCCATGTCTCCAGTGTACCGACTGGGAGGAAGCTGTCCCTCCCACCCTGCTCCCGGGCAGCTGGGCCAGCTCCAAGTACCCAGCAGAGGGCCCCACAGCCCCGAGAGGCCTGTGTTGTGCCGCTGGGCAAGTGGGCCAGTGGAGGGGAGGCCCGGCCACCTGCTCTTCATGCTGGGGCGTTGGGAGACAGTTGCTGCCAATCACAAGGAGGGAAGTGGGGAGGAGGCGGGGCCTCTGGGAGGACGGCTGAGGGAGGTGTCCGTGGTGCTGAAGTGGCGAAGGTGGGCGGCAGGTCCAAAGCAGAGGCCTCACCCAGAGGCCCCCACCACCCGCCCCAAAGTGGACGCTCACTCACCTGCAGCAGTGTCTGAGGGGCCGTGCCAGCGCCAGTGGGAGGGAGGAGAGAGCCAGTGAGGAATGAGGGACCGCCCTGCCCGACCTAGGCTGGGCTCTCAGGCCCAGAATAGTCACTCCTCCCCCTGAAGCCCACTGATGAGTGCCCGGGGCTGGCTAGGAAAGCAGACACCCAGGCAGGAGCTGGGGGCCCCCAAGCTGTGGACAGGAACAGCCTGAGGCCCCTGCGCCACACTCCAGGCCACACAGGTGCCTGGGCAGGGCTGGGGCGTGGTGAGTGGAGCCACCCAGGGGTGGGGCTCACCCGCTGCTGGATGGCAGCATGCTTGCGCTCCATCTCACGCTTTTCCACGGCAGAATCGATCACCAGCTGGTCCAACTGTTGAGGGGGCAGCATTAGGAGCACCCTGGACCCCACCCTGAAACCCAGCCCAGCCCTCCCCAGGCCCACCTCAGAGGCCAGCTTCTTCATATAGGGGTCCAGCTGCTGCAAGAGGCTGTAGCCTTGGCGGAAGAAGCTGTGCTGCGCGTGCATGAAGGACAGCATCTGGGGGGACAGGACAGTGATGGGGACAGGACAGTGATGGGACAGGACAGTGATGGGGGACGGGACAGTGATGGGGGGACAGGACAGTGATGGGGACAGGACAGTGATGGGACAGGACAGTGATGGGGGACGGGACAGTGATGGGACAGGACAGTGATGGGAACAGGACAGTGATGGGACAGGACAGTGATGGGACGGGACACTGATGGGACGGGACAGTGATGGGAACAGGACAGTGATGGGGACAGGACAGTGATGGGACAGGACAGTGATGGGACAGGACAGTGATGGGGACAGGACAGTGATGGGACGGGACAGTGGTGGGACGGGACAGTGATGGGGACAGGACAGTGATGGGGACAGGACAGTGATGGGAACAGGACAGTGATGGGGACAGGACAGTGATGGGAACAGGACAGTGATGGGACGGGACAGTGATGGGGACAGGACAGTGATGGGGACAGGACAGTGATGGGACAGGACAGTGATGGGGACAGAACAGTGGTGGGACGGGACAGTGATGGGGACAGGACAGTGATGGGACAGGACAGTGATGGGAACAGGACAGTGATGGGGACAGGACAGTGATGGGGACAGGACAGTGATGGGGGACGGGACAGTGATGGGGACAGGACAGTGATGGGACAGGACAGTGATGGGACAGGACAGTGATGGGGACAGGACAGTGATGGGAACAGGACAGTGATGGGGACAGGACAGTGATGGGACGGGACAGTGATGGGGACAGGACAGTGATGGGACGGGACAGTGATGGGACGGGACAGTGATGGGGGGACAGGACAGTGATGGGACAGGACAGTGATGGGGAGACAGGACAGTGATGGGACAGGACAGTGATGGGACGGGACAGTGATGGGACAGGACAGTGATGGGACAGGACAGTGATGGGGGGACAGGACAGTGATGGGGACAGGACAGTGATGGGACAGGACAGTGATGGGACAGGACAGTGATGGGACGGAACAGTGATGGGACGGGACAGTGATGGAGGGACAGTACAGTGATGGGACAGGACAGTGATGGGGACAGGACAGTGATAGGACAGGACAGTGATGGGGACAGGACAGTGGTGGGACGGGACAGTGATGGGGACAGGACAGTGATGGGGACGGGACAGTGATGGGGACGGGACAGTGATGGAGGGACAGTACAGTGATGGGACGGGACAGTGATGGGGACAGGACAGTGATGGGGACAGGACAGTGATGGGACAGGACAGTGATGGGACGGGACAGTGATGGGGACAGAACAGTGATGGGACAGAACAGTGATGGGGACAGGACAGTGATGGGACAGTACAGTGATGGGACGGGACAGTGATGGGGACAGGACAGTGATGGAGACAGGACAGTGATGGAGGGATAGCAGATGGGGGGACAGCATCTGGGGAACAGTGTCTGGAGGACGCATCTGGGGGGCTCAGGTCAGCGGGGGACAGCGTCTGGGGATAGCATATGGGGGGATACTCTCTAGGGGGTTCAGGTCAGCTGGGGACAAAGTCTGTGGGGCTCAGGACTACAGGGGACAGTGTCTGGGGCACAGCATCTGGAGGACAGTGTCTGGGGGGACAGTGTCTGGAGGGGCAGTGTCTGGAGGGGCAGTGTCTTGAGGGACAGTGTCTGGGGGGCTCATGTCTGCCATTAGCACGCACAGAATCCAGGATCTCGAATTTCTTCTTGGCCTGTAGGACGTTGATCTGCCGAGGGAAAAACAGCCAGAAGGCTCAGGCCCAGGTCACCTGCCCTGGAGGCTCCTCCTCTGCCTCTGCCCCCGTCGGCATCCCCCTGGATATGCCTGGGCTCCCTTCCCCTGCCCACCTGCAGCACATAGTCCAGTGCCAGGTGACGGAAGCACTTCCGCGTGAGGGTAAGGGCACCTGTGGCCTCCTCCACCTCGTGGGGACGGTGCCGGGGGGCCTGGGCGTTCCTGGCCAGGGAGAGCTCCAGGTCCTCGCGCACCTTGTCAAACTGCTTCTTGGTGTCCTTGAACTTGCGCACATCCCTGGGGATCAGGGGTCCCAGATGTCCTCAGGCCTCCTGCCAGACCCTCCCACCCTGTGTGCCCCCCAGGTGAGCCCCGGGGCAGGACTCACTCTCGGACGAAGTTGTGCAGCTGTTGGCGCACAGACCTCTGGGCCTGGTCGAACAGGATCTGAGAACAAGGGTGGCTGCTGGACATGGTCTCCACCCCAGGGAGGACCAGCTGGCCAGACCAATACTACCCACAGGCTGCCTAGGAGCTACGCACACAGCTGCTTCCAGTGCCCAGAGCGTGGGTGTTGCTGGAGACCCAGGAGCTGTATTTCTCGGGCCTGACACCTGCCACGTGAGCCTGGGCCTAGTCTATCTCTGTCAACTCCAGAACTGAAGCCACCTCCAGTGGACAGCCCTGCTCGTGCTGGGGCCCCAGCCCGCCCCCAGCTCTGCCTCTAGAACTCCCATCCGCCCTGGCACTCACCACGTGATGGTTGGCCATCTCCTGCAGGCTGTCGCCAAACCGCTGCAGACACTCCTGAGGAGAGGCCAGAAGTCCTGCTGAGCCCATGCCTCCCCTGAGCCCCTCCGCGCGCCCACCCGAGGTCAGAGATAAGCCGGCCCTCACCGAGATGACCGCATCGCCCTGGCACTGCTGGGACAGGTCGCGGACACCGCTCACGAAGAGCCTGCTGGTGGCCACGTAGGCCTTGCCGGCCTCAATCATGCTGCTGCACAGCTTCACCAGCTGCGGGGAACCGGCAGAGGCAGTGAGGGCCACAGCCACGCAGAGGACGGGGTGCCCCGGGATTCAGCGCAGGCCAGCAGCCTCCAGGACACATCTGGTCGAGCTGGGAGGCTTGTGCTGCCCTCCTGGCCAGGCAGGACATTGGGCAGTGCCTGGCCGCTGCATGCCCAAGTCAGGAGACTGGCCAGAGGCCCTCCTTCCACCCCAACAGAAGGAGACTGTGAGGAGGAGGGCACAGGGTCGGGGCAGTTCCTGAGCTGGCACAGTTCCTGAGCTGGCACACACATTCTCACACCACACATGCATGCCCCCACAACACACCCGTGTCCACATGGCACACGAGTCCAGCTACTCAGTCACTCCGGGCAGGCTCCTCACCTTGTCCAATTTGGCTTCGATCTCAACCACGTCCGTTTCTACCTCATCAATGGTGGCCCTGGAACAAGCCGGGCAGGTGGAGCCAGCAGCAGCTCTGACTGGAGCTTCCCTGCCAGGTCCAGCTGACAGGGGCTCCTGGCACCACCAGTGCCCCAACAGGAAGCCACATCGGCCACCACCCCCGCCTGGGCTCTGCTGGGCCCTGGCGACAACAGCAGGTGCGGGGACTGTGGCCAGGGCTCTGAGTCCATCCTGTCTTTCCACTGGACCTATTGGACCGTGGACTGCCCACCGTAGCCCTGACCTGCTGGCCTGTGCTCTCGGCAAGCAGCCCGAGGCTATCGACTCTGTATGGTGGCCAGCCCAGACGAGCCCACTCCCTCCAGCCTCACAGTGCAGCTGCCGCGAAGCCAGGCAGGGAGGGGTTAACACATGACATCAGTGAGAGAATCCCCGGAAGGCGAGTGGCAGCTGGATGGGGCACGTGATAGCCCCCCAAACACACATTCTCTCTGTGTCTTCTGAGGAGCAGGAAGTTGGGCCCCAAAGGCAGCATCCGACAGCCTAGGGGCGAGCTCAGCTGGCCAGCTGGGCCCACCTGGCTGCCCAGGGATGCGTCCACAGAGCTTGCAGGCGGGCCACCCCCAGCTGCCCAGGACTGAGGGGGCGGGGCCTGGGTCACGTGGAGCACAGCCTGCGTGGCCTAATTCTTCAGAGCTGGGGCCGAGGCCAGCTCAGGCTTTCGGGGGGCCTAGAGGGGTCCCCAGGACTCTTGAGCACGAGGGCATGGGGTCCTGGCTCAGCCTCACGCATCCCAGCACAGACTGGGGATGGGGGATCCAGCCTTGCCCACAGCCTAGACAGGATGTGCCAAGGTCTTTCCAGGTGGCTCAGGCCCTGACCCACCCCCTCCCCCTGTCCCAAGGGTCCCCCTTCAGGCCCTGACCCTGAGAGACGCCTGTCCCCTAATCTGGCTCTCTCCCCAAGGGTCCCAGCTCAGGCCCTGACCTGTCCTCCGCCCTGAGGGTGCCAGCTCAGGCCCTGACCCATCCCTGCCCCCTGAGGGTCGCAGCTCAGGCCCTGACCTGTCCTTAGCCCTGAGAGTCCCAGCTTAGGCCCTGACCGTCCCTCCCCTATGAGGGTCCCGGTTCAGGCCCTGACTGTCCCTTCCCTATGAGGGTCCCAGCTCAGGCCCTGACCATCCCTCCCCTATGAGGGTCCCAGCTCCCCCATCTTGACTTAACAAAGGGCACAGTGGAGCGGCCCCTGGAGCCCTGCCCCCTGGGCAGGTGACCAATGTGCTCACCGGCACTGGTGGCGGCTCCTCAGCCTGGGAGTCCTCGCTGTCCCCTTCCTGCTGTCCCCACAGGGCTTTCCCCAAGCCTTGGGGACAGGGAGGGGGAGGCTGGCCCCTCCACCAAAGCTGTGACTCAGCGCCGGAGCTCCACCCAGGGAGGGGCACCCCCTTCCCAGCTCCCAGGCACCCCACCTCCAGCATCCTGTGACCACAGGCTGGGTACTCCTTCCCAGGGCTGGGGGGACCCCAGGTTCTGCATGCCCCACTCCCACTGAGAAGCTAGAGTGACCAAGAGCCCCTCTAACCACAGCCCTAGCCTAAAGCCCAGCACCAGGTTGCTGTGGCCCCTGGGCACGGCACAGGGGTAGGACCCTGCGGTGGGCAGGCTCTGGCACCCCCACAGCACAGGGTGGAGGCCGGGTGTCCAGCCAGGAGGCCCTGCCCAGGGCGGGGTCCACCCTCACCCCCCAACCCCGGGCGCCCCGCGACGCAGCTGTCAGGCCGCGGGCCGGGCACACACGTGTCCGGGAGCCCACCGTGGCCCGGGCAGAGGTGCACGCCCAGGACCCGGCCCCACCCCCGGGAGCCGGGGAGCCGGGAGGGCGCGGCAGACCCCGGCCGGGCGGACGTCCACCCGGGAGGCTCGTCTTTGTTCCGGCCCCTCGGGCCCGGGGGCGGGGCGCGCCCGGCTTTGTCCGGGACCCGATCCCCGCGGCCCGCGGGCGGCGCACCTGAAGCGCGGCGAATCCTTGATGCACTCCTCGAACTCCACCGTCATGGCTGCGGCGGCCGCGGCTCCCGCCCCGAGGCCCGCGGCGCGAGCGAGCGGGATCCCCGGCCGGCCCGGACCGCCGCCCCGCCCCGCCTGTCACCGCCAGGGAGCGTCGCCCAAGTGCGCGCCGCGCGGCCGCGCCCGCCCGCCGCCCTGCCGGCCGGGCCGCGGGCGGCACTTTGCCCCGCTCCCTCGGCAGGCCCCGCCCACGGTGCGTGCGCGCTCCGGGCCACGTGCGGCGCTGCCACGGCCATGGGCTCGGCCGCGGGCGGGCGGGCGCGCTACCTCGTATACTTCCAGTACGTGGGCACCCACTTCAAGTAGGTGCGGGCGGGTGGGCTGCCTCGTGCACTCCCAGTACGTGGGCACCCACTTCAAGTAGGTGCGGGTGGGCTATCTCGTGTCCTCTCAGTATGTGGGCACTGCCTCAAGCGGGTGCCAGGCAGGAGGGTGGCTGGATGCAGTAGCCTCCACCCGCTTACTCTCCTCTTTCCGCAGTGGGGTCGCAGCTGTGAGGGGCACCCAGCGCGCTGTTGGCGTACAAAACTACCTGGAGGTGAGCCTGCGGGGGGGGGGGGTGGTTAGGGAGCCCCCAAGCCCAGGGACCACCAGCCTGTCCTCGCTGTCTCCCTGCAGGAGGCCGCAGGGCGGCTGAAATGCCTGGCACCTGTCAGGTTCACCATTTCCAGCCGCACCGATGCCGGGGTCCATGCCCTCAGTAACACAGCGCACGTGGACCTTGAGCGTGGCCCAGGCCAGCCAGCCTTCTCCCCGGAAGTCCTGGTCCAGGCCCTCAACACCCACCTGCGGCACCCGGCCATCAGGTGAGCCCGTGGTGGCAGTGGCAGTGGCGGCAGGGACATGCCCAGATCTCTTGGGTCTGAGCCACCCCTGCCACCTCAGGGTCCTGCAGGCTTTTCGAGTGTCCAGCGACTTCCACGCCCGCCATCATGCCACAGCCAGGACCTACGTGTACCGGCTGGCCACTGGCTGCTCCCAGGCAGAGGAGCTCAGCGTGTTTGAACGACACCTGTGTTGGCCTCTTCGGGCACAGTAAGTGTGAACGGTCGGTGGGCCCACCTGGCTGCACTCCCGCCCCCACCCTGACCGCTGGCCTGGCTCTCTGCAGCAGCCTGGACCTGCCGGCCATGCAGGAGGCAGCTCAGCACCTGCTCGGGACTCACGACTTCAGTGCCTTCCAGTCGGTGGGCAGCCCATCCAGCAGCCCTGTGCGCACAATGAGACGCGTGGCTGTGGCCCCCAGTCCCAGCAGCCCCTTGCTGCTCCCGGAGGAGAGCAGGTAAGCTCCTGCAGGGCCCATGTCCCCGCTGCAGCGGCCACATGCTGCTCTGTGGGCCCTTGCCCTGGTGGGGGTCTCACTGGACTTCTGGTTCACACGCAGCCCAGTGGTGTGAACCAAGGCAGGCTGTACCTCCCGCTGGTTGGCCCCAGGTGGACGTGCCCTGCTCTCATGACAGGAAGCTACAGTTCTGGAGCCTGGAGTTTGAGAGCCAGTCCTTCCTGTACCGGCAGGTGAGTGCCCCCTCCCCGGGCCTCTGGGGCGGACTAGGGCTCCATGCCAGCGTGGGCTTTGGCTCGCAGGTACGGAGGATGACAGCTGTGCTGGTAGCTGTGGGACTGGGCACCCTGACGCCTGCCCAAGTGAAGGAAATTCTGGAGAGCCGGGACCCGCTGGGCAAATACCAGGCCCGTGTGGTCCCAGCTCACGGCTTGTTTCTGAAGTCAGTGCACTATGGAGGCCTTGAAGACTCAGGTGAGGCCCACCATTCCCACAGCCCTCCATGATCATGGCATGTGTGCCCTGTGGCCTGGGGGACAGTGACCCAAGCCAGGCGGCTTCTTGTAGGAGCTGCAGGTGACCCTGGACACGCTCAAGGCCTGGCCACTGCTCCTGGAAGTACGTGAGGTGTGCCCACCACCCTGGACGCCCGGCACCCAGATGTGGGTGAACAGGAAACAGCTAAGCTTCAGTTGTTGGTTTTACTGAAAATGTGAGGCACCACCCCAAGATGGTGCCCGGGGTGAATAAAAACAAGGCCAGGAGGCTCTGAGGCTGGACTTCCTCTTTAGCCACAAACACCGAGGTCCGTGTCTTCCCAGTTTCAGGGTCTAGATCCCAGCACTGGTGGGGCAGGGCAGCTCGACCAGGTGCCGGGGACCTGGGGTGGCATCACCAGGTGGAGGCATCAGTTGGTGCCAGGTGCCTGGGGCAGCTCAGCTAGGCACCTGGGGCAGCATCGCCGGATACCAGGCTGGGGCATCAGTGGGTGCTGAGTGCCTCGGCAGGTCAGCTGGGTACCTGCGGCAGCCCCTTCTTGAGCAGCGCAGTGAGGTAGCTGCCCAGCTCCTCGTCCTGCAAAGGGACAGAAGCCTGGGGTTCAGCCCATGCCGGCAGCAGGACAAGGAGGGGCTCCACAGCCATGCTCCTCACCTGGTAGGTCCAGGAGACCAGCAACACCTTGGTGCTTGGGTCCTCGGAGTGGGCGGCAGCCTGGATCAGGATGGACTCAACAGTGACAGAGCCGTCAGGGAGGTGTTGCACGCAGTGGTCCTTCAGGACACTGTTGGGAGGAGCCGTGAGACCCTGGCGCAGGCTGCCCACCATGCTGGGGGCAGGCTGGACAGCAAGGGGCCCACCACGCTGGGAATAGGCCAGGTGCTGGGGGCACACCACACTGGGAGCACACCACGCTGGGGGCAGGGTGGACAGTGGGGGACCCACCACACTGGGGGCAGGCCTGGAGGCTGGGGGCCCACCACACTGGGGGCAGACCGGGTGGCGGGGGCCCACCACGCTGGGGACAGGCCTGGAGGCTGGGGGCCCACTACGCTGGGGACAGGCCGGGTGGCGGGGGCCCACCACGCTGCGGACAGGCCGGGCGGCTGGGGGCCCACCACGCTGGGGGCAGGCCGGGCGGCTGGGGGCCCACCACGCTGGGGACAGGCTGGCGGCTGGGGGCCCACCACACTGGGGGCAGACCGGGTGGCGGGGGCCCACCTCTTGAGGTGGCTGTAGACGTGCAGGGCCGTCTCCTGCTCCTTGCGGGCGTCATGCAGGTAAACGCGGCAGGTGAAGCGCAGCTGGTGCTCTGCCAAGCCCAGCTCTTTGAGGGCTTGCTCGGAGGACACAAGCCGGAAGTTCTGCAGGGCAGCGGCGGCTCAGGCGCACAGGAGACCCCCCCACAGCCCCACCCAGGAGCAGCACTCACCCCATCCTTCATGATCAGGGTACCATGCAGGAGCCGGGGCCTTCTGGCCTCTGGGAGCGACACTGTGCAATGGGCAGGCATGGTCAGCAAGTCCAGCTCACCATCCACCCCCCTACCCACCACTGCCCAAGCCACCTGCCCCTGCCCCTCCAGCAGTCTCCCCCTGAGTCACCTCCCGCCACCCATACCCCCTCATGCACACACCCTGGGTCACCTCCCCTCCCCTCCCCTCCCCCATGCACACATCCTGGGTCACCTCCCCTCCCCTCCCCCATGCACACACCCTGGGTCACCTCCCCTCCCCCATGCACATCCTGGGTCACCTCCCCTCCCCTCCCCCATGCACACACCCTGGGTCACCTCCCCTCCCCCATGCACACATCCTGGGTCACCTACCCCCCGCACCCCGCATGCACACACCCTGAGCCATCTCTCGCTTCAGCAGTCCCAGTGAGATGCCCACAGGGATGCTGGGATTGGTGGGCAGGGTCACCGTCTCCCCGTTGGCTGGCATGTAGCAGCTGACTCCTGGGTGGAGGCAGAGTGGGCCTCAGGCCACAGCAGCTCTCAGCAGGGAGGCCCACCCACCAGCTGGTACCCCGGCTTACGGAACTCCTGTTCGATCTTCTGCTTCAGGAACTCCATCTTCTTGGCCTCACCGTGCACCAGCAGGACACTCTGTGGCTCTGCCTGGCCCACCAACTGCATGATGCCCTTGGCATCCGCATGGGCACTGAAGGACATGTACTCCACCTGCATCCTGACCTCCAGCTGCAGCACAGGGCACAGGCTGGTCACCCAGAGGGCCTGCAGCCGGCCCGGCCCAGGGGGTGGCGGGAGGGGACTCACCACCTGCCGGCCCTCCATCTCTAGCTTGCGCTGCCCACTCAGGATCTTGTGGCCCACAGTGCCCTGCACGCAGTATCCAGGCATGATAACCTGGGGACAGGTATAGGGTCAGCCCCAGGAGCTTCCTTCCAGTAGCAAGCCTGGGAGAGCAGGACACAGGCCCACCTCTGCTGCCTCCAGGCCCAGCTCTCACCATGTTCTTCTCGTTTCCCGCCCATTTGCGGAAGATCTGCAGGGACTGGCCAGCATGTAGCATGCCTGGTGTGGCGAAGACAACCTGTGGGGATGTGGTGGGGACAGACAGGGCAGCAATGCTCCTGTTGGCTCATCCAGACGCCCGCTGCCTAAGCCCAGGCCTGCGGGCAGGGGGCCCCTCGCCCCACCCCAGGGAGGGGCTGCCAGGAACCCCCAGCCCCCAGGCCTTACCATTGGCCCTGGGTTGTCAGCAAAAGCACGGTCAAAGGCCTTGATGTGCTTGAACTCGAACATGTTCCTTTGCACGAAGGTCTTCCTGATCTTCTGGTTGGTCCAGGTGATGAAGAGCTTGTAGTAGTGGTTGGCCTTCTCCGTGAGGCCCGTGGAGAAGTAGATGGGCACCTTCAGGTTCATGCGCTCCCTGGGGGCCCATCGGGGTCAGCAGCACCAGGACTGCGGAGGACATGGCCCGGGAACCTGCCACTTCCACTCCCTGCCCCCACTAGGCAGCAATGGCCACGGAACCTACCAGAAGGTTTCCAGCAGAATGCACAGCTCCTGGGCGCGGCCCAGCGCGAAGACGGGGATGAGCACCTGGAAGGGCAGGGCAGGCTCAGGCAGGGGACGTCAGCATCACTCCCCCCCCAGGCATGCCAGCACCAGCCTCCGAGCAGGCCCAGGCTGGGGCAGCCCCGAGGGCCTGGGGGTCCCAGCTACCTTCCCGCCACGCTCCACAGTCTCATGCACTTTCTTGAGGAAGTCACGCTCACGGCAGCGCTTGGAGTCACGTATGGTGGTGGCGTAAGTGGATTCGGTGATGAGCAGGTTGGGGCGACACTTGTCGATCCAGGCGGCTCTGCAATGAGAGGCTTCCACTGTGACCACCCACAACCCCACAGGACGGTCCTTGGGGTGCGGCCAGGGCCCTGGCGACTCACCCCAGATGCCGGTCAGGGGTCATGTTGTAGTCTCCCTGTGAAGGAAATGGCGATGAAGAGGGCATGGCACGCCCAGGAAGCACCCCAGGGCCAGCCCCCACTGACCGTGTAGACCACGGACTCTGAGCCCACTTTGATCTGGAACATGGCTGCTCCCAGCACGTGGCCAGCGTAGTAGGCCTTGATCTCCAGCTCGTCATCCACCTGGGCACAGGAGAGGGGGCTGTGAGCTTCTGTTTCTGCACAGACCCCAGCTTTGCCTCAGAGCAGGTAGCCCTGAGAAGCCGGGGCTCCCGCTCCACTCGGGCCTAGGCAGCCGCAACCCCGGCCTTCTGTGACGTGTACCTGGGGGCAGCTACAGCTCAGCATCGAGGCCCAGCCTCCAGCCCTGGCTGCTGCGGCCTTCTAAGCAGTGAACTCACCAACAAGATCCCACTTGCTCTGAGCACCCCCCCACCGAGTTCTTAGACATGGAGTCCGGGCACCACAGTGGTGGGCAGCAGCCACGAGGAGGCCACGGGCAGGGTGCACAGGTATTGGGTTTCATTGGATCAAAGGCCAGACAGGCCCTCAGTGCCACCCAGGGACCACAGGCCAGGCCCCAGACCAGCAAACAACAGTTTGCACGTGGTTGCACGTCACACACCACGGCCCAAACGCCCACTAAACTGAGGTCTCCCGCGGCTCCCCATGGGCTCAGATACACAAAGGTGACCCTGGACCCTTGGGCCTGTGCAGAGCCAGGGACACACAGCCAACACCCCAGGCTGAAACCGAACTGGGCCAGGACCCAGTGCATGCCCCACAGCCCCATGGGCCAGGACCTGGACGGTCTGGTGCAGGTGGACGGCCACCACCTTCTTCATGCAGTCCTTGATCATCTGAGAGGTGAAGAAGTTGGCCTCGCCCTTCTTGTCCACAGCGATCTTGCGGTAGTCCTCCAGCAGGATGGGGCAGATGGCCTGGGTGGGGTGGGTCATATAGATGGGCCCGTCATAGCCGACCATCTCACTAAAGTAGGGCAGCGCTCCGCAGTGATCCAGGTGGAAGTGGCTGGGGTGTGACACGGGACCCGGGTCAACCCTGCGCCCTTCCTGTCCGACCCCCGCCAGGGTGGGGACAGAAAGAACTGCAGAGAGAGCCCACCTTGCAGAACAGCCCACCAGGGTTGCCACCTGCTAGGGCGAGGTGGAGTAGGGACAAGGGGAAGGCCAGGCAGCTGGGCGCGGCCTGTGGCCCCTGGCCAGGAGGAACCCCAAACCAGAGGGACTGCAGGGAAGGCAGGGGCCTCCAGTGGGGAGTCCCAGAGCCAGCAGTGAGGGGACGGGGAAGCAATGAGGGAGACGGAGGTGAGGGGGATGGTGACACAGGGAGGTGATGGGGTGATGAGGGCAGGAAGAGGAAGGTTATTCCCCGCTAAGGGACACCAGTACCAGGCTGCCTCATGCAGTTTGCTGGGAGGCCAGGGGAGAGTGGTCACTGGGGACAGGCCCTGGCGCAGAGGCTCCACGCAGTAGCTATCCAGATGCCCTTCCTCCTGTTACGGCACCTGGGGCAGCAGTGGACGCCCCCGGCTTGGGACACTGCCGCCACCAGGGAACCCTGGAAGGAGCTGCTGGCTGCTGGCCTGCGTCGGGACCAGGCCTGGCCAGGGTTGCCACACAGATGGGCAGAAGAAATACCTGTCTCCCTCTGTCTTTCCCTCTTCCTCTCTCTGTCTCCCAGTCTCTCTCTCTCTCTTCCTGTCTCTCTCCCTGTCTCTTCCTCTCTCTGTCTTTTTCCCTCTCTCTGCTCCTCTCTCTGTCCTGCTCTCTTGCTCTGCCGTGCAACAAGGAGGACACCCCCCAGAGTCCCCGGCGCCCTGGGGTGACCCCTCAGCACCCACCTGATGATGACGCAGTCCAAGAAGTCCGTCAGTCGGCCGTTCTGCGTGATGTAGGAGAAGTCGGGAAAGCGCCGCTGCGGGGACACGGACACCGGCGGTGGGCACGGGCGGGCGGCGGGGTCCAGGGCCCAGCACCCCGCCCGTCAGCAGGGCCCCCCAGCGCGGCGCTCACGTCGTCGTTGAAACCCATGTGCATCCCGCAGTCCAGCATCACGTTCTTGCCCCCGATGGACACCAGGATGCAGCTGCGGCCCACGTCCTGGCCGGCTCCTGCTCGGGGAGAGCGCGGGTGAGGGCCGCGGCTGCACGGCGGCCCCACCTGGCCTGCTGCGGACTGCCGTCCTGCCCCGCACCCGGGCCGCCCGCTTACCCAAGGGGGTGACCCTGATCTCGGGCATGGCTCCCGCGCCGCGGCCTCACGCGCCCGGGACCGGCGAGGGGCGGGGCCACGGCGACCCTGCCGCCTCGCACTGCGCAAGTGCTGCGGGCCTCTCTCGGGTCCCGTCGCAGGAAACGTGCGCCGGAGGGGGCGGGGCTCCGGGTCCGGGCGCAGCAGAGAGGGGGCCAGCTCATTGGACGGTCGGCTGCCAATCGCACCGGGGGCGGTGCTCCGGGGCGGAACGGAGAGGACAGGATCAGGTGATTGGGCGACATGTTGCCAATCGCGCCGGCGGGGCGAGGCTCCGAGTCTGGACGCAGCAGAGAGGGGACCATCTCATTGGACGGTCGACTGCCAATCGCGCCGGCGGGGCGGGGCTCCGGGTCCGGGGGCGGAGCGGAGAGGGGCCGGGTGAGCAGCTCCGGCCCATGGCGTCGGCGGCGGCGACTCAACCGAACGCCGGGCTGTGGCCGAAGACGCCCGCCGCTCACGTCAGCCTCAAGCTCAGCGCCGCCCGCGCCTCTAGCCCGCCCCGTCCCCTAGCTGAAGCGGACACTTCCCGGAGCAGCCCCGGTAAGCCTGGCGGGGTCGTCCCCTGCGCGGACCCCCGCCCCGCCCGGGCCGAGCCGTCCGGCGCCTCGGCCTGAGCAGCTGAGCTCCCCGCTCGGACCGCCCGGGGCCAGGCGCTTGGCCCAAGAGGCGGGCGCGATGTGAGCGGGGTGGACAGGCCCAGGGTGGGGTGCAGCCGGGCCTGCTGCATGCGAGCCGGAGACGCAAGGCCGGGCAGCGGCGGGCGACATGCAGGCCGAGGGGCTGCACCGGGGAGGCCCCTCCTGCCCCTCAGGACTTGCTACCTGCTGCCCAGGGGCGGTCCAGGTCGGGGCTGCCCAGGACGGCTAAGACACCAGGGCCGAGGGCACAGCCGGGCAGGGGGCACAGCCGGGCAGCGGGCACAGCCGGGCAGGGGGCACAGCCGGACAGGGGGCACAGCCGGACAGGGGGCACAGCCGGGCCGAGGGCACAGCCGGGCAGGGGCACAGCCGGGCCGAGGGCACAGCCAGGCCGAGGGCACGGCCGGACAGGGGCACAGCCAGGCAGGGGGCACAGCCGGACAGCGGGCACAGCGGGACAGAGGGCACAGCTGGGCAGCGGGCACAGCTGGACAGGGGGCACAGCCGGGCCAAGGGCACAGCTGGACAGAGGGCACAGCCGGGCCAAGGGCACAGCCGGACAGGGGGCACAGCCGGGAGGCCCCGGGAACAGGTGATGAGCTGCGTCCTGCTCACCCTGTGCCTCAGAGCGGTCTGAACATGGAGGAGCCCGGGGTTGACTTCAACCTGAAGATGGTGCTGGTCAGTTTCAAGCAGTGTCTCAATGAGAAGGAGGAAGTGCTGCTGGACCACTACCTCGACAGCTGGAAGGGGCTGGTCAGGTGCGTGCTGCTGCCCTGGGCGGCCTTGCAGCCAAAGCCCAGCCCAGAGGGTCACCTCTTGGGGAGGGGAGTCACTGGCCCCGCCCACAGCGCTGCCTGCCCCGCCCACATAGCCAGGCGCTCCGCCCACGGCGCTGCCGGCCCCACCCACAGATCTGTCCACGCCCACATGGTCAGGCGCTCCGCCCACGGCGCTGCTGGTCCCGCCCACATAGCTAGGTGTTCCGCCCACAGTGCTGCTGGCCCGCCCAAATGGCCAGGCGCTCCGCCCACGGCGCTGCCGGCCCCGCCCACAGATCTGTCCACGCCCACATGGTCAGGCGCTCCGCCCACGGCGCTGCTGGCCCCACCCACATAGCCAGGTGCTCCGCCCACAGCGCTGCTGTCCCCTGCAGGTTTCTGAATAGCCTGGGTGCCGTCTTCTCCTTCATCTCCAAGGACGTAGTCTCCAAGCTGCACATCATGGAGCGGCTGCGGTCTGGCCCCCAGGGAGAGCAGTACGCCAGCCTACAGTCCATGATGGCTTACGAGACGGGGAACCAGCTGGTGGACGTGGACAGGCGCTCCCGCCACCCTGATTCGGGCTGCCGCACGGTGCTGCGGCTACACCGTGCCCTGCGCTGGCTGCAGCTCTTCCTGGAAGGCCTGCGCACCAGCGCTGAGGATGCCCGCCCCTCAGTGCTCTGCACCGACTCCTACAATGCCTCTCTGGCCGCCTACCACCCTTGGATTGTGCGTCGGGCTGTCACTGTGGCCTTCTGCACGCTGCCCACGCGCAAAGCCTTCTTGGAGGCCATGAATGTGGGAACCCCTGAACAGGCTGTGGAGATGCTGGGCGAAGCCCTGCCCTACATCGAGCAGGTGTACGAGGTCTCCCAGAAGCTCTACGCCCAGCACTCCCTGCTGAACCTGCCTTAAGCCCAGGGGCTCCCAGTTCCCACACCCATGGGGAGCTGGACCCACAAGCCTTCAACGGAGTTTTCTGGGTCCCTAAGAGGGTGTCTGCCACAGCCTCCATGAGCCAAGCTTCCAGGAACAGAGGAGATGGGCAGCTGGTTGCCCACGCTGTGTGTCAGCGAGGCCTGTGAGCTGCCCAAGGATGGTGCCTGCTGGCTGTCGAACAGCTGGAGGCCCCAGGCCTGGCCTACCTATGTGTGTCCTTTCTGGGCTGCCCCTCCAGTCTTGACAGCTGACCTGGCTTGGCCTAGCCAGGGTGGAGCACCTGGCTATGTGGGCAGGGCCAGCAGTGCTCTGGGTGGAACACCTGGCTATGTGGGTGGGGCCAGCAGTGCTGTGGGTGGAGCATCTGGCTTCACACCCTCTCACCTTGTCAGCCAACCTCATACTCAGAATTCGAGTGGCCCCTGTGGACCCCTTCCCTAGGTCCTAGGAACGCCTTGGGACAACTTGACCGGCCCCTGAGCAACATCTACTCCCAGGGGACATGCTAGCTTTGGCTGCAGACTCTAGGCAGCTGCCATTGGCATGCACAGCAGGGCCCCAGAGCCTGGACCTCCCCCTGTTCCAGTTGCCCAGCTCTGGGGCATGGCAGCCGTGGCAGTGAAACAGGGCCCCTGCCTGACCTAGTTCCACCATCCGCTGCTGCTCCAGGCTGCAGACAAACCTCTGGGACTCCACTCATAGGACAGCAGACCCACCCAGGCGAGCACCTGGGGCACGGGGCTCCTGGGAGCCAACATGTGTAGCACATTGCGACATCAATAAAGCACGTTCATGGGACCAGGTGTGGCATCCGAAACAGGAGTCTGGGAGTAGGCCAGGTGCTCAACAAGGCTGGGAGGGACACAATCAACTGAGCTGAGGCTGAGGGGTGGGGCAGGGGGAGGGCTGGGTCCCAATGACTTTCTGCTACTTCACAGGCAGGGAGACAGGTGCAAGGGCTCGCCCAGGATTCACAACCCATCCAGGTGGGGCCAGTGATGTGCTTTGGCGGTGGTCTGGGCACAGACTCCCAGGTCCCCCATGTGGTTTCCACAAAGGTGGCTAAAGGGCCGATGGGCCTGGGGTAAAGCTGTGTTGACACACATGGGTTCCCCACAGGGCCTGGGCTTGGCAGCCCCAGGGCTCCCAGAGCTGGGACGAGAGTCAAGCAGAGGCACGGGGCAGCCCCTACCGTGCAGGCACAGCCTTGCTGCTGATTTGTTTAGGCATTTCCTCCGTGTTTGCATGTCCCCCTTCCTGGCCAGCTCTGTCCCCAGAGGGAGCTGGGGGTGCAGGCTGGGGTCAGGCCCCTAGACCCTTCAGAGGCCACACGCTCCTGACCGGGCCCCACTTCTACCTCACCCCAGGCAGGCGCCACCTGCGGCTACAGAGGGCAGGTCCCAGGGCCTCAGGGCCTCGGTCTGACTGGTTTCTCCTCTTGGCTGGCCGGCTGCATGGGGGTGGGGGTGCTGAGGGGGCAGGGGCAGGGAAGCAGGTCCAGGGCCACCCGAAGCCCTGGCGGGCCTAGTGGAGGCACCTGGGGACTGTCCAGTAAGGACAGCAAGGGTTTTGCTAAACAAATCTAGGGCCCTCCCCCAGACTGGCCACACCTGAGGCCCTGGCACACCCAGCACTCGCACATCTGCCAGCACTGCAGCTGCCATGCCCGGCCGGGCTCTCCTGGGCCTCGGCCTCGTGGTACTTCTGGGCCCGAGGACAGGGGCCCCACTGTGCCTCTCCCGGCAGCTCAAGATGCACGGGGACTACATCCTAGGCGGGCTCTTCCCACTGGGCTTGCCTGAAGAGGCCAGCCTGGGCAGCCGAACCCGGCCCTACAGCACCACATGTTCCAGGTCAGGCGGCGGGAGCGGCCCGCAGGGCTGGGGGCGGTCAGGGCCACAGTGGCAGCCAACAACCTCCCCCTCCCCACATGGCCGCAGGTTCTCGCCCCTCGGCCTGGCCCTGGCCCTGGCCCTGCAGATGGCCGTGGAGGAGGTCAACAACAGGTCAGACCTGCTTCCCGGGCCGCGCCTGGGCTATGACCTGTTTGACACATGCTCGGACCCCATGGCCACCATGAAGCCCAGCCTCATGTTCCTGGCTGAGGCTGGCAGCCAGGACATCGCTGCCTACTGCGACTACTCCCAGTACCAGCCCCGCGTGCTGGCCGTCATCGGGCCCCACTCGTCCGAGCTGGCTCTCATCACCGGCAAGTTCTTCAGCTTCTTCCTCATGCCCCAGGTGGGCCCCTGCTGCCCACCGGCCTGGCCCAGCACCCCCCACTGCCCACCGGCCTGGCCCAGCCCAGAACACCCCGCTGCCCCCTGGCCCGGCCTTCCCCTGGCTGCCTGCTGACCCAGGACGCCCCTGCTGCCAGCACAACTACCCCCCCATAGCTCCCTCCCTACCCCACCACACACACGAGGCACCCTCCCCACTGCCCGCTGGCCTGGCCTGCTCCCCGCCCCCTCCCAACACACAGATGTGTCCAGCGTGCCCTGCCCCTCAGGTCAGCTTTGGTGCCAGCATGGAGCAGCTGAGCAACCGTGACACTTTCCAGTCCTTCTTCCGCACGGTGCCCAGCGACCGTGTGCAGCTGGCGGCCACCGTGGAGCTGCTGCTGGAGCTGGGCTGGAACTGGGTGGCTGCCGTGGGCAGCGACGATGAATATGGCCGGCAGGGCCTGAACATCTTCTCGAACTTGGCCAGCAGCAAGAACGTGTGCATCGCGCATGAGGGCCTGGCGCCGCTGTCCTCTGCTGACAGCCTGCGGCAGGAGCAGCTCAAGGACCTGCTGCGCCAGGTGAACCGCAGCAGCGTGCAGGTGGTGGTGGTCTTTGCCTCGGCGCAGGCTGCCCAGGCCCTCTTCCGCCACTGCATCTACTCCAAACTCCTGCCAAAGGTGTGGGTGGCCAGTGAGGCCTGGCTGACCTCAGACCTGGTCATGACACTGCCAGGCATGGCTCAGATGGGCACGGTGCTGGGCTTCCTGCAGCGGGGGGCCCCACTGCACCAGTTCCCTGGGTATGTGCAGACCCGCCTGGCCCTGGCTGCCAACCCCACCTTCTGCACCTCGCTGGACACGGAGCAGCCAGGTCTGGAGGAGCACGCGGTGGGGCCGCGCTGCCCGCACTGTGACCGCCTCTCCCCGCAGAATCTGTCCGCCTGGCTACTGCAGAACTTGGCAGCTGGGCAGCTGCACCACCAGATCTTCGCCACCTACGCCGCAGTGCACAGCGTAGCCCAGGCCCTGCACCACACGCTGCGCTGCAATGCGTCTGGGTGCCCGGCGCGGGAGCGCGTGCGGCCCTGGCAGGTGAGAGTGGCGTGGCGGTGGGACCCACTGCGCCTGTGCGGCCCGCGATGGGGGGTGGGGGAACCTGCCCTACCCCGCCCATGCCCCGCCCCTCCCGCCTAGGCCCCGCCCCCGCCTCCCAGGCTCCGCCCCGCATCTGGCCCCGCCCGCCTAGGCCCCGTCTCCACTCGCGGCCACGTCCCCACAGCTCCTGCAGCACATGTCCAACTTGAGCTTCCGAGCAGCCGAGCTGGGCCTGCACTTCGACGCTTCGGGCAGCGTGAGCATGCAGTACGACCTGAAGCTGTGGCTGTGGCGGGGCCCCAGGCCCGAGTTCCACACTGTGGGCACTTTCGATGGGCGGCTCTCCCTAAACCGCGCCCAGATGAGCTGGCACACGCCTGACAACCGGGTGAGGGCGGCCTGGGAGCCCCAAGGGGTCAGGGTGGCGCCCGGGCACCGTGCAGGGCCTGAACTGGCCACGTTGGCAGGTACCCGAGTCCCAGTGCTCCCGGCAGTGCCGAGAGGGTCAGGTGCGCCGGGTCAAGGGCTTCCACTCCTGCTGCTATGACTGTGCTGACTGCAAGGCTGGCACCTACCGGCACAACCCAGGTGAGCTGGTAGCCCTGGGACGACCCCGAGGCCAGGCCAAGGGCCCCGGTGGCACTGCTCAGCACCCTCTTTCCTCCCTCCCCGCAGACGATCCCACGTGCACCCCGTGCGCCCATGACCACTGGTCCCCAGACCGCAGCACGCGCTGCTACCCACGCAGGCCCAGGTTTCTGGCGTGGGGAGAGCCCGCACTGCTGCTACTGCTGCTGCTGATGGGCCTGGCGCTGGGCCTGGCGCTGGGCGCCCTCAGGCTCTTCCTCTACCACCGGCGCAGCCCTCTGGTCCAAGCGTCTGGAGGGCAGCTGGCCTGCTTCGGCCTGGCCTGCCTGGCCCTGCTCTGCCTCACAGTCCTGCTGTTCCCTGGCTGGCCCCAGCCCGCCAGCTGCCTGGCCCAACAGCCTCTTGCGCACCTGCTGCTCGCCGGCTGTCTCAGCTCCCTCTTGCTGCAGGCAGCCGACACCTTCGTGGAGTCAGAGCTGCCACCTGCCTGGGCCACCCAGCTGCGGGCCTTCCTGCGGGGGCCCCGGGCCTGGCTGGCCGTGCTGCTGGCCGTCCTGGTGGAGGCGGCCATGTGCACTTGGTACCTGGTGGCCTTCCCCCCCGAGGTGGTGATGGACTGGCAGGTGCTGCCCACGGAGGTTCTGGTGCACTGCCGCCTGCGTTCCTGGGCCGGCCTCGCGCTGCTGCACGCTCCCAACGCCGCCCTGGCCTTCCTCTGCTTCCTGGGCACCTTCCTGGTGCAGAGCCAGCCCGGCCGCTACAACCGCGCCCGCGGCCTCACCTTCGCCATGCTGGCCTACTTTATCACCTGGGTCTCCTATGTGCCCCTCCTGGCCAACGTGCAGGTGGCCTACCAGCCCGCTGTACAGATGGGTGCCATCCTGGTGTGTGCCCTGGGCATCCTGGCTGCCTTCCACCTGCCCAAGTGCTACCTGCTCCTGTGGCAGCCGGACCTCAACACCCCAGAGTTCTTCCTGGGAGAGGCCACTGGGGCTGCGCAAGGCGGCCCAGGGACAAACGGGTGACCCTGAGGCAGGAGCCCCTCTACCCCAGCAGCAGCCCCACTGCCCCTGTGACCCTCCAGCTCGAAAATCTGACCTCATGCTGCCCCCAGGCTCCGCCCGTGACCCCATAGCAACCCCCACAGGCTCTGCTGTGACCCCATGCTGCTTCTGACGACCCCACAGCGACCTCTCAGGTTCTGCCTCTGTCCTTGCCGAATGCACTGGGCATGACAGGGCCAGGCCTTACAAGTAGAAGGTGCAACTGGACAGCCCTCATGGGGCCACATCAGCCCCAGCCTGCCCAGCACCCTGTCCAGCCAGCAGGAAGGGGAGGGTGGTGGGCGAGTACTTGTGGCAGAGGTCAGCTTGTCCTCCTGCCCCAGCCCAAGCAGGCCAAATGGAGCTACTCCTGCCAGCAGCCCTGTGGATAGAGCCCTGTGCGTCAGCACCAAGGCCAGCGGCAACTGGGACCCCGGAGCCAGCACCTCGGACAGAACACCAGGCACCAGGACCCCACAGCTGCTGACAGCACTGGGACAGAGAAGGAACACAGCCACAGTCAGTCCATAAAATTAAAGGCCTTTAGTGTTTAAAATAGCATTTACCCAGCAACAGCTCCGTGGGAACTGCCGGCTACCCAGGTGCAAACTGAGGCGGGGTAGGGCACAGACCACATTCCTGCAGCAGCCCCAGGCCCCACAGCCCCACACCGCCTCCGAGGGGAGAGCAGGAGCAGGCAGCTGGCCGGGCCATCCCCAGAGTACACGGGCTGGCAATAAATAAATAAATTAGGGCCCCTCTGGGCGGCCACTGGGCACTGGGATTTCATCTGGCTGCCAAGGTCACCCACTCAGTCTGGGGAGGGGTTCTGCAGGACAGCAGGGGCCACAGGGAGGCTGGGGTGGGGAGGGAGGGTGGCTCAGGGTCCCAGAGGCTCACGCTGAGCAGGGAAGATGGGACCCCCTGAGCAGAGCACCCAGCACCTCACCCTGTGCCTGATCCCATGGGCCCCCCAAGCTGGAACCCCACAGGCCGGCCATGTGCAGGCAAGGACGGTTCCCATCACATGATGTCCACGAAGAACTCACAGGGGTTCCCCATGGCCTTCTGGAAAGACTGGCGGCTGCCTGTCAGCTCTGGAGGCACAGCAGCCAGCTCACGCACAGGTGGCGCCCCAGGCGGCCCCCCAGCCATGGGGTGGGCCATGGTCAGAGGGTGTGGCGAGGGCAGCCCTGGGGCGGTGCTGGGGGCCTGGATGCCTGGGCTGCTGGTGCGGCTGAGCTGGCTCACCGGGCGCTCTCGCCAGCTGCTGCTGCTCACGGCACTGGGGGCCACAGGGTCCGACTCACTCCCGCTGCCCCCAGCTCCGGACGCCCGGCGCTCCTCTCGGCCAGGGGCCCGACGGCTGCTCTGGGTGGACCCGCCACTTCTGCTGCCTGCAGGGAGATGGAACGGAGACCCACGCTGGTCAGCGGCAGGCCAGCCATTGCCAGGGGCTGCCACTGACCCCTTACCAGGATGGGGCGGGAGGGCCAGCCATGCACACAAGGGCTTGGATGAAGGGCAGAAGCAGGCTTATGGGGACTCCACACCTCACCCACTCCTGAACTTGGCCCCACTGGCCGTCCTGGCTGACTTGACCCACGGCCCTGGCCAGCAGTTTGGGCCCAGCCCTCATCCTGGGCTCCTCAAACGTGGTGGGGACATGTGGGACATGCCGGGAGGGACGCCAGGAAGGACCTGGGCTTACCGGTCCCGAGGGTCCACTCCGCTAGTCCTTCAGTCTAAGGGTTGCTCAGCAAAAGCAAGGATAGCACGGGTCACGCTCGGGAGGGCAGGGTGGGTGGGTCACACATGGGGGAGAGGGTGGACGGGTCACACACGAGGGCATGGACATGTCACACATGGGGGCATGGACGGGTCACACATGGGGACATGGACGGATCACACATGGGGGTGTGGACGGGTCACACATGGGGGCGGGGTGGACGGGTCACACATGGCATGGACGGGTCACACATGGGGACGGGGTGGATGGGTCACACATGGGGGTGTGGACGGGTCACACATGGGGGCATGGACGGGTCACACATGGGGGTGTGGACGGGTCACACATGGGGGCATGGAAGGGTCACACATGGCGGGGTGGACGGGTCACACATGGGGGTGTGGACGTGTCACACATGGGGGAGAGGGCGGACGGGTCACACATGGGGGAGAGGGCGGATGGGTCACACATGGGAGGCGTGACGGGTCATGCATGGGGGGGCATGGAAGGGTCACACATGTGCAGACAGGTCACATATGGGGAGGGGTGGATGGGTCACGCACCACAGGGGTGGTGGCAGACGGGTCAGGCACAGGGAAAGGCAGGGGGCAGCCGCAGGTCCTCCTCCAAGCCAGCCTACCCAACCCCCTTGCGTTCAACCTTGGGCTGGGCAGGTCTTAGACAGGTCAGCCCAGGCCCACAGCCATCTCATCCGGCTTGTCCTCAGACTCCTCCAACCCACAACACTGTCCACCACCCCTGGCTGGGTCCCTCACCAGCTGCTGCATCTCCTACTGGCTTGCTGCACATCCCCACGGCCACCTGCACCCCCACGGCCACCTGCACCCCCATGGCTGTCTGCACCCCCACAGCTGGCCGCCTGCACCCCCATGGCTGTCTGCACCCCCACAGCTGGCTGCCTGCACCCCCATGGCTGTCTGCACCCCCCCACAGCTGGCCGCCTGCACCCCCATGGCTGTCTGCACCCCCACAGCTGGCCGCCTGCACCCCCATGGCTGTCTGCACCCCCCCCACACAGCTGGCCGCCTGCACCCCCATGGCTGTCTGCACCCCTTAGCCACATGCACCTCTGACTGTTACCCCCGGGCCCTCTCAGTGCCCCTGGAGACAGGGTTGCTGTGTGACCTCCCACCAGGCCGTAGGAGCCACAAATGGAGACTGACCTCACCGCCTTGGGCCCAGATGGTCACTCTCACACTCCCCCTGCCCACTTTCGCCATACCAGGGACCAGGCACAAACAGACACCTCACAGGTGCCCCCCTCCCACCGTGCAGGAGCACGAGGGGCGGCAGCGGTGGGAGCGGCAGAGCTGGGGGGGCCGCTGGGGTGGGCCTGCCGTCTCACCGTCACTCTGCTGGCTGCCAGCAGTGCCGCAGCTGAAGCCAGGGTCCTGGTAGGCGGGCGGGAAGCAGGGCGGGGGGCCAGGGTACGCATAGGGGTAACCCTGGCCCAAGGACCAGGGGGCCGCGGGGGGTGGTGGCGGAGCTGGGGCCTCCTGGTCTGGAGCTCCGCTGGGGCCGCTGCCAAGACTCAGGGCTGCAAGATCTGAGGAGAATGGGAGTGCCCGTGAGTCCTTAGGCGTGGGTGGCGGACTGTCTATATCCGGGCTCTGTGCCGGGTGGGGGCTCCTGACCTCCTGGGGCGGGGGCGCAGCCGGCCCTCGGGTCACCTCCACAGCCCTATCGGCTCTACTGCCTATATGTCTGCCTCAGGTCGCCCGAAGACGTGGATCTAAGCACACGCTCGGAAGACTGTGACGCCTTCTCTCGCACCCGGTTCTGTGCCGCAGGAAGACTTCAGCGCCCGTCAGACAGGCCGCTCGGACGTACTTGCGCGCCCTACCGCACCCATCCATTGTCAGCCCTCAGAATCGTGCCGTCGGTTAGCGCCCGTCCCTCCCCCCTCCACACATTCATCTTTCCCTCTCCCGGCCCCCCGATGTCAGACTCCGGGACGGACTATTATCCCCCAGCCTCGGGCCCGCTTCTCCGCTCGCCGCACTCCACCCGCGTCCTCACCGATGACGGCGTCGGCGCTGGGTCCATCTTCTGACCCCCCCTTCCGCCGGGCCTCCTCCGCCCCCCTACCTTGTCGTCCACCGCACTCCGAGCCGGCTCCTCCGGCATAGCCCCCCCCCTCTCCCCGTCCCCGCCGCCCCCGCCCTTGATCCGCCGCCTTCACACGCCAGACGCGCTGGCGCCCCCGGCGCCGCGATCTGTGCCGGTACCTACCCCTCAGGCCGAAAAACGGGCTCGCCCTGCGAGTCGGGCACCACGGCCGGGGAAGCACGGGGTAGCCGGCAGACTCTCAGCCGCGGTCCAACTGCCCCCCGCCCGACCACTCGGACAGGTCGCAGTGCGCATCGACCACTTACGTGGAGCACCGGGCACCGAGCTGGTCAGTGAGGAGGAGCTGCTGCGGGTGACTGCGCTGGAGCAGGGGCTGGCACCATAGCGGGGCAGGGCTCCAGTCAGCGCTGCCGTGTGTGACAGCCAGGCGGCGGGGTCGATGGGCCGCACAGGGTCCGCTGGCAGATGCCAGGGAATAGGGACAGTGAGTGGACAGAGGGACAGCAGGACACGCAGCCGGGTCGGGGACAGAGGAGGGACGGCAGGACACGCAGCCGGGTCGGGGATGCCCACCCCTGCCTGGTGGACTACTCACCCCTGGGGATGGTGAAATAGCTGCGAGGCGTGGGGTCCCAACACTTGGCCACTGTGAGGCTGATGGGCCTGTGGGGCCAGCACGTTACAAGAGCAGCCCTTGGGCCAAGCTCCCCACCATCCACCCCAACGCCCCTCAGAGTGCTCCCTCACCCCGTCTGGGACACGATTTCACGCAGCACCCGCACTGCGTCGTCATTACTCATGTTCTCAAAGTTCACGTCATTCACCTGTGAGGGGTAAGGGTGAGGGTCAGCAGGGTGAGGGTCAGGGTCAGCAGGGTCAGCAGAGTGAAGGTCAGGGTTAAGGTCAGCAGGGCTAGGGTCAGGGCTAGGGTTAGCAGGGTGAGCGGCTGGGAGGCGGGTAGGGTCAAGGACAGTGGTGGTCCCAGGCCCACCTGCAGCAGCATGTCCCCCGGCTCGATGCGGCCGTCTGCGGCCACCGCGCCCCCCTTCATGATGGAGCCGATGTAGATGCCGCCGTCCCCGCGGTCGTTGCTCTGGCCCACGATGCTGATGCCCAGGAAGTGGTGCCGCTCTGCGGGAGGGGCGGTCAGCGGGGCTCCGCGGGCCCCCGGCCATTCCCCCCCGCCCGCGGGGCCTCACCCATGTTGAGCGTCACCGTGACGATGTTGAGCGACATGGTGGAGTCCGTGATGCTGCTGAAGGAGGAGGCCTGCGGAGGGCCCGGGTAAGGAGCAGGCTCTGCACCCCGACTCTGGGTCATGCACACCCCACGGCCAGGCACGCCGGCCATGCCCCGCCGCCCCGCCCCTGGACAGGCCCCGCCCCTGACACTCCCGCCAGCCCCGTACCCTAGACAGGATACGCCCCGCCCACGCCCTGCCGCCCCGCCCCGTGCCCTGGACAGGCCACGCCCAGGGTATGCTTCTCCTGTGACCGCACCACCGTCATGCCCCCTGCAGAGGCCCTGCCCCTCTCTGCCCACAGCCATGCCCCTGGACAGGCCCCTCCCATGGCTCACCCGCCCCAAAGCCAGGCCACGCCCCGTTTCGCCCATAGCCACGCCCCATACTTGCCTCACCCTCTTCCCACACAGCCACACCCCTGTATAGGCCCCTCCCTGTTCCACCACAGCCACGCCCTGTGGCTCGCCCCACCCACAACCACGCTCCTTGGCTCACCCGCCCCCTCCCCACCCACTGTTTCACCCCTTGGAAGGCTCCGCCCCTTTCCACCCACAGCCACGACCCTGTGGCTCACCCCACCCATCTCCACCCACAGCCCCGCCCCTGGACATGCCCCGCCCCTCTCTCAGCCCACAGCCCCGCCCACGGACAGGCCCCGCCCCTCTTAGCTGAAAGCCCCACCCCTGGACTGGCCCCGCCCCTCTCAGCCCACAGCCCCGCCCATGGACAGGCCCCGCCCCTCTCAGCCCACAGCCCCGCCCATGGACAGGCCCCGCCCCTCTCAGCCCACAGCCCCGCCCATGGACAGGCCCCGCCCCTCTCAGCCCACAGCCCCGCCCATGGACAGGCCCCGCCCCCGTGGCACGACCCGCCACCCACTCGGTCCGTCTGGCGCAAGCGCTGTTTCCGCCGCCTGCGCTTGTGTTTCCGGATGAGCCTGGACGCCGTGCTCTGCTCGGTGGAGCTGCTCAGCCTGCAAGAAAGGCAGCGGTCAGCAGGCAGGGCCCCGACGCCGAGGACCCCCAGCCACCCTGGCGCCGCGCTGGGCTTGCACAGGCAGGGCCCCACAGGATGCCTGCACCTGCACCCCACGTGCCCCTGTGCGCCCTCCGCACCGGCTCGTGTTGTCCTCCTCCGAGTCCACGAAGCTGCTGGACTCGAGCTCGCTGCTCAGCGCTGCGGACGCGCTGTCCGGGGGCAGCCCCAGCTCCCGCCGCCGCTCGCTCCTGGGGTGTCCATTAGCCCGTGAGACTGCAGGAGAGCAGGAAGGGAGCTTGCTGTGGGCACTACAAGGGAGCAGGACACCTCCCACGTCATGGTGGGGAGAGGGCCCTTGGCCCGCTCAGGGACAACCCTCCCACCCCACCCGGGCCAGCTGGGTAGCGGCCAGTGGATCCCAGGGAAGGTGGGGTCCAGGGTCCAGAGCTGGGTGAAGGCGGCCTGGTACCATCCTCGCGGTTCCGGCGCCGGGCTCGCTCCCGCCGGTGGCTGACCACAGACTCTGTCTCACTGTCCATGCCATCACGGCTGCTGGCCGCATTGGGGCTGTGCCGGTGAGAAGGGTGGCATGGGGCAGCCGAGCTCTACTCCTCTGCCCCAGGCAGCTGTCCCCACGCCCCGCCGGCCAACCCAGTGCAGCAGGGCCTTACTGGAAGGAGGGCGGCCGGGAGTCCCCAATGCCACCTGTCCGCTCCAGTGGCGGTGGCAGCTCCGTGTGGCAGTCAGTGCCCTGGGACCCCGCATCAGAGTGGGCGCCCTCAGCCAGGACCAGCTGTGGAAGGAGAGAGAGGGCTGGGGGCGCCCCTGCCTCCAGGCCACCGCAGCAGGGCGCCGGGTGCACAGCCACCCCAGGCTGCCTCGTGGAGCTCCTGACTCACCCAAGAGACCACACGGCCATTAAAGCAGGGCAGCCTGGCGTTGTCGTCCGAGATCTCCTCCTTGACCACCCTGGGGGCAGGTGCATCTGTGAGGCTGTGGCAGCCACCCTGAGCCAGGGACGGTGGCTGGACAGTCCAGGGCTCAGCTCTAGCCCTGAGCAGCAGGACCGGGGGGACCACGTGGTGAAGGGCTCCCTGGCTGTGATCTCAGACGCACCCATGAGCGCAGCCAAGGCTCCATTCCTGGCCGGTCTCCAGCCATGACCCCTTCCTGATCTGCTTGGGCCCCAGGGTACAGGGGCTGTGCCCCTGACAGGCACCTGACCCCCAGCTCTCATTTCCCTCACCTCAAATCCACCATTTCCAAAGCAGCTCACCTGCCCTCGCCCCAGCGCCCTGCCTCACCCCTGCCCAGGCTTCTGTTGTGTGCCCAGGGACAGTCCTCGGGGCCGTCTGCACCTTCTTCCCCAGGGCAGCCTGTGGGGCAGGCTGCAGCCAGTGACAGGGCCTGCTGGGCAGCGCTGCACACCAGCCAGCACAGGAACTGTGGCCTCCACACAGAGCAGCCCCCTGGCTCTTGGGTAACCCTGACCCCCTGCCACCCAAGCCCCGCAAGGGCAGCTGGCACACAGCCTGCAGGGCCCTGGGGACAGCAGGTGGCCGCAGCTGTGCGCCTGACCAGAGGCTGGGGGCTGGGGCCTGAGGAGGGGGCAGCAAGGGCACATCTCACGGGGAGCAGCTGGCAGGACCATCCACATGTTCCCTGCTCTGGGCCTCCAGGAGCCAGTCAGCAGCGCAGGCAGGGTGAGGCCTGCAGCAGGGAGCGGGGGCCATCCTAGCCCAGCCCCTGGCACCCCACCCTGCCAGGGCCGCGGCATTTTCCACACCCAGACTTGGACCCAGTGGAGAAAGGGGAGCTGGGGCTGGGCCTGGACGTGCACCTGGCAGGAAGCAGACTCGTGGCCTGCTGGGCTGGATGCCAGCTGCAGCGCCAGCCCTGCCGGCTGCTCCAGGCCCACAGGCCCCAGGACGCTGCCCTCAGCCAGTCCCGGGCAGAGCAGGCAGTGGCAGGTCACCAGGAGAGCTGGCCCCAGTCTGGCACTGGGGGCAAAGCCCAGCTCCCTCCCACCCCACTGCTGGAAGGGGGACAGCGCCCCAGCGCTCCCATGCAGCCAACCCAATGGCCCTCCAAGGCAGGCCAAAGCCGCAAGGTGGGCACCCTAAGGGCAGCCAGGCTTGGCTCCCAGTCCCCTCCTCCACCAAGGTGAACCTTGGAGAGCTTAGCTGACCTGACAGGGAAGCCTGGGACCCAACTCCAGGTCTGAGCCTGGGAGACTGCGGCTGGAGGCCAGCTGAGGCCATCCCACAGGGGGCCCTGCGGGTGGGGTGTGGAGGCCCACCAACAGCTCAACAGCTGCCACCCGCGTACAGTGCCCAGGCCCCCACCTCTCTCACTCACCCTTGGGTAGACGTGGCCCCCAGTAGGGCCTCCGATGCCTCGCCTCCCAGACTGAGGCCTCCGAAAGCCTCAGTCTCAGGGGGTGCGTGCTGCCCCTGCCCATCCCAGCGCTGAGGTGGGACAGTGGCCACTGGGTGCGGGACACTGCCCCTTGTCAACAGCCGACCCCTGCCCCAGGCCAGAGAGTGAGAGGGCCCCACAGCAGGTACTTGGGGTCACCCCACAAGCACCTGCACCTTCACAAGGTTCCTGGGGAGCTCCTGCTTGGCTGTGGCCCCACCCGAGGCAGAGCTCCTGGGGAGCTCCTGCTTGGCTGTGGCCCCACCCGAGGCAGAGTAGGCTTTGCAGCCCTGCCAGGCACTCCTTGCCCAGTTCTTGCACTGAGGTCCTGCGCTGCCCAGCAGGCACTGTCCACTGGCTGCAGCCTGCCCCACAGGTCTCTGAGCACCCACTCTCAGGCCCAGGCTGGGGACTGTGGCAGGAGTTGGGGGATCTGCTGGGACCCTAGGAACAGCAGGACAGCTGTGTGGGCAGCCAGCCTTGCCCCTTGCCCCAGCTCTCTCCTGTCCTCACGCCCATGGGGAAGCCTCAGGCACTCGCAGCAGGAGACCCGGGACCCGAGGCCAGGGCAGCCATGACGTACCGGCAAGCAGCTTTTGGACACTTCTCCCCTTGCACAAGGGACGTGGGTCCCAGTCTGGGGCAGACAGCCCTGGCTGCAACCTCAGGCCCCCTCCTTGCTGGGGGCCAGCTGAGGTCCTGAGCGGGCAGAAAGTCGGGGAACCCAGGGCTGGGTTCACAGTGGGCGTGGAGACCAGAGGCCCAAGTTGCCAGGCTGTGGTTTCTTATGCCCAGTCGAGCCCAGGGTCCCTTCCACACCAGCCACACTCGCTGGGCACCCGATGTGGACATTCAGCCCCGCTCTCCCTCACCCTGGCACAGGAGGGCTGGTTGAGGCCCGGGCAGCACTGCAGGAAGGGGACGGGGAGGAGCCATGCCAGGGGCCCCTCCCAGGCTCCAAGGCTCCCAGACCAGCAGCGGAGGCCGAGGAGGAAGCAGGGGCCCCTGGTCCCAGAGCTGGCTGTGCCCAGGGTCCCCAGGTCTGTACGCTTGCATCCTCCTGCTGCTTTCAGGGCATGCCAGGGCACCACAGCGTGCCCATGGGATTGGGGCCCCACAGTGGACATCCACCAGGTGTCTGGGCATGGTCCTCGTCACTGGCTGGGCCTATGAGGGAGGCCACAGCAGGGCCCTGTGCCCAAGCCCAGGCAGTCCCACCCCAGAGAGGTCAGGAGGCTGTGTGGCCCACAGGAAAGACCCCTGGACAGACCTGGCATAGCACCAAGAGTCCCATGGACTAGACACCCTGGGGCTGCCCAGGGTCCACCCTAACCACAGAACCTAGGAGGCGGGCCCAATGTCAAGTGCAAGACCCAGCCACACACACAAGGACATGGCCCCCACCCCCAGGCGCCGCTGAGCTGGGGACTCGAGTTACCCAGGGCTGTGCCAGGTCAGGCCTCCAGGGGACAGCCAACCCCACAGCTCCCTGTCCCAGAAGCCCCACTCGGCACTCGCAGACAGCCAGGAGAGGCCTGGAGTGATGACTCCCAGCGCGGAGGCCCGCAGGCCAGGCACTGCAGGGCAGCGGCGGGCAGAGTCCACCGTCCCCGTGACCCTTGACCTCTGTCCTGTCAGGAACAGGGGCCGGCACCTGACAACTTCAGCAGACGCTGGCGGCGGCCTGGGACCCCTGCCCCGCCCCCTGCCCCGGCTCCCCCACCCCTTGGAGAAACGACACAGCCGAGCCGGGCAGGGACGGCGCCGACAGGTGGGTGGGCGCGCCGCCCCGCCCCGGCCCCACCCCGCGCGGCCCCGCGGTCCACTGACCCGAAGTCCTGGTCCATGGACTTGAAGAAGAATTTGTAGGCGTGAGCGGGCCGGTTGCTCAGCACGCTCTTGAAGTCGGCCAGCGTGACGCGCTCGGGCGCCACGGGCAGCTTGACCAAGTACGGCGTCTCCTCCTCGTCCATGTGGTAGATGATCTTGGTCTCCGCCATGGCGCGGCCACCGCGGCGGCGCTCAGGGCCCGGCCCGGGGCTCGGACGCGGGGCGCGCTCCTCGCCCGCCGGCCTGCGCCCCGCCCGCCCGGCCCGCGGCCTCGCTCCCGCGCGCGCCCCGCCTGCCGCCCCGCCGCCCGCGCCCGCCCATCCGCCCCGGCCGGGAGCGCGCCCGCCGCCCCCGCGGGCACCCGGGCCTGAGCGCGCGGCCGGCGGGGGCGCCCGAGAGCGGCCGGTGACGTCGCGACGGCCCGCGGGGGGCGGGCGGGGCTGCGCACGCGCGCCCGGGGCCTGCGCCCTCCCCGGCTGGCTGGCTGGCTGGCTGTCAGGGGCGCACCCCGGATCCCTCGGGCGCGCGGGTCTAGGGGCCTGCGCCCTCCCCGGCTGGCTGGCTGGCTGGCTGTCAGGGGCGCACCCCGGATCCCTCGGGCGCGCGGGTCTAGGGGCCTGTGCCCTCTCTGGCTGGCTGTCAGGGACGCACCCCGGATCCCTCGGGCGCGCGGGTCTAGGGGCCTGCGCCCTCCTCGGCTGGGCGCCGCAGCCCCGGAAGCCCTTCAGGCTCGTTCAGTCTTGGCCAGGGCCCATGATTGTCCATTCGAGCAGCCTGGGCCTCTCGTGTCTGCCAGGCTCTGCTGAGCTCACCCTGGGAGCCAGAGGAGGTGGCAGGGGTGGCAGACAGGGAAGGGGGCTGGTGATGTCCAGTGTGGTCATCCGGGTGCCAGGCTGAGGGACTCAGGATGGGCACAGGACCCTGAGCCCTTTGTCCCAATGCACCTAGGGACTCCATCATGCTCAGCTTCCGATGAGGCCAACAAGACTCAGCCAGGACCCCTGACACCGTGACTCTGGCAGCCAGAAGCAGTGCTGACCATTAGAAGGGCCTGGACCACTGTGGTCCTTCCCCACCCTTGCCTGGGGGTGGGGCTCAGTCCTCAGCGATGGTCATGTGCTCTCCTGTCCCTGCTGTCACCGGAAGGCTCTGGGAGACAGCCCACGGTACTGTCACAGCATCACAGGCTGGGTCACAGCCCTCCAGGACCCTGGTGCCTGTCCCACCAGTGGCTGAGGGCTGCGGTGCCAGGGCCTTCAGCCCCCTCCACTTGGCCTCAGGGTCCCTACCCCTACCCAACCCTCTGTGTCTGGCAACAGCTGCTTCGTCAGCAGGGTAAAGTGGGCACCCAGGACACTTGGTCCAGCAGGATTGGCTCAGGAAATGCTGTTGGGGCAGGGCAGGCAGCACCGTAGCACAGCAACTAAGCTTCCACCTGTGATGCCGGCATCACATAAGGGCCTGGGTTCAAGTCCCAGCTGCCCCACTTCCCATCCAGCTCCCTGCTTGTGTGTGGCCTGGAAAAGCAGTAGAAGATGGCCCAAGTTCCTGGGCTCCTGCACCGGCGTGGGAGATGCAGAAGAAACTTCTGGGCGTCTGGCTTTCAGCCTGGCCCAGCCATCTGGAGAGTGACCCAGCAGATGGAAACCTCTGTCTTTTTCAGGGAGATAAAGCTTTAAAACAACACACAGCTGGGGCCCGGTGGCATGTCCTAGCAGCTAAAGTCCTCGCCTTGAACGCGCCCGGGATCCCATATGGGCGCCAGTTCTAATCCCGGCAGCTCCACTTCCCATCCAGCTCCCTGCTTGTGGCCCGGGAAAGCAGACAAGGATGGCCCAAAGCCTTGGGACCCTGCACCCACGTGGGAGACCAGGAAGAACTTCCTGGCTCCTTGCTTTGGATCAGCGCAGCACCGGCCGTTGCGCTCACTCGGGGAGTGAATCATCGGACGGAAGATCTTCCTGTCTCTCCTCCTCTCTGTGTATATCTGACTTTGTAATAAAAATAAATAAATCTTAAAAAAAAAAAAAAACACAGCTCCAGGGCCAGGTCCAGACATGGTCTTTATTGTGAGGGGAGCAGGCGGGGTCTTGGGGTCCACCCAGGGCCGCCACTGCCAGCCACTCCCCATTCTCGGGCCGGGGAGAAGCCCAGTGCAGCCCTAGCCCCAGAGGCCAGCTCAGGGAGGGGCGTGCTGAAGTCACCTGGATCCCAGGCCAGTGAGCTGGCAGAAGTCAAGGCCAGGGCAGGAGTCAGAGGCAGAGAAACTGCCAGGGAGCAGTTCCCACCCAGGCAAGCACCCCCTGGAGAGCAGGGGGAGCTTGGCTGGGGCTGAGCTGGGCTGGGTGGGCAGCAGTGCTCAGGCATGGCACGGGGGGGATGGGAGGCTGCCCTCCCCCACTCCCTCCCATCCCCCGCCCCATGGAGAGAACCTTCCCAGCCCATCCAGGGGGGCAGATAACCGAGGCCACTGGGAAGAGAGGGGCTTGGGGGATCAGGATGGTGGGGAGCAGAGCAGGCAGAGAGGAAGCTGCAGGCAGCCTGGCTCTCCATGCCGGCCCGGCCTGCTGGGAAACGCCAGGAGAGCCATACGGTCGGGAGCACGGCCTCCAGGTAGGCAGGCAGAGTGGGCAGAGCTGCTGGCCCGGCCAGCACCAGGACTCCTATTTGCCGCACTCCTTCCTGAACCCTGGGGGCCAAGCACAGGCCACTAGCTGCCCGGCCCTGCAGGGGTCCCAACCCAGGGGACCTTAGTGGGGCCTGGCAAGGGGCACTTGGAGGGACCAGCCAGGGCCTGGCCTGGAATCCCCGGGGGGGCTGCCTGGGATCCTGATCCAGGAGGGGACAGGCTCGGGCCTAGCCTGGGGTCCTCAGATCGGGGAGGGGACAGACTCGGGCCTAGCCTGGGGTCCTCAGATTGGGGAGGGGACAGGCTCGGGCCTAGCCTGGGGTCCTCAGATTGGGGAGGGGACAGGCTCGGGGCTGCCTGGGGTCCTGGGGCAGGGCCGCTCACCTTTGTCCAAGTCGATGTTCTTTGCGGGCAGGGGGCTGTGAGCCAGCTCAGCCCTCTCCTTCAAGAGGTTGTTTTTGTAATCTGAGGAGGGTGGAGAGGTGGTTAGCGCCCCGGGAGAGGCTCTAGCCCAGGCTCGGACCCCAAGTCCCCGCGTGGTCACCTAGGTTGACGTCCTCAGTCCTGTGAAGGCCCCGGTCTGTGGCCACGGCCAACTCCACCAGGTTCACCTGCTTCCTAAGGGGGGTGGTCAGAGAAGGGGCGGGGGTCTGGGGGTGGTCAGAGCGCACGGGCTGGGGAGGATGGGGCGGGCCTGTGGGTGCGCTCACCCCTTCCACTTTCCCGACTTCCTGTCCATGTCCTGGTCGCCTGTGGAGGGGAGACTCGTGTAGAAGGAGGCAGCGGTGGCCCCGACTCCCCCCACCCCTGCCGTGGCCTCACCTCCGCGGCGGCGCTGGGCAGCCAGGATGGCGGTGACCAGCAGCAGAATGAAGAGCAGCAGGGTGGCCAGCACGTAGCCCAGCTGCTGGAAGAAATGGGTGCGGCCCTCGGGGACGATGACGTTGATGACGCTGCGGCCGCGCGCCAACGTGGGGTCTGCAGGGCGACCCGGGGCGTCAGGGCCATGCGGAAGGCCCGGGCCCCGCGCAGGGCGTGCAGAGGCAGGCACACACCTGGGCCCGGGCCGGCGCCGTGGCCTGAGCCGTTGCCGGGTGACGCCCGCGGGGGCGGCTCGGCCGAGGGCTCGCTGACGCGCAGGTGGAAGATGCGGCGCTCATGCAGACCGCAGTAGTGGTGGTGAAGGTGACAGGAGTAGGTGCCCTCGTCGGCCGGCTCCAGCGGGTCGATGCGCAGCGAGAAGTCGCCACGCGCGAAGGCATCGTCCGCCACGGCCACGCGCTCGTGCAGGGAAGGCGGCCCGTAGGCGCGGCGCTCCCCAGACGCGTACAGGTCGAGCAGCCGGTCGGCGCGGTCGTGCGGCACCCCGGGCGGCTGCCGGTCCCAGTGCGCGACCTGCTGCGCCTCCTCCACGTGCCGCTCGGTCCACACGTGCGCGCGGTTTTCGCAGGTCAGCAAGGCGGGAGCGCCGCGTGCCACCGCCAGCACCTCCTTCTCGCCGTCCCAGTAGGCGCGCGGGGCCAGGGCTGCGGAGGGCCGGAGGTCAGCGGGGGGCGCGAGCTAGGGCGCGCGGGGCGGGGCGAGGGCACTCACGGGGGTCGACGACCTCGAGGCGCACGGCCTGGCTCTCGTAGAGGTGGCAGTAATGGTGGTGCAGGTTACAGGTGTACAGCCCCGCGTCGGCGTCCTCCACAGCTACACCGGGAACGCAGGTGAGCCCGCCCGCCGGGACCCCGCCGGGACCCCGCCGGGACCCCGCCGGGACCCCGCGCGCCCCCGCCCCGCCGCGCCGTGCCTGCCGCCCGCCTACCGCGGATGAGCAGCGAGAAGTTGCCATCGTGGAAGGCCGAGGGGGACAGCAGCAGGCGACCCCGGTCGCGCGACTCGTACACCCGCTGCTCGCCCGCCGAGTACATGTCCACGAGCCGGCGCGCCGGGCCGCCCGCACCGCCGGCCACGTCCCAGTGGAGCACGCGCTGGCGGTCGTGCAATCGGTCCTGGGTCCACACCATGCGCGGGCTCTGGCAGCGCAGCACAGCACGGGCGCCCGCCGTCCAGCTCACCACTGACTCGGACACCACGGAGCTGCCTGCCTGCCCCGACCCTGAGGGCCCTGGTGGGGAAAGGGTGTCAGCGAGGGCGGGGCAGGGGTAAGGGGGTGGTGGGGGGTCTGGGTGGGTCACTAACCTGAGGACAGAAGTGCCCAGGAACCTGGAAGCAGAGGAAGGGGTGGAACACCTTGGCTGGTGCTCATGCCTGCCCTGCCCCCAGCCCCACCTGTGGTTCCAGAGTAGCTCAGGGTCGCCCAGGGTGGAGTTGACACCTGAGCTGTCACCAGGGCCCAACAAACAGCCCAGTTGAGTCCCTGCACCTGCTCAGGGCCCTGGCAGCCCCCTCTTTCACCGCAGGCAGGGGCACATGCCAACCCGTCCGTCCTCTACCCAGAGCCCACAGTTTCCTGACAGGGCCATGGCTGGGTCCCAGAGCCTGCAGGAAGGTAGAGGGTCTGCAGGACCAGCTGGGCAGGCATCGGGCCAGGCGGGAGGCAGGACACTTCCTAAGCCCCCATTCTCTCGGCCTCCGCTCCAGCCATTCCCCCTCCCCAGGACAGGAGACGCTGAGACCCGAAGGGCTCCACCCAGAACCCCAGGAAGAGCAGGCAGTCCCCAGGGCCCCGGCAAGGGGGCATCTCAGGAGACCTTGCTCTCCCCCAAGCGAGCCACTGCCTAGTGGGGAGCATCCGCTTCTGGACAGAGTTCACCTCTCTCACCCAGCCCTACTCACCCTGAAGAACCATCAGTCCCCACAGCAGGACTTGGGACGGCAGCTGCATGGCGCCTGCCCGCCTGCCTGCCCGGGCCGCTTTGTCTCCAGAAAAACAGCCGACCCCCTCCCCCTCCGGAGCCCCGCCGGCCGTGACATCACGGGGCCCTGGGCCGGCAGCCATCGGCGGACCGCCCACTCCCTCGGCCTCCCCATGCCGGGCCGGCGTGGTTGCAGCTCCCCTGGTCCATGTGGGGGAGGAGTTGGACAGGGGCTCAGCCCTTGGCTGGCAGGTCCCCAGCAAATGACCCTGAGGGTGCAGACCCTCCCTGGAGAGAGCCCGCAGCGGGTGTGGACCCCTCACCTCTAGCAGGATGTACCCTGGATGCCAAACTCGGAGAGGGGGTGTTGGGGGTGCAGCGGGAGGTGGAGGGGAGAGCACTCCTGACCCAGAGGGGCCAGCGCCAGTGTGGGGGGCTTCAAGAAAGCCTCTGCCCTTCTGGGACCGAAGCTTGAACTCCCCACAGGAAGGAAATGGGGAGTGGGCTGCCCCGTGGCAGGGGCTCTGGGCCAGCACAGGCTTCTCTGCTACTTAAGCAAACCTTAAAAAAAAAAAAAAAAAAGGGAAGAGAAAGAATCCAAACAACCGCAAAAATGCGCAGCCGCACCCGCCCCCGGGGGCTGACGCTGGCAGGCGGGGGTCCCACTCGGCGCCAGGCCCGGTGGCCGGGCTGAGCACCCCAGATGGTGGGCCCACCCTGGACACCCGTTTCTGCGGCTGCGTCTGACCCCAGGGCGGAACCCTTCGGCATGCCCCCTCCGTCCTCTCTGGCCTTTCTTTCTGGAAAAACAAGGCCAGCCTGGCCAGCCTCAAGGCCCGGCCCCTCCTCCTGCCTTCCTGCTGGTTCCCATTTGCACTGGCCCCTCTGCCTGACCCTGGGTCTCCCTGGCATGCCTGGGAGGCTGGCCCTCTGCTGACACCCACCTCGAGCTACCTGGCTGTCCTCCCAGTGGGCTGCAGGACAAGCCCCCTTCCCTGAGGCAGTCCCCGGCAGGCCCCTGGCCTCACTTCTGCATGCTGACCCCACTGGCGGGACGCAGGCCAGAGGCCGCTCGCTGGAATCTGGAAGGGGTCATTCAGGGGCAGCAGACCCCCGGGTCCTGCACGAGGAGGGACGGGGGCTCCATCCTCACCCTGTTCCTCTTGTCCTCTCAGAGGTCAGCAGAGGTAAAATGCAACCCCCACCACAACCCCAACAGGAAGTGGCCACAAAGAGCCCTGAAACCCAACATCCAGCCTTGGCCGCCCAGCCGACTACCTGCCCCTCCCCAAGCCACAGCCGCTCCTGGCTCCTCCTGACCCGGGAGCTGAGCCCGCGGCTGACAGACAGCATGGACGGCTGCCCAGCCCTTCAGGAGCGGAGCCCCAGCAGACAGGACCCCACAACCCTGCTGTAGGAGGCGTGGCCAGTCCCCGGCCTGCAGACTGGGAATCCGAAGCTGGCTCCAGCTCCGGTGACTCGGACATTCCAGGCAGCCGGCTCAGGGAAGGGAAAACCACAGGCACTTGGGACACTCCAGGCCCACCGCACATGCCGGCTGCGCCTGGAGGGCACTTGCCAAGTTCCCGCCGTGGGCTGGGTCCCCTGTGTGCCAAGCACCCACTGTGGACTGGGTCCCCTGTGTGCCGAGCACCCACTGTGGGCTGGGTCCCGTGTATCAAGTGCCCGCTGTGGGCTGGGTCCCCTGTGTGCCGAGCACCCACTGTGGGCTGTGTCCCCTGTGTATCAAGTGCCCGCTGTGGGCTGGGTCCCCTGTGTGCCGAGCACCCACTGTGGGCTGGGTCCCCTGTGTATCAAGTGCCCGCTGTGGGCTGGGTCTGTGTGCTGAGCTCATGGGCTGGATCACCTGTGTGCTGAGTGCCCACTGTGGGCTGGGCCCTGGCCCACAGAGGATTCATGGGAAACAGGACATTCCATGGCTGTCCTCTGCTTTAATATCTGGACCTAGAAGAGCTCCTGTACCAGCAAGGGCTGCGCCAGGGCCAGGGCTGGGAGCCAGGACATCAGCCTAGGTCTCCCATTTGGTAGCAGGGATTCAATTCCTGGAGCGCCACCCCCCAAGTCTGACCTGGTCTGAGCCACTGGATGGGCCATGCACCCTGACACCTGCCCTCCAGGCCGTCACTGCCTGTATGAAGGCAGCGGGCCTGCTGCTGCGCTGGCCAGGAAGTCTCCAGGGCTGTGGATGCACTGCGGGGACCCAAAGACAGGGTGGGACTGCGGGGGCCCCTGAGACAGGGTGGGACTAGGAGGGGATCCCGAGACAGGGTGGGATTGTGGGGGGACCCTGAGACAGGGCAAGACTCGGGGGTCAGAATCCTCACAGGCACCCCTCACCCAGACCCAGGAAAGAGCAGGAGCTGTGACCCAGGACATGACCTTGGAGGTCTCCCTAAGGGCTGGCAAGGACAGATGGCAGCTCCCAGGGCCTCTCCCCACGTGGCCAGGAGTGGGAGCCTCTGGACACCTGCGAGAGGCGGCCGAACTGCACTGTGGGGGTGCAGTAGGGAGCACCCACTGCTGGCCATCAGGTGTGGCACAGGTGGCCCACGAAGCTGTGACCTGGACAAGTGCCAGCTGCCAAGGCCAGTCACGTCTTGTGGGAACAGTGACTGGCAGTGCCAATGGACTGGAGAGGAACTTCCTCAACTAAGGAGCAAAAATCAACCCGTGTCAGAACTACGGAACCACTTAACGTGCTGCACATTGGGGCCCTAGTGTGATGTCACGTGGCTGTCCCCATTCCGGTACTGTGGTCAGGCTGCTGGGAGCAGCCTCTCCCCCTCTCTCTCCCCCTCCCCCAGATCAAAGTTGCCTTCCCCACCTTTCCCCATCCCTTCCTGACTGATGGTTCACATGAGCACACATCCTTCTGTCACGTCAACCTCATCCCTGGGACGGTTGGGAGGCTGGGCAAACATCTTCCCCTTCCACAGATGCAAGAGGAAAAGGGAATAGAGTAACAATGGTCTTGCCCACTTTCCTCTAGCCCTTGACCCTTTGCACCTTATCAACTATGGAAAGATTACCGATAAAAAAAAAAAAGGGGGGGGGGAAAGAACAGAAAAGTGACTGAAAGGTTCAGCTGGGGACTCAGTCTCAGCTGCCCGCCTGCCCTTCCTGGCACCGTGGACGGTGTGTGTGGGGGGCCTGCCCTTCCTGGCACCGTGGACGGTGTGTGTGTGTGGGGGGGCCTGCCCTTCCTGGCAGCATCACGCTGCTGTACCCACACCTTGAGGCCCTGAGCATTGCTGTGGGGCAGTGCCACAAGCTCTTGATATGTTGAAAGAGGCCGAGAGATAGGGCCAGCAGCAAGCGGCTCCACAAGCGAATCTTCCACATGCCAGCCTCAGCATTGCACATGGGCGCCAGTTGGAGTCCCGGCTGCTCCACTTCCCACCCAGCTCTGCCTGTGGCCTGGGAAAGGACGGCCCAAAGCCTTGGGACCTGCACCACACGGGAGACCAGAAAGGAGCTCCTGGCTCCTGATCAGCTCAGCTCGTTATTGTGGTCATCTGGGGAGTGAACCAGCAGATGGAAGATCTTTCTCTCTCCTCTTTGTCAATCTACATAATCAAATAAATATATATATGCACACACACACATTTTTTAATTTACTTAAGTTTCTTCTTTCTTTTTTTTTAAACTGGAAAGTCAGATATACAGAGAGGAAGATCTTCTGTCCACTTTTCAAGTGACCACAATGGCCAGAGCTGAGCCGATCTGAAGCCAGGAGCCTCTCCTGGGTCTCCCACACAGGTGCAGGGCAAGTCTTTGGGCAATTCTCTACTGATTTCCAAGGCTACAACCAGGGAGCTAGATTGAAAGCAGGTCTGCTGGGATTAGAACTGGTGTCCATATGGGATCCCAGTGCATGTAAGGTGAGGACTTTAGCTGCTAGGCCACTGTGCTGGGCTCACATTTTTTTTTAAAGGGCTGAGAGATGCTGAGCCCAAACATTAACTGTGCCAGGCTGCATGTTCTGACAGTGGAGGAGGCACGACCTGCACAGACCAGCAGACTCCAGCCTGGGACCCCACAGCTGGCTGCACCTGCTGACAGCTGCAGCCCAGGGCCCCGACATTCCCATCAGGGCCTCTAGGGACGGGACCTGTCCCCAAAGACCCAACATCTGAGGACTCATTGCCGGCTAACCAGCAGATTCTCACCCCATCCCCAGGTTCCTGGGGACACTTCAGCTTTGCACTCACTGAGGGGGCACCCTTCCCCATGTAACAGGGCCGACACCTGTCACATGGGACCTGGCAGCTCACCTGCCAGGTTAGGCAACCCCAGCCCACGGGGCTTCTGGCTAGCTCCCTGTCGGCCCCAGGAAATTCTGGGCTCCTGACTTCGGCAGCGGCATGCACTTGGGGAGTAACAGATGAAGATAAAAGCTTACTTAAGTATTTTTCTTTATTTTTTAAAAGATTTACTTCTTTGTATTTGAAAGGCAGAATTACAAGAGAGAGTGACATGATCTTCCCTAAGTTGGTTCACTGCAAAATGGCTTCAACAGTCAGGGCTGGGCCTGGCTGAAGCCAGGAGCATGTCTGGGTCTCCCACATGGGTGCGGGATCCCAAGGCTTTCCCAGGCCACAGGCAGGGAGTCGAGGGGAAGCGGAGTAGAACTGGTGCCCATATAGGATGGTGGCAGCAAAGGCAGAGGCCTTACGTGTAATACCCCAGCATCCCACCATGCCTCACTGGTCAGCGCAGGTCACAGACTGCAGGGGAGCAGCAGCAGCAAAGGCAGAGGGTGCCACTGAGACCACGGAAGAGCCGGGAGCCACGGTACAGGCCCAACACGGGTGGGGGTAACTGCAATGCCAGCAGCTCCAGTTGCAACCCTGCTCGCTGCTAGAGGCCCCGCGGGCAGCAGGGGATGGCCTGTTACTGTGGTCCTTTGGGGAGTGAACCAGCAGCTCTCTCCCTTCCTCTCTCTCCTTTCCAATCAACAGAAGGAAACTTGGACTTCCAGAGCGCAGCCTCTACTGGAGCTGCCGGCGGAGACACAACACTGACCCAGTGGACCTGACACCAGGACCTGACCACCGCAGCTGGGGCCAAACACGCCACGTGGTCCCCGTCAGCGGGAGGCTGTGATGGAGCCGACGGGACGAGCGCAGAGCCCCTTAGCTGCTGGGCCACGTCTGTGCCTCAGAACGAGGTCTTCATTTGTGACCTACATGTCTGTCACCTTGCTAACACGCTGTGATGGGGAACACTCAGCCAGAACACTCCAGAAGCCCATCATGCAGCTGAAGCTCCTGCTGCCAGCCCAGAGTGGAAGGGGCCCATCGAGGGTGAGGCTGGCAGGCAGGGGTCGCCTACACAGTGTTAGCAATCAGCAGGAGGGCATGGGATGCAGGTTGCTTGACCCTAGTCCTCCGCAAGGGAGACCCTGTGCCTCCAGCTGGATGCCCGCAGGTGGCCCTCAGCTGCCACGACCCAGCCCTGGGGCTGCCGGAAGTGATAACACAGACGCCTGGGGTTCCAGCTCGTCCAGCTGGGGTGCCCAGAGCCAGCATGTGGTGCCCAGGAGCTGTGCCCACCCACACGTGTACCTGGAGCAGGGGCCACCCGGCAGTGTTGTGTTCGCAGCCATAGGCCACTGGGACCAGCCTGTCGGGAAGACATGAGCAAGGCTGGGGAGGAACCAGGCATGAGACCCATCTCCAACCCCAGGCGTGCGCAGGAGTCTCAGCATGCGCCCACCACAGCCCGGAACCCAGGTCTCTGCGGTCAGACCCCACAGTCACCAGGAGAGGAGCCTGGCTGAACGGGTGTTTCCTCTGCTAGTAAGAGCTGGAGCAGCACCAGCCCCCGTGTCAGGAGTGCTGTGACAGCCCCTGCACCCTTCCTCCCCACACCTCCCCGCTTTTTCTCTGCCTCTCCGCTGCACCCAGAATTGAATTCTCCCCAATACAGGCCTCTTGTCAACAGCCTGTCCATGCTTTTTTCCTTTCCCTGGTGGTCGGCAAACCTGACAGGGACAAGGGGCTGGCCGGGTCCCACAGCCCCGGCCCTCCTCCCCAGGGGCCAGGGCAGGGGGCCCTCCAGAAGGAGAGGCAGATATAAGATAAAATCTGCCAAACCATCCGCAGGGACCACGGTGGGAACGGCAGGAGAGCCTGCTCCAGGGCCAGGCCGGGATTCAGCAGGCAGTGAGCCGGGCCTGTGGTGCCCAATTTGATGACCCTGGGGAGGGTCCCAGGTGCAGGGGAGAGCCCACCCTGCCCCCGGACTCCGCAGGAGCACTGAGACCCTCCCAGCAGGCAGGATGCAGGGGCGCCGGTCCGAGTTTATTGCCAAGGGCAAGGGCAGGGAGAGAGGGTGTGCAGCTCACTTGCTCTTCAGGTAGATTTTGGGGGTCTGCCAGCCCTCGGGGGCTTCTTTCAGGCCGGCCTTCAGCCAGATGCGCCTCAGGTCCTTCTCGAAGCGCTCCTGCAGGCAGAGAGGAGCGGCCAGCGTGGGCAGTGCCCGGCCGGCCGGGCACTCGAGAGGGCAGCTCACCTGCTTGCGCCTGAGCCGGCCCTCGCGCACCCTGCGGCGCAGGAAGCGCGTGCGCTTCACCAGCTTGCGGTACTTGTGGTGGTTCATCTTGCGCCGTCGGATCTTGAGCACGCTCTTGCAGCGCATGGCGGGGGCCGCCGGGGGCTCTGGCGGGCACTCGGGGGTCGGGGCGAGGCTGCCCAGGAGGTAGCGGGCCGTGAGCCAGCTCTCCAGGGGGCTGATGGCCATCTTCCGGGGCACCAGCATCTCCAGCGGCGGCGGTGGGGCCACCCTGCCCGGCACGGGGACCGAGGCGGCCCGGCTCAGGCAGGCCGTGGGCCAGGGGCGGCTGTAACCTGGGGGGGGCACAGTCAGCCTGGAGGGGTACGGTCAGCCTGGGGGGGACACGGCCGGCCTGGGGGGGCACGGTCAGCCTGGGGGGGACACGGCTGGCCTGGGGGGGCACGGTCAGCCTGGGGGGGGGACACGGCCGGCCTGGGGGGGCACAGTCAGCCTGGGGAGGGACATGGCCGGCCTGGGGGCCACGGTCAGCCTGGGGGGGGACATGGCCGGCCTGGGGGCCACGGTCAGCCTGGGGGGGACATGGCCGGCCTGGAGGGGACATGGCCGGCCTGGGGGGCACAGTCAGCCTGGGGGACACGGCCGGCCTGGGGGGTCACGGTCAGCCTGGGGGGGGGACACGGCCGGCCTGGGGGGGCACAGTCAGCCTGGGGGGGGACATGGCCGGCCTGGGGAGGGACATGGCCGGCCTGGGGGGGGTGACACGCCCGGCCTGGGTGGGGGCACGGTCAGCCTGAGGGACACGGTCGGTCTGGGGGCACACATCCCGCACCCCGCCCGTCCCTCCCCGACCCCTCACCTGCCGTGGGAACGGCCCTGACCAGCCGGGCGGCCAGGCGTGCCAGGAACATGGCGTGACGGTTCCGCTCGCTCCACCGCCGGACACAACTGTCGTCCCCACGCTCTTCCGGTCCGTCCCGAAACTAAACCCCAGCGCCCTCACAGCGGGTTGCGCTTTGACGCAGGCCACGCCGGGAGCCCAGAAAGCGACGGCTTCCGGATGCAGGCGGCCGGCGCTTGCGCTCAGCCCTGCGCGTCACCATACCCTTCCCTCACGGAGGCAGAAATACTACAATTCCCACAGTCCCGAGATGGCTACGCGTCACTTCCGGAATGACCTGAGGCGGAAGCGGGCGTGTCGGGGCTGAAGGAGGCGTGCGGAGGGAGCGGTGGACCGCGCGGCCGCCTGCCCGTCCCCAGCGCTCCCGAAGGCGGCTGCTGGAAGGGGCTCCTTAGGCGCCCACTCGAGCAGTGAGCAGCAGGTGGAGCTGCCTGTCCGAGACCCCGCTTTCCCCTCCAGCCAGGGGGGCGTTCACACGGACTGGCCCCAAGAGGGGTCTCCGCACCCTGGAAGTCGGACCAACCAGGACCTGCCTCGACTCGCTGGGAAAGCTGCTTGCTAAACCCGGCCAGCGGCAGCCTGCACGAAGGGGCCTTGGGGACCGGGGAGGGAATGCCGAGCCGTGCCGACGCCTCCCAGTCCTGCATCCATCCCGGGCTTTGCTGGCCCAGATGGAAACCCGAGTCCCGAGCTCTAGACCCAGGGAGGAGGGGAGGCCACTGCCCGGCGCTGGCTCTGACCTTAGTCCTGGAGTGCCCATGACGGCCAGGCTTTGCCCAGTGTCTGCCCCACACGTGCCAATGCCAGACTGCCTGCCTCTCCCACCCAGGGAACGGGCCACCGGACCGCCCATGTCGGCCGGCCCAAACTGGCTTCTCCTCCAGAGCGCGGAGGAAGTAGCCCGGCAGCCCAGGGCATCAGTTGCGTGGGTACTGGCCTCAGCACTGGCAATCCTGGCATGAGGCTCTGAGGACGTGACCCCAGGCCTGGACATTGGCACTGCCTGTGCCATACACCCCCTCCTACCTACTACAGGCCAGGAGCTCCTCTCGCCCAGTGCTCCCAGTCCCCATGTCCCCTTGCTCAGCACCAGTCATGGCTCTGGAACAGGACTGCCAGGTACCAAGGGCACGTGCTGCACAGCCGGTCGAGAGGAAGCGCAGCTAGGTCCTGAGTGTCCAGTGACAGGCTAGGAGCAAGGCGAGGCACTGGGGACACTTGGGAAGAGGTGTAGGCTGAGGGAAGGGGGTGACAGGAACCAGTGCCACGAGGAACACCCCAGGACAGCAGGCTTCAGGGCCCGCCGCCCCACCAGACCCTGGGGCATCCGGCCAGGAGTGTTGTGGGCTAAGGAGTTGACTAGGGCTCATTAAGCCGAGCACTACAGGAGTGGGCTTGGGGCTAGAAGCACCTGGTCTACTGGACTCAGCTGTATCCAATTGCGCTAATAAGAGTGTGGGGGAAAGAGTAAGCAAGAAGTAGGTGAAAGGCCAAGAGACTTCCACCATCACTGGTCTCCTCTTGGTGCTTCAACCCCAGACCCTTGCCATGTCCACGTTGCTGGCTCTGCTGGCCGGAGCACAGGAGGTCAACAGGAAGCAGGAGAGCTCAGTACAAACCGAACACTTTAATAAGTGGGTCCCAAGTAGGCGCTGGTAGGCCAGCCGGAGCGCCTCGTCCTGAGCACTTGTGCGTCAACACACGGACACACCTCCTGGGAGCTGGCAGCCACGCTGGTCTCCACCTAGCACTGGCGCTGACACCCCCAGTGTGTGCTGACCACGTGGACAGCGCAAGTGCCACCTCACGGCATCATAAGTCTGGGAGCAGGCAGCTGGCTGCCATGGTCACAGCAGCAGGCGACATGGCTGGGTGCAGGCACAGGTTACGTGTCCCGGAGTCAGCCGCACTGAAGGCCCTGGGATCGGGCAGCTGTGGCCGAGCAGCCAGCACAGCCTGCCTCACCTGCGATGCCGGCTGTGCCCGGGGAGAGCCCGCTCGTAGCGACGGCCCGCATGCTCACAGGACTGCGGCCGCTCATCCCTGCAGGAGCGATTTCGCTTCCTGTATTTCCCGCAACTGTCGGCATGCTCCCGGGACTGGCTTCGTGAGCGGGGCGAGCTTCGGCTGGGGGACTTGGGTGGCTTCTGTGGGGGGTACATGCAGTCCCTGGCCCTCCGGGAGCTCTGGCTGAGACCACTGCGGTGCACCTGTCTGGGTGGGGAGTCGCTGCGGCTGCGGGAGCGGCTAGGTGATTTGGAGCCCCCAGAGGTGGACTCGCTGTCACTTCTGTGAAAACACATGGCCCACATTAGCACCTGTAGGCGGCGCCCAACAACCAGCCCTCCCCGGGCCAGCCTGCCCGACCCCCCCGGCTCCTGCTTGCTGGCACCTTCCACAAACTGTGGATACAGGGAGGAGCTGTAGATCCTTGCTCAGATGGCCCGGCCCGCTGGGGCCCCGTGTCTTACCCGTTCACAGGGCTGTCGGCCTGGGTTCTCCTGATGTTCTTGGCCAAAGGGGGCGAGGACTTGTTCCCCCTGTTGACTTTGGGGGACTCTGCTGGAACCAAGAGTAAGTGAACAGTCCGTCAGGGCCAGGGGGCGAGGGGACCTCTGCTCCCTCCACATTTTCTCCCCCTCTGGGCTCTGCCAGTGCAATGCTGGTGTAATGCAGGGACCCTGCGGGGCGGCAGGCCGAGACATCAGCTGAACCGTGTCCAGCCCCGTCCCACGCTGCAGTGTGGATTGTGGTCCTGCTCTCTGCTGCCCCAGCCCCTCCAGGGGCTCACAGCAACAGAGCTCTGGGCTTCTGGCACAGCTCTGGCAGATGTGCAGGATAAACCAGCAGGTGGAAAATTTCCCTGCCTCCTCTGAGCCCTAATCAAGTCTGCAAAAATCATCAATATAAAAAAGAAAAGAAACAATGGGCTAGAAAGCTAGGAGGAAAATCGGGCAAAGAGAATCCAGTGTTAAATGTTCGTTGACTGAGTAACTAAAATTTTAAAATGCTCGCATTTAATACTACAAGATAAAAATATTGCACAATTTCTATTTTTAAATAAAACAAAGAACCTCCCCCCCCCCCGCCTGTCTCGCCTCACTCTGCTTTCCAAGCACATGAAAAATGTTTACAAATTTCCATAGGCGACAGGCCACCCGACAGGCCAACCACAGCGTCTCGGGCTGGGTTCAAGAGCGCAGTCTGCACTCACGGGCCAGCGATTCGCTCCAGGGGCTGAGCTGGCCCCCACCCTTGCCCTGTCCTCTGCCCGCAGCACTCACCGGGCTTGGCCGCGGGCGAGAAGCCCGCCACGCCGTCTAGCAGAGGTGTGGCCCCGGGCGGGTGGGCCTGGGCCTCCTCCATGGCACGCCGCTGCCTCTCCACCTCCCCTTCGAGCTGTGTTAGGTCTGCCTGCAGGAGCCAGTGGCCATGGAGTCAGAGCCAGAGCTTTCTGCCCCACACCACGCGAGGGATGAGGGACAAGCCAAAAGAACCTTTCTCCGTGTGTAAAGCTGCAGGATTTTTATGCAAATCTCTTGAATTTCCTCCTCAGTTGCTCCAAACAAGAGAAACCAGTGAGGGCGGTTGGGCAGGGGGATCTGCAAGGAGAGGCAGCATCTGTTTGCACCTTGCCCAGCCACAGCAGGGGGCAGCACAAACCCAGCTCCCTGCTAACAGCCTAGGAAAGCCCAGAGGCTCCTGGCTCCTGGCTGTGGCTGGCCCAGCTCCAGCCAGAGCTGCCACATGAGAAAAAGCAGGCACCCCCCGCCCACCCGTCTCTGCTTTACAAACATCCAAATAGCGGCGCGCATGTGCACAGTGACTTGCTCATGGCAGGCAGGCCAGTGGGCACTGACCTCCAGTGTGCGGGCAGCGAGGTAGATGCAGGCACAGGCGATGCTCTCCGGGGGGAAGCGCACAAACACGTCCGTCCGCAGGCTGTCATTCATGTAGTTCCTGAGACCGAACAGGGTGCCCACCTGCCTGACCTGGGCTGAATGCCAGTCACCACACCCCCGGGGCAGGCTGGCTGCATGTGGCATGCCAAGAACTGCCTGGGACTTCTCTCCCTTGCTCTGCTGCCCTGTCACCGCCACGCCCCGGCTGCCCCCAGGTCAAGGGCTGGAAGCCCAAATCGGAGGTGGGGAAACAGGCGGGTCCTGAACACCACGCTGCCCACCGGGCTGTCCTCTGTCGCCACCACCTGCAGCTGTGCATGGGCCTGGCCAGCCCTGGTCTGCCGCTTCGCGACTAGGTCCACTCAGAAGGGGCAGTGGCCATGGGGAGGCTGGCGCAGGATATGCTGCAGTGTGGGCAGTACCTTAGGGCCATGCCTCTTCTCGGGCCAGAGAAATGCTCCCCACTGCCCTGTGCCAACCAGGAGTCTTAAAGGAACAGCCACAGAATCAGACAGAAGCGGCAAGTGCAGCAGCACCATCAGGTTCTCAGGTTACATCTGTAACTAAAAAAGCTGAGGGCTTCTAACAGTCCTCCATGTGTTTCTAACATGTACGAGACTGTATTTCTCTAACATTTGATCAACCAGAACCAGATTCAAGCTGTTTTACCCACAATGCGAAACAAACAGCTCCAGGAAGGCAGGTGGAAAGGAGTCCACCCAGCCCCAGGACCCCCACACGCGGGAATCCACTGCACCCCAGGGGAGCCAGCGAGCTGTGGTTTGGACGCCCTAGAGGAACCCAGGCCCACCAGGGAGGGGGGAGTCCCCGGTGCAGCCCTGCAGTGCAGCACCAGGCCCAGTGTAACATGGACAAGTCGCACTCTGCGAATCTGGTCCTCAGGAGTGCGAAGGGGCAGTGACAGCATGATGAGCGGGTGTGACCAACGGGGAGCCCTCACCCCGGGGATGCCCGGAGGGCACGTGCTGCATCTCAGGTGCCCCGACCACGATCACCAAGTCAGAACATTCACCAGCTCTAATTAATAGTTAACACAGTTACCATCCCGGGATGGACAGCAGGATTACCAAGGCGCCATGGCTATGTTACTGCACGCAAGCCACTAGCCCCGGGCCGCCTTCGCTGGAGAGCCTGCACGGGTAGGCTGGAGACGGCCGCCGGCCCTGCACCCTGGCGCTCAGGCAGCAGAGCGGTCTCAGGCACCTACCCCACAGGCTACCCTTCAATTGAAAGGGTACAGAAAAGCAAGAGTCACAACGTGCTCTCGGCTAACACCACTGCCCAGACGAGGCAGCTGGCGTCCGTGACCTCACAGCACCCCACAATCCACTCAGCTGCGCCTCGGGCTAGACTCCCCTTGTGAAACCCCACACCATGATGCAGGGAGGCCTCGTGTCCCGCCCCCATCAACAGCCCGCAACAGTGGCAGGAGGGCCACCTACCACTCCACCAATGCCCAGGCCTGCGAGAAGGGCACAGGCGCCAGGACTCCTCCCACCACGAGCCACGGACCCCACTGCCTTCAGGAACACGGAGGGCAGCTCACCATGCGGTCTGAACCAGGTGTTGGTTACGCTCGCACTCTAACACCTGCAGGTACACAACGATAATCTGCAAGACACAGCCACGCAGTTAGGACCCAGAACCCGAGGAGGGCAGCCGGGTGCCACACCCCAGGGACCCCAACCTGGAGACTGCCCACTTGGCCTCGCAGATCAGCATGCAGAGGAGCAGAGAGGACCCACAGCCGAGTCTCAGGCCCGACCCTGGCCAATCGCTCCTGTTTCAGGTGGCCCTTACAAGATCCCATGTCCACCGATAGGTAACCAGTGCCAAGTCTTGCCCTGGCACCTCGCCCTCACCTGGCCCAGCCACCAGCACCCAGCCATGCGGCAAGGAAGAGAAACACCGAGAGGTATGCTGGTGGTTTACTGAGAACCAAAACTCACACCAGAGTCCAGCAAGAGACCAGAGGAGGACCCTGCCTTCGGGAACACTCAAACAGCCAGAGGGCAAGAACATGAGGTGGCCCACAGTCCCCAGCCCCCTGCCCCCCACATGCCTTCTACTGCCATCTAGCTGCCAGCCACATCCCTCCTGGCGTTTGCTCTGAAGGACCCTGGGATGGGATGGGACGGAGCTGGGACTGAATGGGACGAGGCTGGAACAAAGCTGGGATGCGATGGGACAGGGCGGGGATGGGATGAGATGTCATGGGACAAGGATGAGATGAATTAGGATGAGATTTTGATGGAATAGGATAGGGCTGGGATGGAATGGAACTGGCTGGGATGTAATGGGACAGGGCTGGGCTGGGACAAGACAAGGCTAAGATGGGCTGGACAACGCTGGAATGGGATGGGATGGGATGGGGCTGGAATGGGAAGGAGCTGGGACCCCAACCCGCTGCCCGCTGGGGCTCCCCCACCTTGTGCGGGTGCTTCACGTGCACGCAGAAGCCTAGCTCCTTCAGCACCCGCCGCTCGGCCTTGATGACCTGATTCTTGAGACCCACGTAGTCCTGGTCCAGCAGCATGGGCACCGGCTTCCTGCAGCAAGACGAGGCGGCTCAGCACACGGTGTCCAGCAACGCCGGGCCGGGCGTTGGGGGGCCTGGGGCCCCGGAGACCCACCTCTTCTCTCGGAGATGCCGTAGGCGGTGGAACACGTTGACTACGTCCCGGATCCGCCGGGGCGCCTCTTCGATCTTGGAAGCCAAGTGGACACAGGCCATGGACACGTGCTGCAAGGCAAGCGCCGTCAGGCGGGGGTCCGGGCCCGGGGCGTGCGGCGCGGGACGCGGGGCGGGCTCACCTCCATCGAGTGCTTGACGAAGGACTTGGTGTAGAAGAACCGCTGGAACAGCACCTGCCCCGTGGCCATGGCCACCTGCGCGAGGGGAGCGCGTCACGGGGCGACCCCCGCCCGGCCCGGCCCCTCCCCGGCGCGGCGGTTACCGGGCCCTCACCTGCGGCAGGCGGAGCAGGATGCCGGCCGCCTGGATGAGCTCGCAGCCCACCACGCGGAGGCCGGTCTCCGTGTCCGTGTCCAGCCCGCTCGACATGGACGGCGTGAAGCGCAGCCTGTCGTCGGGCAGGAGGCAGTTCTCCAGGGTGATGAGCACGCCCGAGTACAGCCGGTCCCCGATCAGCACGCCCGCCCCGGGGGCGCCGCCCGTCGGCCCCGCGGCCCCCGCCGCCATCTTGTGCCGCCGGCCCCCCGCGCCCCGGCGCCCACCGGCCCGGCGCCGCCCGGAACCGCCCCGCGTCGCCCGCCATTGGCCGGCCCGGGGCCCCGCCGCCCGCCATTGGCCGCCGGCCCTGCCCCTCAGCTCCGCGCCGGGCGCCGCCGCCGGAAGCAGGCGCGGAGGAGCGCGAGCACGCCCCGGAAGCGCGGCTGCCCCGAGCACGGCCCGCCTCCCGCACAAGGGACCCGCACGGCTCCTCCAGTGCGCACGTCAGCTTTATTGGGGTGCCGACCGGCCCGAGCCCCCCGCCGCCCGCCGCCCTAGGCCGCCCGCGTGAACACGCCGGGGGCCGCGCCGTCCAGGGCCGCAGCCAGGCCCTCCTCCCGCCGCCGCCGCGCCAGCGCCGCCAGCGCCTTGAAGGTCTTGGGCTCGTGGACGGCCAGCGCGGCCAGCGCCTTCCGGTTCAGCTCCACGCGGCACTGCGGGGGGACCGTCGGTCAGGACGGGACGCGGGACGGAGGACAGACACGGGACACGGGATGGAGGACAGACACGGGACACGACACGGGACGGAGGGCAGACACGGGACACGACACGGGACACGGGACGGAGGGCAGACACGGGACACGACACGGGACACGGGACGGAGGGCAGACACGGGACACGACACGGGACACGGGACGGAGGGCAGACACGGGACACGACACGGGACACGGGACGGAGGGCAGACACGGGACACGGGATGGAGGACAGACACGGGACACGACACGGGACACGGGACAGGACACGGGACAGGAGGGCAGACACGGGACAGGACACGGGACAGGACACGGGACACGGGACGGAGGGCAGACACGGGATGGAGGACAGACACGGGACAGGACACGGGACGGAGGGCAGACACGGGACGGAGGAGAGGACACCCCACACTGCCAGGACACCCCGCTGACACGGGCCCCCTACCCGGGCCTCCGTACCTTGACCAGGTTGGACACGAGGCTGGGGTACCGGAGCCCATGCTCCTGGGAGGCGGCGCCGATGCGGCTGATCCAGAGCTGGGGGCACCGGGGAGAGCGGCCGCTGTCCACCTGCTGCCGCTGTCCCTCACTGTCCCCCGTCCCCGTCCCTCTCACTGTCCCCGTCCCTCTCACTGTCCCCGTCCCTCACTGTCCCCGTCCCTCACTGTCCCCGTCCCTCTCACTGTCCCCGTCCCTCTCACTGTCCCCCGTCCCCGTCCCTCTCACTGTCCCCGTCCCTCACTGTCCCCCGTCCCTCTCACTGTCCCCGTCCCTCACTGTCCCCCGTCCCCCGTCCCTCTCACTGTCCCCCGTCCCTCTCACTGTCCCCGTCCCTCACTGTCCCCCTGTCCCCACGGTCTCCCGTCCCCGTCCCTCTCACTGTCCCCCGTCCCCGTCCCTCTCACTGTCCCCCGTCCCTCTCACTGTCCCCCGTCCCTCTCACTGTCCCCCGTCCCCCGTCCCTCTCACTGTCCCCGTCCCTCTCACTGTCCCCCGTCCCTCTCACTGTCCCCCGTCCCCGTCCCTCTCACTGTCCCCGTCCCTCTCACTGTCCCCCGTCCCTCTCACTGTCCCCCGTCCCCGTCCCTCTCACTGTCCCCGTCTCTCTCACTGTCCCCGTCCCTCTCACTGTCCCCGTCCCTCTCACTGTCCCCCGTCCCTCACTGTCCCCGTCCCTCACTGTCCCCGTCCCTCTCACTGTCCCCCGTCCCCGTCCCTCCCGCGCTCACGGCGCGCAGCGTCCTCTTCTTGAGCCGCCGTCCCAGCGTGCTCCGCGCCAAGGCCCGGGTCACGGCGCGCACAGCCAGCCGGTAGCAGCGGTTCTTCCTGCCCCGGAAGTGCTGGAGGAGAGACAGGGCGCGGGGGTCGGGGTCAGCGGGGTCGGGGACGCGGCGCCCGCTCCGCCGGCGCGGGGGCGCACTCACCCGGGCGTGCTGCAGCACCTCCTGCACGCGCCAGAAGCGATCGGTGACGCGGTTCCGCAGCCACAGCCGCGCGGTGAGGAAGACCATGGTGCCCGCCGCCACAACGCCCCCAGCGCGGCGCAGAGCGAGCGCTTCCGGTCGGCGCCGGCCCGACGACTTCCGGGGCGCCGCGCCTGCGCGCCGGGCAGGTGGAAGCCGCTGGCCCGCCGGGACGCGCCCGGCCCGCGGGTCAGGCCCTTCCAGAATGTTCCGCGGGGGTTGGACGCAGAGGAGCCGACTTGCCGACGGCCCGGTGCAGTGCCCGTTTCCTCATAGCTTTTCACTTAGATACTGTTTTTAGCCCAGCTGCTGTCATGTGACTACGTTTTTGTTTTAAAGGTGATTATGTGCGGGCCCGGTGCGGTGGCCTAGTGGCTAAAGTCCTCGCCTTGAAGGCACCAGAATCCCATATGGGCGCCGGTTCTAATCCCGCAGCTCCGCTTCCCATCCAGCTCCCTTCTTGTGGCCTGGGAAAGCAGTGGAGGACGATCTAAAGCCTTGGGACCTTGCACCCACATGGAGACCCGGAAAGAAGTTCCTGGCTCCTGGCTTCAGATCCGCTCAGCTCCTTGCGGCCACTTGGGGAGTGAATCATCGGACAGATCTTCCTCTGTCCTCTTCTCTATATCTGACTTTCCAATAAAAGTAAATAAATCTTAAACAATTAAAAATAAATAAAAACTAAACAAACAAAACGTCTTAAAAAGTAAGTAAATCCTTTTTAGAAAGTTTATTACGTGTAACAGTTAAGAATACAGAGAAAGGTGTCCCACAGCTGATGGGCTTCCAGATAGCTCCACTGCTCCATTTCTATGTCTCAGGGCGCAGAGCCTGGGGCCTGGGCCTGTCGGCCTCGCATGTTGGGGCCAGGGGTCGGCTCATAGTGGGGGGTCCACCCGACAGGGGACACCCTGGTGTGAGAGAGTGACCCCCGGGCGGGCCGGCCAAGAGGCGTGGCTCAGCTGAGGCCCCCGGCCCAGAGAAGGCGGACGCTGCAGGGCCTGGCACCTGCTTTCCCGCAGGTCTACAGCAGAGTCAGGGCCTCCTGCCCCCACTGTGTCCTCAGGGTGCGGCTGGCCCCGAGGCTCAGCAGTAGCTCCACGGTGGCACAGTGGTCCTGCTCTGTGGCCAGGTGCAGGGGTGTGTGATGGAGCCAGCCAGTAGCATCGACCTCTGCGCCCTTGTCCAGAAGGTGCCTGGCCACCTCCACGTGGCCTCCCCGGGCTGCATGGTGCAGGGGAGTGAGGCCCAGTGAGTCCCGGGCATCCACAGCGGCTCCCCAGGCTACCAAGAGCTGGACAGCGACTAGGTATCCCCGGGCAGCTGCCCTGTGGAGGACGGAGCGACCGTGCCTGTCCCGGATGCTTGGGTCAGCCCCGTGGCTCAGCAACACCTCCATGTCCTGGAAGGCAAGAGTGGGGGGCTGACTGGGAGTTCCCCTGCCCCCAGCCCACCCCAGCTCAGACCCCAGAGTCGGGGGCGGAGGGTTGTGTCGCTGCTCTGGAGGTGGGGACTTGTACTGGAGCCCGGGTCCCAGTCCTAGCTGCTCTGCTCAGGACCAGCTCCCTGCTAAGGTGCCTGGGAACGCAGCAACTGGCAGCCCAGCCCTCAGGTCCCTGCCATCTGAGGAAAGCTGGGAAGAGCTCCCAGCTTCCCTGAGGCCAGTTGTGAGTAGGGGAGAATTGGGGGTGAGCTGGTGGATGGAAAAGAACCTGTAGCCTGGAGCACCCCGCAACCCCCGCCCCCCCTTCCTCCCCTCCAGGGGCGCTCGGCACCTGCGTCCACCTTCCCTGCCCTGGGCAGCCCCGCGAAGCCTCCCTCCGGGGGAGGGCAGGACGTGCCTGCGGGTGGCCCAGGCTGGCTGCCAGGCCAAGGGCCGTGGTCCCGGCGCCGTCGGCAGCATCCACGCGTGCCCCACGCGCCAGCAGGAGACGCAGCGCGGCCCCTTGCCCCGCGGCAGTCGCCACCAGAAGGGCGCCGTCCAGCTCCGCGCCGCCGGCCGCCAGCAGCTCGAGCACCGCCAACTGCCCGCCCGCAGCCGCCCAGTGGGCCGCCGTCCAGCCCCGCGCGTCCGGCAGCGCGGGGTCGGGGCCGGGCGCGGCCAGCAGGCGCGCGGCGAGCGGCGTGCGCCCCAGGGCGGCGGCGCAGTGCAGCGGCGTGAGGCCCGCCCCGCAGCGCGCCGCCGCTGGAGCCCCGCGCCGCAGCAGCAGCTCCGCCAGGCACGAGTGCCCGTGCCAAGCGACCTCGTGCAGCGGCGTGCGCCCCGCGCTGTCGGCGGCCCCCGCGGGGGCCCCGCGCCGCAGCAGCAGCTGTGCCAGGGGCGTGTGGCCGCGCAGTACTGCCAGGTGGAGCGGGGTCCGGCCAGCGGGGTCCCTGCGGGGGAGAGGCGGGGCGGGATCCAGGGCAGCTGGATGGAGCAGGGCGCACCCCTCTGCACCCTGCCCCAAGAAGGACCTCGGCTCAGCGCACCTCTCCTCCAAGCTGGCTCCTTGCCGCAGGAGCTGCACCACAAGGCCCACCGGGCCGGTCCACACGGCCTGGAGCAGGCAGCTCCGGTTCTGGGGGGCAGCCTGCACCGGCGTAACTGCTCCCAGGGCGGCCTCGGAGCCCAGCTCCACCCAGAGCAGCTCCTGATCCGCCTCCTCCCTGGCCAGGTCCTGGTTGCAGCGCCCAAGGCTCCCGACATCCACCTGCGGGGATCCTGGCCCCTGCGCGCCACAGCAGGCCTCTGGGAGCTCTGCCAGCCGCCCAGCCTTCCGAGGGGCTTCACTCACGGTGATTGCCAGGGGCTTTGCCTGGCTCAGGGTCCTGTTCATGCCTGCCCACGTCCTGACTCCTCTGTTGCAGTCCAGCACACCCTGGCTGGGGGCAGCAATGGCAGCCCCAGGACTGCGGGAGACCCAAGTGGGCAGGGACGTGACCCTGTGTTGGACTGGCGGTGAGGTGTCCTGCGCATCTGGTGCAAGGCTGGAGGTGGGGTGCCAGGGATGCTGGGGCCTCATGGGCCACTTGACACTGTTTACCCAGCCGCTTAGCAGGAAGCCCTGGCGCCCATGTCGCCTCCCATCTTGGCCTCTCTCCCGGGGAGCCAAGCCCAGAGCAGGTTCCAGAAAGACAAGCAGGAACTCGTGTCTCCCTCCCACCTCCCCCTCGCAGGCAGGGGGATGTGCCCCAGCTTACCCTTGGGGGGGCACCAGAACCGTGGCTGAGCCCACCTGGGGGCTGGGGCTGCCCAGGTCTCCAGGCCTCAGGTAAGTGAGGGTCTGTTGGACCATTTCCCTTCATGTAGCCGCTGCCCAAGATGCAGCACTTGGATCTGGGGGTCTGTGAGGAGTGGTAGGGCTGTGGGAAGAGGGGCTCCAGGTGACACTTGCAGAGGGGCGGGATCAGAGAGGAGCAGCTGGACCAGTGACCTTCCAGACCTGCTGCTCCACTGAACACCCCTAGCCTGCGCCCTGCAGCACAGCATATGGTGAATGCCCATGCCCAGCCCTGTGCGGGGCCTCAGGCTGTCCAGGAGGGGCTGTCCTGTCCTGCTCAGCCCTCCCCCATCCTGAACAAGGCATGGGCCAGGCTGTGGTAACCTCAGGGAGCCCCATGCTGGGCTGTGGTCGCTGCAGGGAGGTCCATGCCGGGCCATGGCCGACCCCGATTCTCCTGCAGCGAGCACTCCACAAAGGCATGTTTCCTGGCTGACAGGTACAGCTGCAGAAGCCACATAGGGGGCTTGCTGAGGTGTATGGTCTAACCTGTCTCTGATGCCAGCATCCCAAGTGGGCGGCTGCTGAGTCTCAGCTTTACCGCTTCCCATCCAGCTCCCTGCCTGTGGCCTGGAGAAGCAGTAGATGACCCAACGCCTTGGGACCCTGCACCCACGTGAGAGACCCTGAAGAAGCTACTGGCTCCTGGCTTCAGCCTGGCCCGACTCCAGCCACATCAACCACAACAGAAAGAAGATCTCTCTCCCTCTGTCTCTGTAATCTGGACCTTTCAAACCACAGACGCCCAGGGACAGAAGGTCAGAGCCTTCCAGGGCCCTCTTCACCCTGGCGGTGTCCATGTGTGACTTGCAGCTCCTCCTCGGAAAGGCCTGAGGCACACCCTGGAGCGAGGGCTTGTGGGTGAGGTGGGCCCTCAGGACAGCAGTGTGAGCTCTGTGCCCCACAGGGCACTACCTGCCCACATCCTGGCTCCTCCGCTCCCGTCTAGCTCCCTGCACGTGCCCACCCTGGCCGAGGGATGCAGTGGCAGCCCCAAGATTGAGGAAGACCTGAGTGGGCTGCAAGGTGGTGACCCCTGCATTGGACTGGCTTTCTCGGCACCTGGGTGAGGCTGCCCGTCCTGCGGGGTGCCGGCTCGTTTGCCCAAGACGAGCAGTTGGCGGCAGCATACATCAGCATCCAGGCTTCTGCTCCATTGCCCCACTCCTGCCCCACTGCCAGGCTGGCTCCCGTGCAGCCGCCTTGCACCTTGGCCAGGTGGGCATGAGCATGGAGCTGGACTGGAGCGGAGAAGCAGGGTCCCCAGGCTTTGGGCTGTCCTCAACTGCTTTTCCAGGCCACAAGCAGGAAGGTGGATGAGAAGTGGCCACTGAGGCACAAGCTGGTGCCTGGTGCGCACAAGGCAAAGACTTTGGCCTCCAGGCTACCGTGCCAGGCTCCGGCTTTAGTTTTTGTTGTTGTTTAAAGATGTATTTTATTTTTATTGGAAAGGCAGATCAGATTTGTGGAGAAAGACAGAGAAAGATCTTTATCTGCTGGTTGACTTCTAAAATGGCCAGAACAGCAGGGCTGAGCTGATCCAAAGCCAGGAGCGTCTTCCGGGTCTCCCACGTGGGTGCAGAGTCCCAAGGCTTTTGGCCATTCTTGACTGCTTTCCCGGGCCACAGCCAAGAGCTGGATGGGAAGTGGAGGAGCCAGGACGTGAACCGGTGCCCATGTGGGATCCTGGCACTAGCATGGGGAAGATTTAGCTACTGAGCCATTGCACTGGGCCTTCTTTTCGTTGTTTTTGCACCAGCTCTTCAGGGCCTGCGCCATCGTCTTTTCTGGGTCTGAGAGAAATGTCCTGGCATTTGATTGGGATCACATAGATCTTCCCTCTGTCTTTTCCTCTCACTGTATCTGCCTATCAGATAAAATCTACAAGCAGATGAACTATTTGAGAAAAGGCCTTGGCCAGGGTGCCAGTGCTGCTGGTGGCCCAACTGAGCGGCATGGCACACCGGGCGCTGGGGGAGCTGTGGAGGTGAAGGTCGGCACTTGCTGGGAGGAAGGAAGCCAGGAACATGTGTGACCACAGGTTGCAGGGGCCTGACCCAGTGCTCACGGCGCCGGCACCTTCTCTGGATGCCCACGCAGGTCCTGGCCACTCCCAGTCCAGCTCTACCCCTGGCCGTTGTGGCCACTGGGGAGTAAGCCAGCAGGTGGAAGATCTCTTTCTCTTTCCTCTTCCTTTTAAGTAAACAGATAAATGTTTCTTAAAAATGCTGCATGTTGGGTCCAGCATAATTGCTCAATTGGCTCATCCTCTACCTGCACGTGCTGGGATCCCGCAAGAGCATCAGCTGCTGTCCCCCTGCTTCCCTTCCCACCCAGCTCCCTGCTTGTGGCCTGGGAAGAAAGCAGAGGCTGGAACAAACCCTCGGGACCCTTGAGCACCAGGGGTCCGCTGCGGCCCGGGGGTGAGGGGTCCAGGGAGGCCTGGGTTTCCTGGCCTGAGTCCTTGGGCCCATCTGCAAGAACTCGTCCTGCCCAGTGGAAAAGACAGAGCAAGGGCTGGCAGGTCCTGAGGCACATGGAGGATATGGCAGGCCAGTGGGGCCTGCACAGGACATCTGGTACCAGAGCAGGAGAACAGAGCAAATTGAACAATTACCCCAGCCAAAGGAAATGGAGACTGTAAGGTTGACTCTGTCAGCCAGTGGAGATTGGAAAGCTGTCCCTCCCTGTCTATTGGTCAGATCGACAGCATTTCAGAACTGTCAACACCACTTGGACAGAAGCCTAGGACAAGGTGCCACATCGCGACCCTGGGTTCCCCAAATGCCAGGCCTTCCCCTAGATACAGGAAGAAAAAGACAATTTGGAAACAGTGGTCTCATCCATGTTCCCCTAACCCTCACCTCAATCCTTCCCACCCTGATCAGCTATATAAACATCATCAAAAATAAAAGTCAAAATCCTTGAGCCCCTACACCTGCATGGGAGACCAGGGAGAAGCTCCTGGCTCAAGTCTGGCTGTTCTGGCCATCTGGAGAGTGCTTCTCCTTCTCTCTGTAGATCCGCCTTTCCGATACAAATAAATACATCTTAACAACAACAAACTACTGTAAGTTGTGCAGGATGGTTACACCCTGGGACCTGGGATGGGCAGAGCACCTTTCTGGAAGGGCTTACTCACGGCTCTGGAGCTGCTTGGCTGCTGGCCACCCCACCGCACCCCACAGGCTCAGGCTTTGCTGTAGCTGACCCCAGGTTCTCCCCAGAGAACAGGGACAGGATGGGGGTGGGGGAGGTGGCCCGTTGTCATCATCCAGACCTCTGAAATGGAATCATTGTATGTGGGACAAGGGGGGGCGGGCAGGGAGGAGGGCCTGCGGGGGTGGGGGAGCACGGCCAGGACACACAGGCACTGACCGCCGCGGGCCCCTGGGGAGAGGACCTGGAGAGCATCCGGGCTTGACCCACCTGGGTCAAGTGCAGTGTTCCGATGGGGGCTCCAGACTGAGCCCAGATGGCCTTGGCCTTGCCTTCCAACCCCCAGGAGCCCCCAGGCCCACCGCCAGCGTCGGCATGAGTGAGCAGCAGAGAGAAATGGAGGAGGATGAGGAAGAAGGCACTTCGGACACGGTGCCCATGCTGCCCCGCAGGCCTTCCGACGGCCAGGCTCCAGCCCTGAGTGGCCGAGGACTTGGGACCCTGCTGCTGCCCAGCTGGACCCTGGCGGGGTGCCTGCTGCACCTGCTGCTGCCCGCGATCGTCTTCCTCCTGGCACTTCTGCCTGCAGCTGCCACCGTCTATCTGGGGTTCCAGTGCCACTCGAGGGTGAGCCTGACCCTGGGCGTGACAGGGTACCAGCAGGGTCTTAGGGGTGGGCCTTGGGCCTTGGGCCCTGGGAGCCCCCTGCCTGCCGAACGCCCCGGCCAAGACAGGGCTTTTGTTTGTAGCGTTCCAGGGTCGCCCCCGCCCCTCGTACCAGGGGCCACCAGGGCCTGTGCGGCTGAGGCTGGAAACGGGAGGGGAGCTCACCCCGCAGCCCTCTGCCCGGGCTGGGCGTGACCAGCTGCGCAGTGGGCAGATGCCCCTGCTTGTCCACCGTGGACACAAGGGAGGCAGAGGGGGCGGGCCTTCTGATCCCCGCGCCAGGGACGCATTTCCGCCTAGGCCCGCGCTGACCGCGCCTTGCCCGCAGGTGCACCCCGCGCCAGGCGCCCGGTGCCGCGCGCTGCTGTCGGACCGCAGCTCGGCGGCGCTCATCGTGCTCGGCCTCCTGGCTCTGCCGCCGCTGCTGGCGCTCGCCTCGGCCACCCGCGCCCGCCTGGCCCGGCGCCTCCGCTCGCTGCTGCCGCCTCCCGCCAGGAGCCCCGGCCCCCGCCGCGCCCCCGGGGCCGGCGACGAGGGCCCGGACGGAGAAGAGCGGCTGTGCGCCTGGGTGTGACCCCGGCCCCCGCGGGGGCGGGCCCGACTGCGCCCTGTTTCCCGGGGCTGCGAACCCTTCTGGAACTTTCGCGCTTTCTCCCTGGCCTTGCCTAACCGCCTTGCCCACCGCCTCCCTCCGGTCCGCGGCGGCTCACGGGTGTCTGATATACAGTGGGCATGTGTTGGGCAGGTTGGTCCCAGTTCAGGCACCCAGGCCCTGTGAACTCCCGCGGGTTGCGGTCCCCCGTGCCCATACCTGGTCCGGACCTGCGGGAGGAGGTGGGTCCCGGAGCCCTGGAGGCCCTGCACGCACGAGGGAAACTCTGGGCTTGGCTCTCGCTTCTGCCTGTCCCAGCCTGGCTCCCGTGGGCACCAGTGGAGTGAGCCAACTGGTGGGGAGCTGCCTAACACTCTCTCTACTTTTCAAATCAGTAAATTGGTTAAAAAAAAATAGTAAGATGTTTTTTGTTCTTCTTCAGATCTGCTTGACTGTCTGAACCACGAGGCTCAGTGTGGCTTGAAGAGGCAGGGCTGAGAACACAGCCATGCAGGCGCTTCTGCTTTAGTTAGTTCGCTTTCTGGCTCTCTGCTTCCGAAACGTTTCCTATCGGAGGTACCTTAGCATGTTCGTGGAAAATGCATTTAAAGCCACTTGTGGGCGGGCGCCGTGGCACAGTGAGCTAGGCCTCTGCCTGCCGCATGACCCATATGGACAGCTGCTCCATTTCCAATCCAGCTTCCTGCCAGTGTCACGGGAAGGCACCGGAGGAGGGCCCACACGCTTGGGTCCTGCACCGCCTTGGGGGACCGGGAGGCCCAGCTCCAGCTCCGGCAGCCGCAGAGCAAGAGAGCAAGCGCGGGAAGCTCTGCGTTTCTGGTACATAAACTTTAAAAAGGAGGGTCTGACAAGGAGACAGTTCATGTGGAACACGGATTCAGGCCTAGTTCTCATCGCCCATGTTCGCAGGGCTACTCCGGAGCCGGTAGCTGGGCCCTGGTCCGTGGGACGACCCTCTGGCTGTTTCTGCCTACTGGCACTGGGACCTGTCTTGGGGACACCTCCCCGGGGCATCCAAGGCCGTGGCAAGCGGCCTCCCTGGCCGGAGCTCTGGGCTCCCACCTGCCCCTCTCTGGTCTGCTCATTCCTTGTTTGTCTGTTGACCAGTTCTGGGCGCTTACTGTGGGGGTGGCCTGGCCCCAGCCACTTCCTTCTAAGTCCAGCAGCACATTCAGCCTGTGCTTCTTGTCACTTGTCCAGCACAGAGTGCACGCTGAGCCGGGACATGCTGCTCAGCCTGTGCTTCCAGCAGGGACCGGTGTGTGGCTGGGCAGCAGCAGGCAGGAATCTGTCCGGCTTTGTTGCCGTCTTACTCAGACTGGCTGGGCTGGTTGCCAAACTGCCAAAAATGGTTCCCTGGGGCTGGACCGCCTTCCTGTTCCTTGCCCCAGGACTCTCCTGGGAAGCCCTTGGAGCATCCGGTGGCCCTGAAGTCGTCAAAACAACAGCTGGGCCAGCGGGGGCGGGGAGGAGGGAGTCCTGTCACAGGCAGCTGCCTCCTGAGGTGTTTCCCGGCCTGCTCTGCCAACCCCGACCCTGGGGTATTCCAGGCAGGGCAGTGGGGGACCACGCAAGAGGCCCAGACGTGCCCCTGCTGGGTGGGCTGGCAGGAAGAGGCCAGCTGAGGAGGCTGAGCCTGTCTGCTGGAGCCAGCGTGAGCTGGGGACAAGGAGCTACGGCACCTCGGCCAGGGTTCCCTCACTCAGGCCCCCTCATCACGCAGCCCTTGGGGGGCGCAGGCAGCTCCTGGCAGGTGTGCCCGCTGCCCCTCACCCCCCCACATGGCCCTGGGCCTGACTGTCCCCCCAGTCACAGCCCCAGTGGACCAGGCAGGGATGGAGCCAGACCTGGTAGGGCTCTGCAAGTTAGGGCCCCACCCCTGCCACATCCTTCACCATCCAGGCTCTGTGGAGAGTCCTGAGCTGCCTGGGCCCTGCTGGACACTGTGAACAGTAGGAACCCAGCTATCACCCAGCAGGTCACAGGTGGGTCCCACCCCACCTCTGAGGGCTGTGGGGGCTGCTCCCACCACACCTGCTGGAAATGTACAGAAACAGAGCCCCCACTGCTAGGTTTGAATCCCAAGCCTGCCTGCCCCTCATGGACAGAGCCATGGATGATGTCAGCCCCCCCACTCACTGCTGAAGGCCCAGCCCAGGCCCCAGCGACCACCCCCAACTTCCTGCTGGGGGCCCCTGTTTGGGAACAGCAGCTCACGGCATGGGTGGGGCCCAGGCCCCCGCAGAGGTCAGGGGTGTGAGGTCAGAGGCCCTAGTAGTTGCCCTTTTTCCTGGGGTCAAGCATGGCCACAGCTGGCTGGGGACAAAGAACCCTTTTTCTCTGCTAAAGCCTGGAATGTGTAGGGAGGGAGGGTCCCCGGGATGGGGTGGGGGCGGGGCCCAAGCCAGGAGCAGTGGCCAGGAAGACAGGCAGAGTGGCCTTCCCAGGCACTGAGCCTCCTCGGACCCGGGCCAAGGACCTGCACCCAGAATGCCAGGCCAGGTGGGAGCTGGGGCAGCAGGGCCCCTCAGCCATCTGGTTTGCCCACCCTGGCCAAGGCCCACCTACCCATGCCTGCCCATTGCTCAGGTCCGCTGCCTCTCGAGTGGAGGCTTCCAGGCCATCAACCGTGAATTTCCTGTGGTGTCTGGCTCAGCTCTGGCCCCAGTCCCTGCTCCCCTGGCTGACCCCACCTCCACCTTATTCTGTCCCTGGGGCGACAGCAGCAGTGGACAGTCAGGGACACAGGGAAGAGAACAGCGTGAGGTTACAAGCAAGGGCCGGGGACAGAGGTGATGGCCAGGGTCGCTGGAGCAGCTGCAGGCTGGGCCTCCAGAGCCCACTCCTACAGGCGCCAGCCGAGGGCGGCTGCTTCCACCGGGGCTTGCGTCATGGCCACGAAGCCCCACTCATTTTTTCCAGGAGGCACGGAAGACGGAGACTGGAACCCCCGGCGCTCAGGCCAGGGCTGAGGTGTGACTGCAGCTCCGCCCACGCCAGCAGCGGGTCTCCCCAGGGCACCGGGCCCACTCAAGGAGGGAGGACTGGTCTACCTGGGCAAACTCCCAGCTGGTGGTGTGCGCAGCAGCCTCTGCACGCTGGTGGGCTGGGAACCCCCTGAACTTCCTGAGCCCACACCCTGCTCTGCTGGTCCAGGCGAAGAGGAAGCCCCAGGCTGTCTCTGGTCTTAGCAGGCAAGGCCTGAGGTCCATGGACCAAAGCCAGGGCCATGACTGCCAAGATTCCCGGCAGGGGAGGGGTGGGGACGGTGGGGACACGGCGCTCACTTGTAGCTGCCGGCAGCTCTTCGGCCTGCCACTTCCTTTTTTAGCCAAAGTCTGGCTTCTGCGTGCCCAGGCCCCACGGAGCCTCACCTGCCAGCGAGGGAGGAAGGAAGTCCTTTGAGTCCCATCCAATCTCCCAACGGGGAGGATGGGGGTCGGGGCTCCAGGCAGAAGCCCGCCCCAGCGCGGGGTGGGGCAGGGCCGAGAGGGGCCGCGTCCTCCAGGACTCCAGGACCCCCGGGGTCCTGCTGGGGGTGTGATCTCGGTCCGTGTGGTGGTCCCTGGCAAATGCCCCCCATCGCTGTGCCTTCGCGTCCACTAGTCCAGGTGGGAGGCAGGCTTCTCGCTTCAGTCCCTGGGGATGCGCGTCCCAGGACCCCCACATCCCTACGCAGGTGGAGCCACGCCTGGGCCTGGGGGGCGTGTCCTTGGCGCTGTCCCAGCGCGCTCCCCGGGGCTCCCGGCGCCGGGCTGCGGGGGACCCCCAGCACTGAGGGTCCGGGCTAGCGCCTCCCGGGCGCGCAGGTCGGCGTGGCGCGCGTGGCCTCCGGCGCGGGGCGGGGCGCGCGGGGCGGGGCGCACGGGGCGGGGCCGGCGGGGCGCGCGGCGGCACGTCCCGCAGCCCCGGAGGTAGCGAGTGGCCGGCGGCCGTGGCGCGATGCTGTCCTGGACGGCGCTGGGCCTGGCCCTGAGCCTGCGGCTGGCGCTGGCGCGGAGCGGCGCGGAGCGCGGTGAGTGCGCGGGCGGCCGGCCGGGGCTGCCGTTCCCGCCCCCCGCCCGGCGCTGCGGGAGCGGGCAGGGTTGGGCACGTCGTTCCCGTCGGTCCCGCCCCTCCGGCATTGCCACCGGGACGCCGGGCCAGGGCAGAGACACCCTGTGCCTCAGTTTCCCTACCCAGGAATAGCCTGTGGCTGGACGGCGGCCGGGGGCTGTGGTGGACCGCGAAGGGGAACCCAGAGCGCACACGGCCGGAGCCCGCGCCTGCCCTGGCTCGGCGATTGTGCAGGGGGTCCCTGCTGCCCGGAGCACATCCTGAGACTGAGCTAAGGCCACCTGGACGTGGTCTCTGAGGAAGGGGAGGGAGTGGAGTCGTGGAGGGGGTCAGTCTCGCTTTACAGTTGGGGTTGCGGTCACATGGCCAGTGTTGGGAGCTGGGACTGCCCCAACATCAGAATGTGGGATCTTGGCTCGGAGCCCGCTGGGATGTGATTGCCAGGATTTTCATGGGCTGTGTCCTGGGGGGCGTGGGGTGAGGAGGGCTGTGCCCTGGGCGTGGGGGGCTGCGCTCTGGGCATGGGGGGCTGTGTCCTGGGCGTGGGCCTCTCAGGCCGGCATTTGGGCTGAATCCTGACCCTTTCTCCCAGGCGCCCCAGCATTGGCCCCCCTGGGAGACCTCCTGTTCCTGCTGGACAGCTCAGCCAGCGTGTCGCACTATGAGTTCTCTCAGGTTCGGGAGTTTGTGGGACAGCTGGTGGCGTCGCTGCCCCTGGGCCCGGGGGCCGTGCGTGCCAGCCTGGTGCATGTGGGCAGCCGTCCACACACCGAGTTCCCCTTCGGCCAGCACAGCTCAGGCCAGGCCGCCCAGGCTGCTGTCCGTGCTGCAGACCAGCGTATGGGAGACACCAATACAGGCCTGGCACTGGCCTACGCCAAGGAGCAGCTGTTTGCCGAGGCGGCAGGTGCCCGGCCAGGAGTGCCCAAGGTGCTAGTGTGGGTGACAGATGGCGGCTCCAGCGACCCCGTGGGGCCCCCCATGCAGGCGCTCAAGGACCAGGGCGTCACCGTGTTCATTGTGAGCACTGGCCGAGGCAACCTGCTGGCACTGTCGGAGGCCGCTTCGGCCCCTGCTGAGCGGCACCTGCGCTTCGTGGACGTGGACGACCTGCACATCATCACGCAGGAGCTGCAGAACTCTCTCCTCGGTGAGCGGGCACACACTGGGCGCCCCGAGGGGGAGAGGGGCCAGATCCCGGTGCCCCTGCAGGGCTAGCGAGGGACGAGGGCCGCATCCAGGGGGGGAGACCCAGGCCACTGCCGAGAGCTGTGTACATGGCACCGCGTGCTCCTCAGGCCTGAGATCACCATGGCTGGAGAGGAGGGCCTGGTCCCTGGCTTGGCCAGCTGTGCCCCCGCAGCCTTCCAGGACCCTCAGTCTGTGTCAGTCATCCCACTGATCCGGAAGGGGTGGGGTCACGACCCGGAGAGGGTGGCGGGCAGCCTCCACCCCCAGATGTCGCCCAGGGTGGGCCCTGGGCCAGGGCTGTTTTCAGACAGTGGACACCACCCGTGGCTGGGAAGTGACGGTCGATGCTGTGACCTCCAGCCCCCTTGGGCCTGCCCAGGCTCAGCTGACCCGTTCACTGCCGGGACCCGGGCTGACCCCAGGCCCTTGTCCTGGCTGCTCAGACTGGGAGCCCTGTCCTGTCTCAGGGACCACCCTGGCCCTGCTGCCGCGAGGGGCCCTGCCTCTGGGCCCACAGTGTAGGTGCCCAGGAGGGCCCAGACTCTGTCACTGTTGTGTATGTCCCTGCCCTCCCCCTGTGCCTCCGACCTCAGGGTCAGGCGGGGAGGCCATCTCTGACCACGAGCCCCCGGCTCCACCTGCAGAAGCCATGCAGCCACAGCAGCTCCGTGCCCTCGAGGTGACATCCGGCGGCTTTCGCTTGGCCTGGCCGCCCTTGCTGACTGCCGACTCGGGCTACTATGTGCTGGAAGTGGCGCCCCACGCTGACCCAGCGGCCGCGCGGCGCCAGCAGCTGCCCGGGAACGCCACGAGCTGGACCTGGGCCGGCCTGGACCCCGACACGGACTACGCCGTGGCGCTGGTGCCCGAGTCCAACGTGCGCCTCGAGGGGCCCCAGCATCTGCGCGTCCGCACGCTGCCAGGTGAGGCTGGGCGCGGGCGCGGGAGGCGACGCGGGCCGCCTGGCGCCCGGCAGCTCACGCTCCTCCCCTCACCCGCAGAGGAGGCCGGGCCCCAGCGTATCGTCATCTCCCACGCCAGGCCGCGCAGCCTCCGGGTCAGCTGGGCCCCGACATTGGGCCCGGCCGCCGCGCTCGGCTACCACGTGCAGCTCGGGCCGCTGCAGGGCGGCGCGGCGCAGCGCGTGGACGTGCCCGCCGGCCACAACAGCACGACGCTGCAGGGCCTGGCGCCGGGCACCGCCTACCTGGTGACGGTGACCGCGGCCTTGCGCTCCGGCCGCGAGAGGGCACTGTCGGCCACAGCCTGCACGCCCGCCTGTGCCCGTGCCCGTGCCCGCGTCCCGCGCCCGGCGCGGCCGTGAGGCCAAGGCTGCGCGCGGCGCTTGGCCGCGTGAATCCTGCGCAGAGCGAGACCAAACCTGGACCCCGCACCTGTGAGGAGGCTTGAGGTGCGGGTGGCCAGGTCCACCTGACCCTGGCGTTCTGGATGGTCAGGGACAGTGGGTAGGTGGGAGTAGAAGCGGGCAGGACCACCACTGCCAGGCAGTGAAGGGGTGGGGGCAGGAGGCAGCCTTCCCCAGCGCCTCCTGACCTGAGGGGAGGCGAGGAGGACCCTTCCCTGTGGCCGGAGCCACCAGACATTCCGCCTTCCCTCCTCCCCACGCTAACACCGGACCTTAAATACAGTGAACCAGTGGGCGTTGTGCGGTCTCAATGCGTTCTCCGTGTCCACCGTGCCCGCCCGTGGGGGGTGCAATGGGGGATGCAGGTCAGGCGGCTTGTTACCACAGAGCTGGACCTCCCGTGGCCCCACTCAGCTGCTGGGAGGCCAGACCGCTCACTCCTGGCCATCAGCCACCTGCCAGCCCCAGGGACTGGGGGTCTCGGGACCCATGTCTGGCAGAGCTTGATGCAAGCCAGCCCGCCGGCCAAATGTGTGACCAGGGCAGGAGATCCCACCTGAATGGGGGCGGGAGTTGGGTCCTCTGGGCTACCCCTGCCCCAGAGTCAGGCCTGGGGAGTGGGTACCTGCAGGCCAGCCACAGCTCACATCCTCCTGGCCAGTGAGCAGGTAGCCAGGGTCTTACACTTCCTGCGCTCTCAGCCGCTGGCCCCTGCAGCCATCAACCTGGGACTCGGGGACAGGAATCCCCCACCCTAGTGGTTGCTGGTCTGAGAAGGGCCTGGGGAGGAGGCCCCTGGCCCAAGGGGCCTGGGCAAGGGTCGTTTCCCAAATGCCACAATGCAAGGTGTCCTGTTTCTCGACCCCAAGCCAAAGGACCAGAGGGAAGAATCCCTGCCCCTCACCCACTCAGAGTTTATGATTGGAATTCAGGTTTAGGATTAGAGCTAGGGTCTGGGATTAGTGTTAGGGTTGGTGTTAGTGGTAAGGTTAGGGTTAGGGTTGGTGTTAGTGGTTAGAGTTAGGGTTGTATGGTTCTGATTGGTGTCAGGTTAGGGTTGGTGTTAGTGGTTAGGGTTAAGATTGTAGGGTTAGGGTTAGGTTTGGTGTTAGTGGTAGGGTTAGGGTTAGGTTTGGTGTTAGTGGTTAGGGTTAGGGTTGGTGTTACTGGTAAGGTTAGTGTTAGGGTTGTATGGTTCTGATTGGTGTCAGGTTAGGGTTAAGTATGTGCTTTGGTTAGATGCTTACAATTACAATTAGGGTGTAAATTAGGATTGGAATTTTGGGGTTCAGGGTAAGGGTTGGAGCCACTGCCTGCTGTCCTGAGGGTTACATTGGGCAGCCCCCGCTTCTAGCTTGGAAAGGTGGGCAGGGTGTCCATGGCTCATGTGGCAGCTGGGCCAGAAGCCAGGGTGGCAGTGCCTGGAGGTCCTGGTCCTGTGGCATCCCCAGGATGACTACTTGTAGCGTCCTTTACTCAGTCCAAACCATCAGGAACTAGTACCCTCACTGGGTTTGATGGTGGTCTGGGGTCTGCATTGGCACAGTGCAGGTGGCTGCCTGCCCAGAGAATGTCACCAGGCTGTACACCTTGGCTTCTGTTGGCCAAGGAGATGGGCACTCACGGACCCTTCCAGCTCAGGTGTGGGAAGGTCACTGGGGCCACCTTACCAGGATATGGTCCTGTGATGTTGCACGCTCTGGGATGCACCTCATCTCTCCCATCAGGACGAGCCGCAGCCAAGGGGACTGGAGGTTGAGGCCTTGCCCCCGCGAGGGGAGAACCACCAGCCGCCCTGCCCCACTGCCCCCAGGGAGTCCTGGAGCGTCCTGACACAGAGGCAGCCTAGTTGCTGAGCATCTGGCCCGACTTCTCTCCTGCCAAGGCCAGAGTTCCTGCCAAGGTCTGCAGTCACAGTGGTCACACTGACACCCTGAGCCTGGGTGCCCAGCCAGCTGTCTGTGTGGCTCCTGCGTTGGGAGGCTGCTGGCCTGGCCAGGTGCGTGGCTGCTTTGCGACAGAGGCCCAGGCCTCACAAACAGGTCCAGCCCCTTGCTCTTGAGGGTAGAACATTGGGTCCACAGGGCAGCCCTGGGCAGGGTCACGGCTCCCCAGAAGGCTGGTCAGGCCTGGCAGCTTCAGCAGCCATAGGGACAGAGGGCCCTGGCTGCTGGCCACAAAGGGGTCCGGACCCTTCCGGCCTGGGCTCCCGGGGGGTGGCCCTCACCTCTGCTCCGTGCCTGGAGCCCTGCTGGAGAGGACCCAGTGGTACTGGCCAAGTGCGTCAAGCTGCAAACGCCAGGTCTTACGGACCTGGGCTCTTCTCTCTCTTATTGGAAAGACAGACTTACAGAGAAGAGAGACAGATCTTCCATCCTTTGGCTCACTCCCCAAAGACCACAAGGGCTGGAACTGAGCTGATCCAAAGCCAGGAGCCAGGAGCTTCTTCCGGGTCTCCCACACTGGTGCAGAGTCCCAAGGCTTTGGACGGTCCTTGACTGCATTCCCAGGCCATGAGCAGGTAGCTGGATGGGAAGTGGAGGAACTGGGACATGAATTGGTGACCAAGGCAGATGCTAGCATCTCAGGCTGCACCTTAACCTGCCTTACCACAGCACCAGCCCCTCCAGTTTCTGATCAAGGCTTAAAATTTTCTCCCACCTGGCAAGAAAACCCCTCCAGGCTTGGAGCGGGGCCAAGCCGCTGGCCCTGCTTGGCGGGCCTTGGACCCAGGGGGTTACAGTAGGGCCGCCCATGTCCTGCCTGCCCCATGTCCTGCCCCTCGTCCCGCACCATGTCCCGTCCGTCGTCCTGCCCCTCGTCCCGCCTTAGGTCCTGCCCCTCGTCCCGCCCCTGTCCGGCCTGCCCTTTGTCCGGGATGGCTTGGATCGGCTCGACCTCCGTGGTTCCCATGAAGGAAGAGCGTCCCGATCTGGTGGCCTCACGACCGGGTGGTCTGCGGTCTGTGGAGCCCCTGGGCTGGACTTCCCCCCCACTGGCCTCGTCCCTGGCCACGGGCACCATTGCCTGCCCCACACCCGCCCTGCACCGACGGCGCGCACACGTCCACCGGCATGTTTGTCCCTGTGAGGCTTCCGTCCGCACGGCCCCGCCTCCCCGGCAGGCGCCCCGAACCTCTAGGTAGTCGCGGCCGATGGCGTCAGACGGCCGCAGCCAATCCGAGGGCCGTACGCTTCCAGGGCGTCGCGCGCTGCCCGGGCCGGGAGGTGAGCCCCGCGCCTGCGCAGTGACCGCGCCGTCCGCGTGTGCAGCCCTTGTCTGTGCGGGGCCGTACACTCATGTCGTGGCTCTTCGGCATCAACAAGGGTCCCCAGGGCGAGGGCGCGGGGCCGCCGCTGCCCCTGCCGCCGGCGCCGCCGGGAGCCGAGGGCGGCGGGGACCGCGGCGCGGGGGACCGGCCGGCGCCCAAGGACAAATGGAGCAACTTCGACCCGACGGGCCTGGAACGCGCGGCCAAGGCGGCGCGCGAGCTGGAGCACTCGCGTGAGTGGGCAGGGCGCGGATCGGGCCCGACGGGCCGCTGTGCGAGGGCCAGGCTCGGACTGGACGTGGTTTAGGGAGACGAGAGCCAGTTGACATTCACTGTCGGGGTCGTGGGTGCCGGGGCTGGTTGGGGTGAATCCTGGAGAGGAGGGCCTCTCAGCGTGTGGCCCATCCCCGGGGCTCCCCTGTCCCCGGCCGCCGCAGGCGTGAGCCAGCCGTCGGGGCGTCCCCATCAGTACATGACCGAAGAGGAACGGAGAGGCCCCTTCTGGGCACGTGGGCACCGGGGCACTCAGGGGCTCCTCCCTGCCGTTCCCTCCCGGGGCTGGGTGGGAAGCATGCATGCCCATGTGACCACCGACCCGAGTGGCAAGGGGAAAGTGGTTGAGACTATCATTTCCAATTTTGTTTTTCTTCTTCCTGTATGTGGGGAAAGGGGCAAACCTAACTGCCTCAGTGCCCAGGGATGGGGAACGGCCGCCCACTGTCATCCCAGGGTCCCCATGTGGCACGTGCTCCGGTGATTTCAGCAGTTCTGAGATGCTGTTGGTTTTGGGTTCCAAGAATGGGGAAATCCTTCCAAGGTCTGTTGGCTGATAGTCCACCGTAGGCTCCACTCGCCTGGATACTCGCTGTCAACGCCTGGCTTGGAGAGCCGTGTGTTCTGTTCTTTCCATCTCTGCTGGCCCCAATGGACTGTTAGGTGCCCCGCGTGCATCTGGGCATGCGGTCCACTAGCACAGGCCTCAGTAACCTGGGAGACCCAGTTCTGACCCATGCACTCCACGGGCAGACCACAGAACCTGTGGTTCTCCACCGAGTTGAATTCTGAGTCCAGCGGTCCAACTGGGAGTCCCCAAAAAAACCTCACGAGAGGTGGCACCAGAACTGTATCGCCTACACACAGACTGGTGGTTGCAGTTGCTGGGTCAGTTCTGTCTTCAGCCCCATCTCAGATTCTGCAGAATAGCTCAACCCTGCCCACCACACACACAGTACTCACGTACAACAGTGGGACTACAGCCTAGTTGGAGCGACCCCCGTAACCCCCTCAGGCCTGCCCCTGGCCATGGTTCCTGCACATGCCAGCATGCGCAGCACACTGGTCTGGTCTGTCCTGCATCCCATTTGGCTTTTGTACATACCAATGAATGTTGCTGCCTGGCTTGGCCCGGCCAACCCGACCATCCAGGCCACATTAGTGCCGGTGGGAGCCACTACCTGTCCAGCCAGGCCCATCCCCAGCCCTAGTTCTCATGCTCACTGGTGGGAGGTGCAGCCCATCAGAACGGTGCTCACCATTTCTCTACTCGGCTCACTCCCAACCCCAGATCTTGTACTTTCCACCTGGCACTGTGGCCCAGCCCGACATGACTTGCCCCCAGTCCTGGCACTTGCCAACTGATGCTGCGGCAAAGCCCCACCAGCCTGCACCTACTCTGGCTCATGCGTGCACCAGTGGATATGTTCGCTTAGCCCAGCCTGACTGTCCCCTTGACCCAGCTCACATGCAGGCCAGTGGGGGCTGCAGCCCTGGCCAGCCTGGTCTGCTCCCAGTCTTAGCTGTCATGCTCACAGTGGGGGCAGTGGCCAGCTGGGGATCCCTTGCTGCCCCGTACCAGGCCACCTTCCCCCCTGCCATGGCCTCCCTTCCCGTTATCACAGGTGCTGGTGGGTGCTGTAGCCTGGTCTGCTGAGCCTTTGCTGGTGGGTGTAACTTGGCCCAACCTGGAATTCCCCCAGGCCGTAGTGCCATCGTAACCACTGTGTCAGGCAGTTGCCCCAGAAGGTTTGTGTGGT